GCAGGTCGAAGGGCTCTAGAAAAACAAACAGATCCGTGGGTGATTGTAAATAATATCATTGATGACATTTACTCGTATATCCAGATGAGGGTCGACTGCGAGTCGTACGACATCATTCCACCAATCCTGTTGACATCCAAGTTAGAAATTCCCGCAGGAGTAACTTTGGCAAACAACGTTCGTGTTGTGCGAGATAGTTCCGTAGAGGTAAGGATGTCGCCTGCAAGCGGAGGAGTCCAGGTAGGTTCCACGGTCATATTATGGATGACATGCAAGGAACCATCGAAAAGCGAAAGAATGAGTGCGTCGCGGTGAAGCACATAGGATACTCCAGAGACAGGGCTAATGGCAGAGGATCCGATGGACATCTTTTGGGTTTGTAATTGGAATGCGCGGGTGCCGTTCCAAGCTGGTTCAGAACCGGGCCATGACCACAGGTACACAAGGCCGGGTTTTGTGTACACGAGGATCGGCTGAAAAATAGCATTAGAGCCAGGTAAGACCGGAGAAAAAGGTCAAAGAGTACGTTTCTTCCTGGTGGTTGAACCCATGCTAATGCGGTCACACCTCGTTTGTCAGCCTCGCAAATCGGACCTTGGACGTCGAATACAGCACTGGTTGTGTACTCGGGCACAAAACCAACGTTCGAAGTAGACTGTAGATTTTGTGTGACTTTTACCAGTCCAACATTGCCATTATCAGTGGAGAAGGCCAGTAGGGATTCGCCTTCGCCAAAATAAAGATCCCGTTCATGCGACAGACACGAGAAAGCTTACAATGACCGACAGCGTGAGTAATCCAAGGTGCCCAGCTCAAATGCGTGATCCAGTGATCGCTCAATGATTCCGTATGGATGTACGAGAGGGAACCTCCTGAGTTGCTGTTTCTGTTAAACCTGCACACAATAAGAAGGACGTATTTCCAAAAAAGACCCGCATTTACACACCTGAAAAACTCAATACAGCCCGCCCTGTTTCCTAGGGCAAGCATCGACGAATCAAGGATCGGAGTGGGTGTGATTCTATAGTCCGGTTGTTTTGACCAGGCAAGACCTTGAGCAGGATGTCAGAGAATGTGTCATAACATTATAAAGTCACGCACTAGTCACTTGCGCTCGAAGAGTGTTGCGGATGATATCCTCAGATGAGGCTGTGTCGAGTAACAGACCTGTAACATCTTGAATCTCCACAAAACTCAGGACTCGGATGAAGCAACATGAGTCACAGCTCTCACATTGGTCCATTCTCCCTTCAAGTGATTTTTAGCAGCCGTCCAAAGTGATACTTCAGCGTTTGAGTTAAGAATGGTTATTACGCATCTTGAAGATATATATCAGCTGCATGTCAGACAAGCGGTGAGGGACATACCTGCCCCGCGATGTGAGATTACTAGGGGAGCATGCAACCCCACGAAGGGAAACGTCGAGGGATCCGAGAGTAATAGCGCCCCAATCTTACCATCGTCGCAAGCCTCAAAACTAATACCGAGGAGCGGCAACCTCGGGCATATGCTTACCTTGACATATACTTGGCCACATATGAGTCTGTCCACGAGCCGGCTCGATCATCGTCCTGAACCACCCGAGCGTCTGCTCCCCTTGCTCGTCTCCTCGAAGTGCCTTGATATCGGGTGGTGTACTGAAGTTGATACCCGAATCTGGGGTCTGAATGCAAATGTAGTAAGGTGCCTCCTTCCACAAAGTTTGACGAAGAGTTCTTACCATGATATGTACGGTTGCCTTGGTGGTAATACAGGCCTGGCCATCGTCTGACCATTGCAGGCACCTCTCAGAAGGATTTAAAATGACAGTAGTCACTGCCAGGGACGTGTAAATTGCCATCCTCGACACAAGATAAGCCAGAGACGCGTTGAATAATGATTAATGATATTCAGGCTTGTCAACGTCGAACGTGATCAAAACTCAAAATCTTTCCTCGATTGGTCTGGACTCTGGACTCTGGCTAGCTGGGGAGACAACGAACTTACATAACGCAAACTGATAAAATGATTATACAAAATCTCGTTGCGAAGCTCTCCAGATCCTCGAAGAACGTGTCCTTCCCTCCGTCGGCGCGTCCGCGTCAACACAGAAGCTGTCGCTCCCATATGCAGATACACGACTCTGGGACTGGTTACTGCGTAAACATTATAGACGATGCCCAATAGCGACGTGGCATTGACGCGGCATCTTGTCCCAGAGGGTTTGGGGTAGTACTAGGTCACACGATGTACAGACTGAGACAGCGGCCAGCATGTTGGACTGCGAATTCAAATTTGGTACATAAACAAACTTGTTCCCGAACTGCTACTACATAGTTCGGTTTAACGTTTGCACAGTTTCGCTTGAACACACTTCCCTGCGTATCGAGTACGACGCCATGCACCTCCGCACGACCGGTTTTTATCATGTTCTACGAAAGCAAGCTCCTCATCGTTCACCAGTCTTTGTGCGGAGAATAACGACAGCATCCTCATCTTCCCAGTCTTCTGCTCGCACCGCTATCTACGCGACGGTACTCACTGCTTCTGTCGGTCTGTTTGCAGTCTATTACTATGATGCGCGTTCCGCAATGCACCGTTATATTTTGACACCTGCACTGCGTCATACATTCGATGCAGAAACTGGGCACAGGATTGCCGTCAAAGTCCTTCGTAGCGGACTGGGCCCGCGGGACCCTGTACAGGATGATGAAAGATTGCGGTCTGAGGTGCGCAATTACTTCACTCGAAAGCTGGCTCGAGTTACTCATAGTCTTTCGAATTAGTTTTGGGGGCATGAATTATCCAATCCCGTTGGCTTGGCAGCTGGTTTTGATAAAGATGGCGAAGCTATTGATGGTACGCTTCCCTTTGACTCACCTATGACCTTGTACCGATGCAAGTTTATTAGGTATCCTTAATCTCGGCTTTAGCTGGGTTGAAATTGGAAGTGTTACACCAAAACCTCAGGTGGGTTTGCTATGTCCGGTAGTTCTTTACCCATGTCTAAGCAACATACAAGCCTGGAAACCCGAAGCCACGCGTATTCCACCTTCCTGATGACGCAGCACTTATCAACCGTTACGGATTTCCCTCACAAGGCGCTGCCTCCGTGATTTCCCGCCTTCGTGCTCGCATACCCAAATTTCATGAGACGAAAGACGATACAACTGCTGCCTTCAAACCCGGGTCAGTTCTTGCAATCAACCTAGGTAAAAATAAATCTTCTCCGGTCGAGTCTCCGGATGATTTTGTCACTGGTGTGAAGACGTTCGGCCCATACGCCGATGTTCTGGTTGTCAATGTCTCTAGCCCGAACACACCCGGACTTCGGTATGGCCTTTACCATCATTTGGCGTTATCTGACGACCCTTCAGCGGTCTTCAAAATCGAGAACTGTTGGAAGACTTACTTACAAGTGTTAAAAAAGCCCGGGACGAACTAGAACCATCGCCAATAACAGCACGACGACCACGCTTGGTGCTGAAAATCGCACCTGACCTCGAGGAATCACAAATTGTCGATATTGCCGATCTAATTCGCAAGAGCAATATTGATGGCGTCATCGTCAGCAACACTACAATCAGTCGTCCCGCAAGTCTTACCGATCGTAAGTCAATATACCATCATTTGATGGAATCGCTCATCCGTACAATCTGAAACAGTCAATAAATCTGAGATGGGCGGTCTCTCGGGTGCTCCCTTGAAGCCACGTGCATTACAGGCTTTGAAAACGCTACGCGCGCACGTCCCTGCAAGTATTCCACTGATAGGCTGCGGGGGAATTAGCACGGGCGCTGATGCATTGGATTATGCTCGGGCGGGTGCTTCATTGGTTCAAGTGTACACTGGCTTTGGCTATGACGGTGTAGGGACTTGTAGACGCATCAAGGACGAACTGGAGGTTCTGCTCAAAGCGGAAAACACGACATGGAAGACTGTTGTTGATGAGTCTGTACGGAAGCTCAGTTTGACAGAGTCATGATCAGACTCAGAAGTCACAGCGATACTCATACAATAGGATCAGGAACTCACTGCTGGACCGGCTTGGAGAGCGGATGAGTGGGACTGATATGGCTGTTCGCAAACTGTACCATAGGAGGTCCTTGTTAAATCCAATCCCATCTATTAGGGCTGAGCCCTATCTAGATAACCCATGTGCCCGTGCGGTAGAGTGTTCAGTATGAAGACATAGCTGAAACGAGGCCGGAAGTCAGTAGAGGAATAACTCCATCAACTGGGCCTGCGTTCTGAGCTTTCCCTACTATTGTTGCATTGTTCACACTCATAATGCAAGGATGTTGAGAATGGAAAAAAAGGTCTTTAGCACTCTGCTCGACTCTCCTGGATGGCACTAAAGTGTTCTGTCAATCAAAACTATAAGGTGCACTCCACTCTGCATGAGATATACCCATATGCATATGGTGTTGACAATCATCCAATGAACCGGGAAATCAGAAAAAAAATTTGAACAGAGTGAGATTCGAACTCACGCCCCCGAAGAGACCAGATGATAAGCTCATCCAATGAGCTGGTCTCCTTAGTCTGGCGCCTTGGACCGCTCGGCCATCTGTCCTTGAGGCAGGGCTCAAAATAGACCTACTTTGAAATAGGAACAAAGTGGAGCGCTTAGTCGAGACATTCTACAAAAACTTGTGCAGGGGTGGCATATAATAAATTCCGAACGAGCTACCCGAGCGCTGCACCAAGCTGTCCAGTCGTTGGCTAGTGACACAACTATACCCTTGGCCTAGCGCGTAGTGTTCATGCATATTGGCATATGATCAATTCCGTACGTCCCCCACCCTGTTGATTCAAGTATTATTGAGACAATCTGACCACTTCGCATCTAGTGATGGCCACGCAGAACTTGTTGCCAAGGACTTCGATATTTCAGACTTCGAGACTGTACACCTCTATGATATGTACACCCAATTTTGACTTCAATCTTGTATGTGCCAATTTGTTGCCTCGTAAAGGGCATTGATGGTTTGTGGGTAAGAATGAACTTGAAGTTGCATGACACTGATCTGGCATAACACCTCATGTGGCAAGACACGATTTGCGATGAACGTGATAGTCGAGTATCTGAATTGCGTGAAGTGACGCAGGTTACTGAACTGCCATTTAGTACAAGTAAAGAAAGCTTTAAATCACTTGTAATACAATGGCTGTAGATATCGTCACTCCTGTAACGAAGACGATATCACGTCAATACCACCTTACAGGCTACTCGCCGCTTTAGGCAAAATTGTTCTAATCGCGCTCTCGTTTAGACAAGTCAAAAAGGGTTGTTAGAATGCTGTCCATGTGCTTGTGTATACCGTCATGGAAACTCTGATTGGTGATGAGTTGTTCCACATTGCCTATGACAGACGCTGTCTGTTGCACAAGACCGAAATCGACATACCTGGAAGGTGTTCATATCGAGGACAAGGAGAGCGGTCAAAGGGACGTTGCTCACATGTCATCATAATAGCTATGGGGTCGGTATTAAGCCCAATTCATCAACAATCACATCCTCCACTCACGTTGCAGCGTTCACTTTTACTTGGTTCTTTTTCAGGGCCTCTTTGTCATACAACATAGGCCAATCTTCATCGTAAGCCAGCAGTTCGGCAGCGCCCCGCAACGGACGTAGATGATGGTAGTCTTCGAACATGTCGGGGAATATCTGTTGGTGCATGGATTCAATCCTAGGTTCTCAAAGACGCTGGAATGACCATGGACGTACCATCTCCCCCGTGAAGTAAATGGGGACATCATCAGACATGAGCTTCACTTTCCCCCAGACAAACCTATCATTCTTCTGGATGACGCGATGTGCAGACCAGCTTGCCATCCGCCTAAGACAGAAATGATCAGTTGGTATATGCCTCGTTGAGGATCGGATCTATCCGAAACGTACCCTTGGCAATAGATAGGCTCGTGAAGCACCGCGTAAATTGGGTTGGTATCAAAGCTCTGTGAGTTCTGCACGCTGTCAAGAAGCCCATATGAGAGCTTCCCAAACGTGCACAAGTCTGTGATCGCTCGAAACACGAGTTCTGCGCATATGAATGAGCTCTCGTCGGCGAAGTTGAAGCGAAACTACATACGGTGAACCCGATCGATGCCGCCTAAGTATAGAAAATGAAAAGCCACATTTTCGCAGTAAATCAAAACCCACCATGTGATCCGAATTGTATGCCAAGTTGTTGCCACCGTGAGACCGTCAGATTCCCGCCGTTCGGAACAACGACATTGTTTTCTTCTAGGAAACCCAAGATCCGACGAACCTGTAGTTGATCAATAACCTGGTAGATATAGACTTGTCCGAGTTTCTTACATTTCCTACATCTTGGGGATACTTTGAATAGTAAACCTTGTTTCGTTCTTCCACCTTCACTAGACAAACTGTCAATTGAAATGAGGGCAGACGGCTAGGTACGTACAAACGAGGGCTTCGTAAACTGCGTCGGGAGAGTCGACCATGGGTGGAATACCGCCAGCGGTGAAGACTTCCTTCAAGCCATCACTGTGGAATGAAAGGTAGGTAGCGGCACAGAAGCCTCCGAAACTTTGCCCAAAGATCGTCCATTTACGTGCTTCAGGGTCTTTCTTGCCGTCGAGGAGAAAGTGCCGAATGGTCTCACAGTCTCTGACTATCTTTCAGATGAACAACTGGCGACGCTTAGCGTTATGAGGAAATGTATACCAATGTTATCTGCACGAAAATGTTTGAGATACTTGGCAATTGCCTCATCGTCCATTTGCTTCGTTTGGAATATGTCCGCCGTTATCGGCGTGCTCAGACCAGTCCCACGAGGATCGAGCCAGAGGGTCTGCGATTATCAAATAGCAATCATGGACGAGCAAGGACTCGTGACACTGCTTGCCTGATACTTTTTCTTGTGAAGCTTGTTCATAGTAGTATATTTAGTCTTGCAAACATTCTTGTGTATGAAGACAAATCAACGTACAGCACTCCCCAAGTCTACGCTGAAAGATAGGTCGACACCGAATCCTGGACCACCTGCACGACGCAGAAGTTAACATCTGATCGCAATTGTTTAAGTTGCGATGAATTACCTTGCAAATACAAGACTGGATTTCGCGAGTGAACATCATGCATGCGATGCTTGAAAGAATCGGGAATGACACACGATAAGGCAGATTCGACTCTGCCGCAGGGTCCGTGCCAGATTCCAAAGGAATGAGATTGCGCACAAATACTCGGATATGGGGACCATCTGGTTTGGCGTAATCCACGGGCACAGAAAAGAACCTGTCGATAACCTTGATTGAGCCTGGAATTTTATTCATGAGCTCGTCTACTGATCCTGACTATGGCGCTACTGACCTTTGAGTATGTATGGTTCCAATTGTGTGACTTCCATGTTCGTATTCCCGGTTCTTCGAGTAGAAGCTTGGGGTAAAAGAGTGAACTAGACGACACCACGGTTTGGACTAACCCAATTGGCCATTGTTACCTATATAATTAGTTTCCCCATGTCAAGGTCACACGGTTTGATTAATTTCGTTGACTCACTGAGTGCGTGTACGTCCCGTCCCAGGATGCTCAGAACGTAAGCAAACATTGTAATCCGAGTCGTGGATGTATAATGACGTGTACGAAAAAAGGGGCAATATGCAAAAGCCTCGAGTACTTGTAGTGGATATTGTGGGAAAACCTATATAGACGTGTAGGCTTGACCCATTCTTGAACGTTTGAACGTACAAGAGACCACCCGTGAAGGCTATTCAGTCGCGATGATGTCTATATGAGTCGATGTTCCGTTCCTCTGCTGCTCTCTCTGATGACTCATTTCCGCTATCCCAACTTTCTACATGAGAAGCTGGTAACCGTCACGAGTGACTCACAGAAAGGACGTTGAAATGAAATGTTTATTAGTTTGTCACGTGCCCACGTGGGAGTTAGTAATGTAGGCTTCGATAAAATCGTACTTACAGAACGGATTGATAAATTTATGGGAATGCACGGAGCACAGTGAATCTACTACTAGACCAACAATATCGGAGCTAAATAGAACTACGGAAGGCAGGCAGGGGGGAATCCTTGAGATATTCTATTATTCATGCCTTCTGCCATTTCCCAGGTAATAATGTCCAAGTCAAGTCAAGTTCCATGGGTGCTCGTATATTATACTGTTGCACGAAGCAGCACACCTGGTAGAGGTAGGAAGATGAGATATATTGCATGGTAACCGATAGACACTTTTCTGCCTCGCTACTTCCTTATCTAGGGCCTGATTAATGTGAACCAAAAGTTGTAATTAATGAATAAGTGGAGCATCGGACGTTCTTGAATTTCCGCTACTTCTTGCTGAGTGCTTGCAGCTGTACGAACTCGTAGTAATCTCCTCTCTGCGCAAGAAGCTCGTCGTGGGTCCCAGATTCGCTGACCCTGCCTTCCTTGATGAAATGTCTGTAAAGTAGTGAGGAAGTGTTCACGAATGCCAGCTCTCGATCAACTCACATGCAATCAGCGTTCTGGATAGTCGAAAGGCGGTGGGCGATAGCAATCGTGGTCCGACCTTTAGCAGCTTTATCAAGAGCATCTTGCACGACCTTCTCTGAGTTTGAATCGAGGGCTGATGTAGCTTCGTCGAGTAGAAGAACCTTTGGGTTCCGAAGCAGTGCACGAGCGATTGCTATACGTTCTAAATCATGATTTCAGCGCACAAAGAATGGCATCTATTAATGAACGAGGGCACGTTTTTGACCCCCAGAAAGCTGGGATCCCTTGCCACCGACTTCGGTATTGAACCCACTATTGTTATAATGTCAGTAAGCCTCGAGTCTGCGTAGTAATGAGGTCTTACTCTGGAAGTGATTGAATAAACTCTAGTATATTGGCATCACGACAGGCAGCCTCAATCTCTTCTTGTGTAACCTCAGATTCTGGTTTGGAGGCACCGAGCAAGATATTGAAGTGGATGGTCCCCGCGTACAAAGTCTGCAAGGCAAGTAGTCAGCTCTCTCCACCAAGAGGTTAACATCACGAGTGTATTCACAGGCTCTTGCGACACAAGTGAAAACTGCTGTCGATATGCCTGGACGTTAAATTCACCAATAATCTCTCCATCAAGCGATATCTGTCCGGAAAGTGGGTCGTAGAAACGCTCTAGTAACTGGATGCTAAATGGACCTTCAGATGCCTATTCGAATGTGGTACAATTGGGAGACTTGCACTGTGCTTTTACCGCAACCGCTAGAGCCGACCAGGGCAACGTAAGTTCCAGGTTCGACGATAAGCGAGAGGCCACGAAGAACCCGGAATCCGGGGCGGGTAGGATAACTGAAACGAACGTTGTCCAGCTGTATGCGGCCTTTGATATGTTCGCTCGGAACACTTTTGCCTTCAGTTGACTCTGCATCAATCGTAGGAGTTGAATCAAGAAGCCTGATGACTGCGTTGGCGGCCCCTTTGGCTGATGAGACGTCCGGCACAAAAGCAAAGACGTTACCGGCCTGCATTGCGCCAAATACGATACTCTGTCAAAGTCTTGTTCACTTCAAGGATGTCCGGAGGTTGAAGAAATGACCATACCATCAAAGCAATAAAGAATGATTGCGTTGAAATCTCCAGCTGCGAAACGAGCGTCGCGCCATACCAGAAAACTAGAGCAATTACCCAAAATGCCATGCCCTGAGAGAGTGCGAACAGCATGTTGCTCCAGAGCGCTGTCCTGATGGATTTTCTAAGAGGCCCTTCCAAGCTCTGTCTGTAAAGACTAAGGCAGTGCTCTTCTCGGGTCAATGATGCAACAGTGCGAATAGCCGCAGCAGCTTCGCAGGCAATCTGAGCAGAGTTTTCATGCTCTAACTTGTTATTCTTATCTTTCAGAACAACGACTTGCTAAAAGGTGTGTAGCACAACGGGAGCTTATTATACAAGTGACGTACCAAGCGTATGAAGCCAGCGGACACCAGGATAGGGACACATGCTAAATAAAAACGAAATTTATAAGAGGAAGGCGCGAAACCGGAAAACAGGGCGCACCCATGCCGACAAGAGCCAGCTTCCAAGCATATGCAAAGCCAATGGCCAAACCAGCAAGTATAGTTGTGATAGATTGGACAATACTGACCAAAGTCAGTAATGTCATTGCTTCAGGAGGACTCGTAATGCTCACGTTCCCAGAGTTACGCCAGCGAGACCATTGATCTTCTGGGGGTTTTCGCTCAAGTTTGACGTCAGAGCGCCAGTCTTACGGAGTCTGATGAGTGTTCTGCACAAGCTGAGAAGTTATGGCTCACACTATTCTTGTCGTTGTCAAAGTACTCGACTGGTTTTATGAGTGGGAAAAGTAACTCGGTGATCAAGGCACTCACTGTCTTGTCGGAGGATGGCTTTGAAACTCATTGAACGGAGCTTGGCTGTCAGAACAGCGGCAGAGGAAGCAAAAAAATAGGTCTGTAAACCAACACAACAGCCGTATAGAATAGCAAGAATGAAAAACCTGGCTCGAGATAAGCACCAGCACGATCTCTAGAAAAACATGAGAACTCAACCAGAGAGCATTCCGATCGCCTTCGTAGCGGCGCTCAGAATTTGTGGTGGCAGAAAAGCCGGAGATCGAGAGCCCTACCGGCGCATGCCAGGATGAATGGTATCTGTTTTGTGTGATAACAGGACTTACCGTAGATTATACCAGATGCAGGATAAGCGGCACCACTGCCTGCGAAAATGTATGAGCGCAGCTGATGATATGTGTTCTGCGAACTTACATATGGCAAAGAAAGATCCAATCAAGTATCGGTGAAGTCCTTCGCGGTGAAGACCACCAATTCGTCTCATCAAATAGAATAGACCATAGTCTTCCTCTGGAGTCTGGTCCCCAACTTTCTCCTTTGGTTGACTGACGACGTCGATGGAGCGAATGGTGCTCTTGATATCGAGGTCATCTGACCTAGGCTTCTCTGAATCTTTCTCATCACTTGATATCACTGTATCAGGATCTTCATGACCCTCGCGGAGAGTTTGAGCTGTGACAAGACGATAGTACGCGCCATTTTCGTCTGCTAGGAGTTCTGCATGAGTTCCTCGCTCCAGTACGAGCCCCTCGCCCATTACAATTATGCAATCAGCATCTTTGATCGTTGACAGGCGATGGGCAATGGTGACGGTAGTTCGACCAGTAGATGCCTTGTCTAGAGCATCTTGTACAACCCCTTCCGAACGAGTATCGAGGGCGCTCGTTGCTTCATCAAGGAGCAAGATCCGCGGATCTGACACGATAGCTCGTGCAATGGCGATGCGCTGTTTTTGCCCTCCTGATAACAAAAAACCTCGCTCACCAACCATAGTGTCATATCCTTGTGGCAAGTGGCCAACAAAGCTATCTGCATTAGACTTGATACAAGCTGCCTTGATGAGCCGAAACTTTTCCTCGTCAGATGCATCCTCGTATGATGTGCCAATGAGACCGTGCGCGACGTTGCCCCTGACAGTTGTCGCGAAAAGTACGGGCTCTTGTGAGACTAGACCAATCTGAGAGCGTAACCATTTGATATTCAGCTCCCGCAAGTCAGTTCCGTCAAGCATGACAGAGCCACTGAGCGGATCGTAGAAACGTTCCGTGAGAGATACAATCGTGGATTTACCAGATCCGGATGCACCAACGAGAGCAGTGGTCTTGCCAGCCGGAAAGGTGATGTTGATGCCTTTGAGAATTGGGACATCTGGCCGAGATGGATAATTGAATGTGACGTCCTCAAAAGTAATCTCGCCAGTGATATTTTCAGGCTTTAGTCCTCCTAGGCTTGCAGAGTCGATAAGAGGGACACGCTCGATCGTAGCGAAGAGTTTGGCAGCAGCACCACAGGCACGCGTAATGGCTTGAGAAAAGATTGAATGACAACGCCGAATCAAACGTGGGATCAAGATTACCTTGCAATTCAGGGGCGAGTAGGGCGAGAGATAATGATCCGATTAAGATGGCCATGAAGACATTGACAACCTGTCCAGCATTAGCTGCCAACCAATGTTAAATGTAGTTTTACGGTCCAGAAACATGAACAGACCCTGGCCCTCATTTATGAGGGTGGTTCCAAAATCGAACGCCAGCGAATATGCAGCGTAGAGCACGAAGAAGAGGCAGCCTAACCCTGCACCTTGCCAAATACTGGCTTTGGTGTCAACAACGCGAGATGCATCGACGTTAGTATCATATATTCCAGACAAAACTTTCTGGGTCCCGAAAGCCTGCGCGGTGCGAACCGTAGATATGACCTCTTCTGCAAGACTACCTGCCTCGGCAACATGCTTCAAAGACAATCTGGTATTGAACGAAGATCAGAGCTACAGGATGAGCTCACCGACAATAACACTTACTGCGTATATTTGGACACAGACTTATTCATGACACCACCTATGATTGCGATGCACGGAAGGATGGATGACAATGCAAGAGCCAGACGCCATGACCGGGCAAATGCAAGGATAAAGCCAACGAAGAATGCGCTGACGAAAGTGACTGCAAGGGTGACTTTTTCGGATATCCCCAGTTGTACCAAATCTATTTCAGAGCAACGTGATTTCGACAATCCACCTTCGCAAAGTCCAGTACGACTTACGAGTGTCGGTTTGGATGCGTGTCGCAACTTCTCCAGCCCCAATATCATCAAAATAGGCAATTTCTTGCCTAAGGATGGCCTGAAGATACATCTCTCGTATTCTTTTCCCATTAACCTCTGAAGTATAAACCCAGGTGTACATGTACAGGTACGTGGAGATAAACATTGCGATACCTGGTACGAGTTCAGGTGGACTAAGTCTCACTCTTATCAAATCAAAAACTCACCAATATAAACGAGATAAGAAGCATCCAGGTTAGCACTGTGACGGAACGAGGATGCAGCAGCATCCAATGTCGCCTGCGCCTGTTCAATCACGTTCGCATCTTGAGACTGTAGCGATTGATAGTACTCGTTCTCTGCTAAACCAAATGTAACGAAATCTTGAGTCAAGTTGCCGAATATCAAAGTCATCAGAGGCTAGGATAGAAAATAAGGAGATGTAGCTCGCAAATTTGAAAACTCACCTGCGAAGCGCCAGCAACAACAGCACAGAATACACCAAAAAGGTTCAATATCATCTCAAAGCGAGTTGAATACCTGTTTCGGTGAACTATCACGCTCAGTCAGACTCAGAAAAGTGGGATGATCTGACCGGAATAGCGATGAGAATGACGCAGGGACGAGTATATCCGCTGCCTTTGCGTTCTCGGCTTCGCTCTCCATCCTCTTAGATGCTTTCTTTGGCCAGGGGATAAACGCTCGGATGCTTTTTTTATTATTATCTTTCATTTCTAGAGCGACATGTTCTGGGGTTGTGAGCTCCTTTGAAAGGGCAGGTTTCTTCTCATCGCCGGGAGTGGCTGGAAGGCCCTCCAATGTATGTGGCGCAAGTGGGGCGGGTTCCGCAGTCATGTTCTAGTGCAGCTTGAGCGGACAGCTTTGAAAAATTCATGCGTTTATCTAGGGTCACTGCGGTTCCGACGGCGGCGTGAACGAGCCAAGCTCGACTCATGACTGTGTGGGAACTACTAGGAAAGTGGGGCAGTTCATAGGAGCCTGCGGAACAATTAATGATGGGGAACCTCCCGTCGCTGCGGCCAAAGAGTCCGCGTCACGTATGTATTATGTAATATACCGTAGCAATGATCGTTGCATTCTTCAAGTTCATCATACGGATGTGACCTCGACGTGATCCTCGACTCTACCAAGTAGGACTCTGTTAGATCAAATTGTCCAGGTGGCAGGCACACGTTATTTTCTCGTACACGCGAAACAAATTCCTTTTTCGTCTTGTTCTACCGTCCTTACTCTCTCACTTGCTATTCGTGCCCGTTTCAGTCCCGCTTCAAGTACGTGTTCTGTGACTTCTGTCGTGCATGTATTTTTTTATTAACGCCCATTCGTGTTGTGGTACGAGTGGTAAGGTTTTCTTGTTCTCAGTTTGAGTCGCCGTCTTACACGCATTATTTTGTTATTCAACGTTTTACGTTACGCTCACAGGACCTTCAGTCTTCTACAGAGGTCTCTTGGAGGTTTCCGTTCTCTCCGTCGCCGCACGTGGTTTACTGCGTAGCCTGTGTCCTACGAAACCAATCTGAATTGTTTGACTGTTTCTGGCCTGCGTGATGCCGCCCAGTGCATTGGATGTAAGCGGTCACAGGCACGACTGAAGGCCAAAAGTGTTAATGCCATTTTGCGACATTTTGAGATCCTGCGGACAGAGCTTGCGAGTTCGTCACCCAAGGAGCTCACACAGCGTTTCTCAATGCACCTTCCCGTTGCATCGCTTCGAAATCTGCATCCTCGAGAACACTCGGCCATCACGCGTCTTGGCTTCGCCTCTCACTAGACCAACTCTCTCGTCGTCTGGAGTGGCTTCCACGGGATGATGTTCGATCATGTATTCGTTCTTTTTCGTCCTCGCATCAATCACTTGCTGGCTTGCGAAGCCATTGTCAGTCCTGCAAGGCACTCGCCAACTCCCTATATCTGCATACAATCTACCTGCGAGATTCAAACGCGAAGGAATTATGCGAGGTATATCTGTCATACAGAGGAGAGGTCCTCCACATCTTCACCTAATGTCGTGCACCAACCTTAGAAGATCCGAAGCCGATCGTGTCGTCGCACTGTTGGGTAGTCTGGTCGTGGTGACAGAAGAATTGCACAAGACCCCCGATATCTTCAAATGTATGTATTTCCAGACACAATGCATGGCCCAAGCTGAATTCAACAAGGTGTCGTACATACGACTGGTCCATCCAAGCCGTCCACACTCAATACCTTCGGTTGGCCGAAAAGATCGCTGGGGAGACCATGGACGTCTGGAAACGCAGTCTGCCGCTGGAACGCCTCACTAGAGCCGGAAAATTTTAGGAGTCGGTTGCTTGGTACCTCGCTACTACCAATCAAATGTGTAAACTTGCCTGTCTGCGAATGAACACCAAGACATACGTCGGTCACAATTGCTAAATTCTTGTCATTAGCCGGGAAACGGATCACGGATGCATCCATGGGGAGTCTCAGACTTGTATGGAAATGTCACACTGAATCTGATCCGACAACACAATTTCCAATTCGAGTCACGATATTTCCTTCGAGGCACCCTCACCTGGATTTTTCATAATCGTAATACTCTGTAGCATTTTCTTGAAGCTCTCTTTCTGTCACCAAGTACAAAATGGCGAACACTTCACATACTACAACAGGCCATTTGCGACTGCCATTTGTGGTTTATCATCTCGCTTCGTGGGCTGTGCTCGTAGAGTTCTTTGGAGAAATGATTAAACGTCGCATAGCTCTCTTTACTTGTACTGCCAGTGAATGGCAGTTCAGTAATCTGCGTCAGAAATCAATGGATGTCTTTAAAGCCAAGCAATGAACGAAAATGTCGACTACCCAGCCAAGGTCAAGCTCCTCACAGTCATTGGATTTTGGCATTTGCATGCTAAGTGGAACTGTGGAAGTGCATTGAACGCACTCACGCAATTCAGACACCCGACTATCACCTCCATCGTAAATCGTGTCTTACTACATGAGGTGTTATGCCAGATCAGTTTCGTGCAACTTCATTCTTACCCATAAGCCATCAGTGCACCTCCGAGTCACGAGGCAATGAATTGGAGAAATACAAGATTAAGTCAAAATTGGGTGTACATATCGTGGAGGTATAAAGTCTCGAAGTCCAATTCGCTGACCAGTGGCAATGACAACGCAACGGCAACAATCAATTTGGTACATCCGATCCTACGATTTTGATTCAATTAGCTGACCAACGGAATGACTGAAGCATCTGATTGGCGAATTGCCTCGAGGCTCGAATGCTCCTAGCGCTCAGTACTCAGTTCTACTTTGCAGTGACATACTTAATTCAGCCACGTCGTTTTTATTATAAGTGATTGCGTGACGGTGATGAACTTGAAGAATGCAACGGTCATCGCAACGTATTACACGATACATACGTGTTGGTATGTGGACGAAGGAGACTGTAGCTGTAAACTTGGCCGCAGCTAAGTACGTGAGGTTCCTCGTTCCGCAGGCTCCTATGAACTGCCCCGCTGCCTAAGTAGTTCCCACACAGTCATGGGTCGAGCTTGGCCTGTTCCGCCGCCGTCGGAACCGTAGGTTTAGTCTAGTTCAGACGAGTTGGACAAGAACCGAGAATCGAACCAAAAATTAAGAACGATTGAGCTGTGGTGTTGCCCAAACCAGAAAGAATAGTGGCGGGAGGAAGCAAGCAATCGTGAGGAGAGGGTGGGAGGTGTTAAAAACTCGAGTGATCAACCAGTGGGAGCCACAACTAGCGAGATATGACTGTAGATTGTAAATTATAACTGCAACCATTTGCAAAATGGGTCTTGCTCACAATATCGGACATCCATACTACCGCGGGATCGATCACTAAAAAGATTTGCCCTTATGATTGCACAAGATACTAGCAGTGGACATGAATACGTCGAGGCGAATATGTACACAACGAGCGAGCATATGCTTGGTCTGTGTATACATATTGGAAAGAGACTCGCCTGGATAATGTTGCGCAGACATCGTTGATCATGACAATAAAAAAGAAAGGGACGATACTGGTCAATGCTGGCATCGACATGGGTCGATAGTTGGGCAAATCTGATTTGATAACACAATTTCCAATTCGAATCAGCTTCGACAATATTCATTTCTAAGCTAAGGCTGGCACGTAACTGTTGCAATAGGTACCTAGATATAAAGTACTTTCGTCTGGCTGCAAATCATTAATTGTTTCGTATGACCATTACCCTCCGCCTTCAAAGTAGGTGTGGACAGTTAATTGCAGTTAATTGTGAGTTCTTGTGGACTGAGTTATGTAATGAAAATAGCCGATCAAAAGTTTGACAAGCTGCTTCAAAGTTTCAGCTGGTTTACAGTAGCAGTGAGTGTTTCCCTCCAACAGTGGTCGATGCTGTCTCACCCGCATCGCAGTACTCGGGGTATCGTTTTCTCAAAGCTCTGTTTCCGTCGCCAAGTAATCAAGGAATGGTAGACTTGTGCAACGGGTCATTTTGCACTTTCCATTTATGGTTTATCCCCTTTTGTGTATCTCGCTCCGTGCCGTGGGCTATGCCTGGAGAGTTCTTTGGAGCAATGATTAAACGTCGCATAGCCCCTCTCGGGCATACCTCCAATAGCCGGATAGTATAAACAAGGTAACGAACGGTCAAGTTCAACTTCTTTACGCACCACAGTAATCTCCCTCTTTCCTTCACAACCGTGGCTCAGGCCTGCCAGGCTGTCCTCGAGGCCCATTCCATTCTACGACTGTGACAACAACGCTCCTGGTAGAGCCACCATCATGGCATTTAAACTGTCGTATTTCTTTTGGACTCCCCGGCACATTAAGATACCAGGGGAGATCAAGCCGGCGACTCGGAGGCGCCAGAAGTCGGTACATTTGTGAGTATTATTGGCTCGTCATAGAATTTGAATAGCTAATAGCTTCATCTACATATAGTGCTGATATTCCTTCTCCTTGGAATAATCATCTCTCAGCAATAAGAAGGTCATTGGAGAGTAATGAATGAGGTCACCCAACCTGGGCGCCCTGACTTGGATGGGCTCTGGATAAATCTGGAGTGCTGTGTATCGTTAGATTTTGCGGAGGAGAGATAGCCTGCCTTGGATGTGATTTATGTGTATAACAGCAGTCATCGTTATGCGTTGTGTCAATAGCGGAAGAGATAGTATGTAGTACCAATTAACATAAGTATTATGGCAAGAACGAAATGCAATGTTAGTGACTTCTCTAAATGATTAATGTAATCAAAAGTGCAACACGGAAAACCAAGTCCCAGTAAGCATAGAATACAGGTCCCATAAGGACCGTAACTACCAAATGTCCGCGTCCAAGTTCTCATCTAGCAGTTTCAACTAGCACTTGGGGAACCCGATAAGCTGTCGACGGATGCGGATGCGCTGTTGAACATCGCTTTCAGCGCTAGTTCGTTCCTTCTCTGCCGCACTCTATCCACCTCTTCTGCTCCACCTGTCATTCGCAGTTTCTTGCCACCCACAAATCCTGTCAACTCCTCCTGAAATTCGTCAGACCGGCTCGCGAGTTCTCGTTCCCGGTTTTTCTGGTTAGCCTCAATTGCTTTCATCCGTCGGTCCGGGTCCACCGCGGCACCCCGGATCTCCATCATGACAGTACTCAGGCCAGTATGCCCCTCATCTGCTGGAGGAGGCTTGAATCCGCGGCTTCTATTGTTACGTCCAGGGGTGGCGCCGCGGATAGAAATGACCTTCTCAACATGCCCAAAGACGTCCACCAAAGCTTTGTGGTCTTCGAGCAGATCGGTCAAGAATTCTTCTTGATGACCGAGGAAGCCCTGTTCTTCTACAATGTTCTGCAGCTCCTCTTCCCATGTCTTCTTCCACATAGGCCTGACAGTGTCGATGTGCTCTTTGAGACTCGCCAGCTCCGTGGCAGTGGAAGCGATGTCCTCTTGAATCTGCTTCACTAGTTGAGGCTTAGGTGTCATGTGGCGCTTGAGGACGTCATCTCGGAGTGCTTCCACCGTGTCTTGCAACTCCTCTACTTTCGTCAGCACGTTCTGACTCCGTGAGTCCAACTTCGTCTTCCCCTGGTCTATGAAGCCACGTGCGCCGCCAACTTTGACAGAAGCTAACTGCTTCACGGACTGCGTTTGCGTCCGCAAAGCGCCTAACGAATCCTTCGTCGACTTCATGAACTCCGTGTACAGCTGCCTCATGATTCCTAGATCACGTCGCAAGTTCTGTACCTCGTCAAACTGCGTCTTCAAATCATCCACCACTCGGTTTGAGTACTCGGACATCACCGAAGCCCCTGTCATTTGGGGCTGTAGTTGAAGAGACTGTCCAGTCATCTGAGGTAGCATGAATGGACTGCTCGAGCTCACATCACCCACGATGCGTGATAGCCTACGTGCGACATTATGCAGTTGCTTTTCGGACGGTCGATCTACCCTTGGTGTGCTTTCGACAAAGTCATGGGCGATAATAGGATTGATGTGCGACGACCGACGTTCATTTGAAATCGTGGTGCGAAGTTCTTTGAGATCATTAGACAGCACCGATATCTGAGTGTCGATGTGTTGCTTGATTTGATCGAGTGCTGGAAAAATACAATAGGTCAGGATGAGAAAATAGGGAGTGGGACCTCACTGACGTTCGATGTTGAGAGATAGTAGACATTTCTCCTTCACCTCTTCGATGTCTTCCAGCTCATACTGTACACCGCTAGAGGGGTCGCGTATGTATATCGCAGGGAAATTCTCCAGACCCGGATTATACGAGAACTTGTCCACGAATAACATCCGCAACGACGAAAAGGACAAACCAGGTTCGAGGGTAACCTTCTTGACTTCTCGCCCAACTTGTAAGAAAACCGAGAACGTGATCGACAAAGTACGTTCAGGTGTTTCTTCAAAGATCGTAGGCTCGTCTGTCACGTTGTCCGCTTTAGACAACGTATGAGCTTGTTGGGAGCGTGCGGGTTCTGTTAGTGGAGGCAGTGGAGGAACGGGAGGGGCTGCCTCTACCTCAGCCATGGGCGAGGGTGTTCGCGCAATTGTTCGGCTAGACCGCGCGCTGCCATTACGCTGGATGTCCGGTTCATCCACTTCTGTCAGAACTGCCAAGTCCCCTGGTGTCAGCAATGGCCCTGCTGCCATCGACCGCCGGTTACCTGACCGCTCCCGCGAGCCTGTCATTTTCGTGATATTGTACGTCGAAAAGCGCTTCGACGCACGCCGCTCGAGTACGTCGCTCTTCTTCAATGCGGCCAGGGAGCTGGCAACTGCAGGTGCTTGCAGAGTATCGATAGGATGAGTTTGTGGTGAGGAGGTCTCGATAGGAGTGGAAGGAGCTTCATCTACCAGCACTGCAGGAAGTGGTGGAGGTGACAAGGAAACTGGTCTATCGACGAGCGAATAGCGCTTGACGGAGGCAGGCACGGGGACACTCTGAGGAGGTGTTTGAGGCAAATGCTTGTCTGACTCGCTGGACGAGGCATGATGTGGATTTGCTGCTACGGAAGGTGAGACCAAGCTTTCTGATGAGTCGCGCGAAAGCGCATCACTATCGGGCCTGTATGTGTTCTGCGATTGTCGTGCGTGAGGTTGCGCTGAGCTTCGATTGGTATGCCCATTGACAATGTTCGTGATCGTTCTTTCATTAGGGGGCGTTTCATCGTCAGGTTCACGGAAGATGGGTGGCGGAGATGCTGGCGGAGGTGTCTGCGTCCTCGGGTCTTGTCGTCTTGCTGACGATCTTGCTGATTGTCTTGACGTGCTGTCCCTATCCCTGTCCTGATCTCCTTCTTCTTCCATAACGCTACGTGAAAGCTGTGACCGATGTCTCGAATCGTCATCACGCCGCGAGGTCTTGTCAGACTTTGACGAGCGACTGTCCGTCCGCGAGTGGGACGAGCGATGTCGGCTCTGGTGCTCTGACACGATCCGACGGTACATAGACTGCTTGCCGCGGAGACCCTGAAGGAGGTTGGTGATAATCTTGCGCACGGTGGGTAGATACACGTTGAGGTTGTCTTGCGTGGCCTCCTCTGCTAGGCAGGTTTCGAGGACCTCTCGTAGGTCTTCGGGCACGGACATTAGGTCTCTGTTGGGTTTTACTTAGCAGTTGAGGCTCATGTATACCTGCAGGCAAAGGCACGCACGACATATCGATATTAAATGCGGCAAACGCAGCCACAGCCGCGTTGAAGTCATTCCCGAGGCGGACGTAGACGTCGCTCACCTGGATCTCGTCCATTTTGCCGGTGCTCCATTGGGTGAGGGACTCCAGAAGTTGTTTGATGGCCACGAGAAGACGTGTGACGGCAGATTCGACTGCGGGCTACGACCTGGATAAGACAGTTATTACATTGTAGATAAGTGTACTCACATGTGCGTGCGAACGACTGCTACGTGAAGAGGATGAACTTGAGGAATGATTAGAGGCTATTGACTGGTGGTCACGCCGTGATGTATGCCCCGTGTAGGGTTGCGATGGCGGCGTTGACCTCGTTGAGGACATTTAGGAACACAAAGGAGGTCAGTGCGCAAGTAGAGGAGTACTGGCGCTTTATGTCAAGTAACTGCAGCCTGAAGGCCAGGAGTATCCAGATCGGCGGTCTTTCGCTTCCCTTTTCTGCCATGAGAACATATTTCCAAATTAAGCCTCTCAGTCACATCAATAATTGATCAAATGGCACGGCTGGAACATGCCCCGACCCTTAGAACGGATACAAGAAATTTTGTTGCGTAGCGCGGTGTTACATAGAACAGACGAACTATCTCAAAAGTCGCCGATTCTTACGCCTGGTCATTGTGCAAGTTTTGGGGATCAAAGCGTCATAAATGTGAAGAAGATCATACTAAATGATGTACAGACCCGTGGCGAACACGAGAACATGGTCAGGCCACTAATTATAGTTTACATCGTACATACCCCTTGCCCTACAATTCTACGATCGTGGGTTGAATAATGGTGCCCCTGGTCCAGCTAAGGTGTAACTGTTGAGGATCTCGTCTTTCTCTGTGCGCTTGTATGTTCGGATGGTTTCTCCATAATCTGAGATTTCGTATATCCGGAAACGGCGGTCAAACCTGAGGGCAGAGTAAGCTGAATGAAGACGCGACATATAAATTATGATTCAACCCACCCAATTTGTCCATACCCAGAGTACGACCTGCGTCATAGAATGAATACAACGACAGATAAGGACACGTTGTACCACTTACCCTCCACCTCCAAAACATAGCCATATATCGTTGACACGTTTGCAATCCTCCGTGACTGTATCACTACATCAGATTCGGGACTCCGGTGGTTCCATGCTGGAACTTACTGTGGCAGTGTCCATTTGCGACCACCTTCACTTCGGGTATGCCTCCACTTGCAACGTGGCCACTCTCCAGTGCTTTCTTCAAACCCTTGTCAAACATCCCATCACTCTTCTTCGCAGCACCGGATCCTTCCAGATCGTGCAGACCGATGTCTAACAGTTGGCCAGTACGTGGGTCCCTGTCCGCTGTACCGTACGACTCTTGCCTGGAAAAAAAATAAACTTGAATGTGACAGAAACGGCGTGAGAATGAACCAACAGAGGAATATGGAAGAACATCATAGCATTGGGCTTGGCTAATTTGTGCGTCGTGGGCGTGATCTGATCGGCCTGTCTGTTCCATATGGAACCAAAGTCCTTGCCAGTGTCTGGTGTGAACGGACGCTGTATAGCCTGGATCTTGGAAGATTCTTGCAAAAACCAGTTGATTTGGTCCTTGGAAATATGAGCGCAATTGAAATAACGATCATAATTATATCAAGGGACACTGACCTCATGTATCCAGTCGTACTCCGTTGGGAAGAAGTACCCAAGCCAGTCCAAGTAACCGCTCGAATAGGATCCAGAGTCCAGGAAGTACAGCGTCAGCAGCGATGTCTTGGAGCTACCAAAGGAGCTCAGCTTGTACTCTGCTACCCTCAAACGGGAACACTCACGCATCAGCACTCTTCACGTCCAGAACGTAATTTCCAACACCATGAATGTCTTTTGGACCCCTCTGCACCAAGGAATACGGAAGGGCATTCATCATACGTACTTGCTCCTGCTTCACATCGCCGTTCTCTTCGTCGTGATTGCCGAAGATAGCTGCCCAAGGTATCTTTCGATCTGTAGCTGCGACTGCAAACTTTGCTAAAACGGATTTAGGATCCCAAGACGTGCCCTGCCCGTTGAGTTGGTCGCCGGAGAAGACGACAAGATCTGGCTTTTCTTCGTCCATAACGTGTCCGAGGAGCGTATTGGTGAGATTATCAGAGTTGACGCAGGGATCAATATCGGTTTCCCGACAGATGCCCCTAGAAACAGAAAAATGCAGGTCTGCAACTTGCAAAATCTTGAATTTTCCGTCCCGCGAGAAGTGTAAAGGATGAGCGTGAGGGACCGCTGCAGATCAAATTCAGTCCACTATCGGCATAAAGGCTGTTCGTGCTCACACTGCACGCCGCGGCGGTATGTCACATACACGCTCTCTAGTTGCCCTTCCTTTTCCGGAGTCACGGCAGGCTCTATTTTCTCAAATCCGTACCAAGGCCTATCCTCCCCAAAGAGTATGTCGACTTCGGTAATGAGACTGCTTTTCTCGTCCGCATTCATTTCATTCATCGTTTTGCCCTGGAGGTACCAGAGGTACATTGGTTCCGCACGCATAACGCCATCGCGTATGGAGAGATCTACTTTTACCCAGGAATCTGATAGAGGCTCGGGAATTTCATTGGCAGGAAGGAGGCGCAAGTCGGTAATGAGAGGTATGTCGAGACGGCGCGTTCGTCTGTAGTAGATGTTCTAAGTGAATTTGGTGAGTCATGAAATACGTAACATAAAATAGTGGTGCGTGCGTACCAAATTCCAGAGACCAGCTTGCTTGTTGAGATCCCGGTCCACTCGAACCCAGTTACCCTTGATGGCATCCTGCTCGACGGTTGTCGTGGGTGCACAGAGGTTCCCGACAAGGCTCGGTGACATCATACAACGCGTGATAGCAATTTCAGACACTGTAAATATGAAATTGAATTAAGTCCCTGACAAAATTGGCGAGCATACATACGACCGGTATCGTGAGGTAACAAGGGAGCCCATACGTCAAGGGGATAACTCTCTATATCATCGGTAGTATCCCAGGGTTGATTGTTTGTGGTTTCCCACCAATCTGTCTCGTCATCATTGACTGGAATTGGTTGGCCATCCGCTGGGTCGCCAGTGACTGTCGGCGTAGAAGGTTCCTTATCAAAGTAGTCAACTGTAGCGACCGCATCCCAAGCTTGCCAGCCTAGACGCTGAGCAATGCCGGGTCCGACGGTGGGCTGGTATAATACAAAGAAATATGTCAGGAGGCATGAGAAGCCGATGACAGCTGCTGTGGGGAGCAATATGCCCCTCATAGATCGACCAATGCGAGAAAATGAAAACGCAGCCATTATGGCCCGTCGAGTTCTGGATAAGTGAGCGACAACGGTCAATTTAAGAGAATTAGCGAACAGATTACCTATAGCTATAGGAAAGTGATGACCAGGAGCTGTCGTACCGTCACCCGTGGCTGCGTGTTCAACTAGGGGGGTCACATATCCAAATCGAGCAAATAATGGGGGTCAGGTCACAAATTCTTTACTTTGGATTTCCTTACAAGCTTTCTTTTTCGTTCATTTCAATATTTTTTCGCAAATGCAAGCTCTGTGTCGCGTAGCCCGTCGTCTCTACTCGACGCAACCGCCAGAACGGGCTGCCAGCGCATTGCCAAAGCTTGCAGCTGCTGCCAGAGATGCCTCAGCCCCAATGGCTGTTCGTGAACGCCGCGAACGCAAGCGGGCCCATCTTAAACCTCCTACCCACAGCGACCTCACCCCGTCAGAATATTCAGGCTACAGAAGAGCCCTTGCCAAAGGCGAGCTGATGGATCAGCGGGGGAGAGACATGACAGAAGTTGAATGGCTTGACGCCCTCAATGAACGGCGGACGCGTCTCCGCGGTCTGAAAGTCACAGACAATCATGGAGAGAAAGAATTGCAGGTGGTCGGTCAGAGAATTTATCTCCCGAACATCATGTTTCGCATGGTGCGCAACCACACGCCTACTGGCAAGCCCTATAACCCCTACGAAGCCACTTTTCGAGTTCCAATGTCTGTCACGAAAACCGACGTACGCTCATATCTATCTGCCGTGTATGGCGTTAAAACTACCTACATCCGAACTGCCAACTACTTCTCGCCATTGTATCGCAGGTATAATGGGGCAAAGACAACGCGATCATACCGAACATACAAACGTGCCGTCGTCGGTCTTGTAGACCCATTCTACTATCCTCAAGCAATGGAAGACATGACTGCAGAGGACAGAAAGAAACGGATGGAATGGTTGAACGAGAAGTTTGCATTGGATGCATTGAAGAGATGGAGGAGACATGAACTGGTGCGGACGTCCTTGTCGGGGAGCAAGAACTGGCGCTTCACTGGTCATCTGCGGAGGGATAAGATTCTGAAGGCAGTCGCCAGGAGTCGGTCAAGAATGCTGCGAGAAGTTGAGGACGTGAAGGAGGAACTGGCTGACAAGCGGGCCCGGGGAATTCCCATCTTCTCTGACACTAAGAGGGGCTCGCAACCGAGTAAGTGGAGGGAAGCGCTTCTTGCCAACTAGATCCAACAGTTCTACTTATACTTACTGTGATACTTTATGATTGCATCGGGCTCTGATTACTTTGTTGTGAGCCTCTTCGAAGGAGCAAATCGTAACGCGTGCATGACTAATAATTGATATTCCATTTTCGTTGGTGCTTACGTATACACACCATGTCAACCCTTACTATCATCAATCATCGCATTAATGGACATGTTGAAATTCCTCACTCACCATGATGCGATGATGGGCTCAATCAGAGCCAGCCTCCTTGATCTTGTGTGCTGAATCCGAGTCCATTTCAGACATTTGACCGGTAGATATGGCCAGGATTCACAACTAAACGTTCACGACAATTGGGCTCTTCACGACGGCTATTCTGCTTGTGGCTGTTCTCTGAACAACCGAACCCGTGTCCTTCGAAACGCTCATGCGGGTCACAAGCACTGATTGGAACTGATGAAACTTGTTATAACGCTCAAAAGGGAGCTGCGCAGGTCCATCGTTTCTCATCCTTTTTTCTTCCGCTATCAACTCGCGGGCTCGGGTCATTAATACTTCTTTTCTCCCTTAGACTGCAGGCAGTCTGCCATTTTAATTGATTTGTAAATTCGCTTTCTAGAGTGTTATGTTTGCTTCAGCTGGCCTCACGACCCTTTTATTCCTTCTGCTGTCCCAAGATGCATCAGGGGCACCAACAGCATCAACAGCTGTCGTAGGGCGGAGCATACCTATCCGCAGGCTCAACCCTTTATCACAGAATTTCACGTTGGTGGCTCAGCGAGCAAAAACCCAAAGAGATATACTTGTTGTGAAGTACGGCGGTCAGTCGCTTCAGCAGAGGGGTACTGGGTATAACCTGTATGCAAAGTCTTTCATGTCCCGAATGTTTCATTCTCAACGCCGCACATACAGCATCGTCAATCAGGGAACTGATACAGGGTACGTAGAAAGCTTCATCATCCAAGACGCTTTTACTAATCAGGTATTCTCAATAGTTACTACGGGACCATAGCAATCGGGACGCCGCCAGTGTCCTATGATGTGATTCTTGACACTGGTTCATCGTGAGTGCAATGGTGAATTTCTCAGCGCAATTTGATTAGAACAAATATCTCCAGCGATCTCTGGCTGACTAGTACTACTTGCGGAGTAAGCTGCGGAACCAGCCCTACATATGATCCCACGAAATCATCTACTTTCCAAAACCTTTCGACACCATTTGAGATTCAATATGGCTCGGGCGCAGTGGCCGGTTATGTTGCTGAGGAGACTGTCCAGATGGCTGGTTTCTCTGTAGCAAAACAAGGCTTTGGTACGTTATCATGTACACCGAATGCTTGACATACACATGACAGAACTTGTTAGGTGTTGTCGATGCTCTTTCGTCAAACTTTAACACGAACCCTGTATCGGGGATAATGGGTCTTGCTTGGAGTTCACTTTCTTCCACGCAACAGACGCCCTTCTGGCAAACTTTGGCTAGTGATGGAAGTTGGGATTCTGCATTATTCGGAGTGCAGCTCACACGGTATGTGGGACGGACTGATTTTGCTATGTTTTCCTGACTCGTGGCTGGTAAGCTATGGCAATGTGTCTGGTGCAGCTCAAAACGAGCCAGGAGGAGTTATTGACATGGGTAGGTATATTTCTCCCGCGTTGATGCTCTCAAGTTTAACGTGCTTTGGCAGGTTACACCAACAGCAGTCTCTACACGGGATCAATTGAATATCACAATCTTATTGGAACACCGCAATACTGGGAGATTAACATGAGCAGTAAATAGAATTCGATATATATATTACAGCCAGCTGACGTGTTTGATAATGTAGCGTTGACTGTACAGGGAAAGTCCATTGACATCGCAGGGATCTCGACTGCTATCATCGACACCGGAACCACAAACATTGCAGGTCCCGCCAGTGCCGTTGCGAGCATCTACGCACAGATCCCTGGATCACAAGCAGGAACGGGCCAATTAGCGGGATATTATACTTATCGTAAGTGTCAATGCTGTCATTCAGTTTGTTGGCTGACAGGAGAACGCCAGCCTGCAGCACGACGGTGAATGTACAGTTCAACTTTGGTGGTAACACTTGGTCTATGAGCTCTGCGGACTTCACGCACTCCCAGGTCAGCACCACGGAGTGCATTGGGGCTTTTTTCATCTCCTCGATCGGCCAAGGGGGTCCTTCTTGGGTTATCGGCGACGCATTCCTTGTGAGTTTTCATCACTAATCTATGTTCTCTGGACAGCGTCTGATTGATGCACAGAAAAACGTTTACTCTGTTTTCAAGTACAGTCCTGCCTCTGTTGGTTTTGCTGCGCTATCAGAGACTGCTATCGCTCAGAATGGTGTCAAAGCTGCTGTACCATCCCCGACAATCGGCGCTGTGACGGCTGCCACAAACACTGGTGCTACATCAAATGCTACGTTAGGTGCCGTGTCAAGTGGTCCTTTCAGTATATTGCTCTGTTTCTGGCTGGCTTCTACATCGATAGCTCTTTTGTTCTGGTAATTTTTGCTGATACAGACATTCTGACATGATTATACATTCATTACAAAGTACTGGGTTTCTAATTATGTTAATACGGACATTTCACATGGTCATACATTCATTGCTGTTAAATTGGCACGAAACCGATCTGCATCGAGCGCCCCACTACATTGCATCCGTTTGGCTCTTCTTTGATCTGAACGCTTCCGTCAAATGGGTAGCCTTGGGTCATCCCCGCCAGTTGATACGTTCCAGCTGTATGATCTCCGTGTCGAGGTCATATGCCCGCCAGGGGAACGAATGCTATGTGGAGCGAAAGAGGGCGACCATTTTGTCCTCGAAGGAGAAATGCTTCATCTACCTCCTGGACAAGCATTCTCCATTTACTCGCTCAGTAAGCATCCTTTTCTGTCAGATATTTATTACCGTTGCTCACCGTACGTACTGGAATCAGGTGCTGTTTTGCCGCTTCTAGCAGCTAAGCAGCGAGTCACTCATCCGAATGATTGGATGAGCACGGATGCAGAGGTCGCTTGTCCCGACCCAAATTGCAAGTCTAGGTTGAAAATCTTGAGGACTGGAGTCAGGACATTCAGCCATGCTGAAGTTACAGTTCTTCCCCTTGTACCCCAGGGCCACGGTCAGTCTAGCGCTGAATCGGCGCTAGCGGCGGCCTGATGGAGAGACGAAGAAGTTCAAGAAATGGCTGGATCGCGGCGGCCTTTTTTTGCAGGCTTATCATTGATCAAGATTGACTGTGGACTCTTTGCAAGTAGTTGATATACGCTGGATGTGCACTGGCAGGCCTGAGGATGTTACGGTCATGATGACCTTGAATATTTGGATTGCTACCATGCCTAGTAGGTGAGACTGTCTTTTGTTGCTACAGCCAAGTTGTGTGTCTTTGTAACAGTCGCGCATAGAATAAACATGCCTCGTGAGGCTCGTGCCGTCTCTCCAAGAAATGTTGGATGTCACTGCGTGGGATATCTTAAGCAGTACACTATTTGGTAGTCTGTTTATTCAACTTTATTGCAGCCCTGAAACGCGTGCCTATAAAAGGCAGACACAATCAACAAAGCTGACAGTAGGGTGACACACAACCTGCACACGACCATCTATTTCCCCGCATTAAGTGAACCTGAAAATGATAGACTATGACATGGACTTTGAGTTGAGCTCATCGTCATCTCGAGATTCATCCCCGTCGTCGTCGCCGTTGTTAGCACCCTTAGACTCATCTCCGCCCTCGAGTCCTCAGCATGAGACGTATATCTTAGACTCTCCACCACAAACGCGCCTAGGTTTCTCTCACCCATTCGCGGCCTCAACAAAAGCCAACAAACGCCCTCCACAGCGGGAAAAGAAGGCAGATACTCCTCCGAGTACGCCTCCCGCATTTATTCCGAAATCATTGTCTCGCAACTCAGTCTATTCTCGCTCGCTGGGAGAAAAAGATTACTTGCACGACGAAACGTCAAGTCTCTTTTCTCTAGACTCGAGCACATCGCATTACATTGATCGCGATGAGCGATTATGGGACGACGCGCTGCGTAAACCCTTCGATACAGGTAATGGGCACATAGACCTGAGGTGCCGTATTTCCCAGCTTCGTCGACCTGACTCTTCTGACGCGTTTTATCTCACCCTACAGTAATCTATCATTGAAGACAATTCCCGCGTCGGTCGCAGATCTCGCAGGTTTTTTCAACACGACAGAATTATCCGAGCAAAGTCTATTCTCCGGACGGAGTATGTCACGCATCAAAACCGAGCCAGTTTTCGAGTCCCGAGTGCGTTCATTTGAACGGACAAAGTCCATCATAGACTCGGGCAAGGAGCGTCATATGCTGCAACTCTACCTCTTTGGAAACAGCATCCGCGATCTTCCTCCTGAGCTTTTCAAGTTAGAAAATCTGACTGTATTGAGTCTGCGTGCGTTTTTTCGTGTCTCTCATTTCTATTATATTTACCAAGTTATAGGCGGGAATCAGTTAACATATATCCCCCCGGAGATATGTCGTTTAATCAACTTGAAGGAGTTAAATATCTCGCAGAACCGCTTGTCATACATCCCATCGGAGATGCGAGATATGAAACTCTTGAAGTTACAACTCAACCCAAATCCCTTTTTAGCCGAACTTTGCGTCCCTTTCGCCTCTCGCGACATCCTGTCTCAGCGGCGGCCCATGACCCGCATATCCCCACAATACGGGGAGATCTCGATGAATTCATCGAGAGCGATCACAGTATCTCCCTTGACGACGTTTCTTCCGGGCGTACCTCCACTGACTGAGATCTGTTATCGGAAGTTGCTTTGTTCACTGAAAGGCGAAAACTCTCGGACTGTGCTCAGCGAATATTATGGGGTCCCTCTTTCCAGCGTTTGGAACGTACCAGAAAATGTACGCGAGGTGTTGACGGAGAACGTGCCCGGTGTTTTCAAGTCCAATGGTATCCCTCGAAAGCATGGCAGGAGGCCGTCGCAGGGCTCGGGCGGGTGTGCAAACCCGGAGCACAAGGGCCGATTCTTCGTGAGGCACGCTGCGGAACGATTCACATGGGAGCGTCGCATTGCTGGTGTAAACGTGGGCGGAGCAGTTCCGCTGCGATGGAGAGGGTGCATAGAGACGTGCTTGGGGTTCTTGGATGAGGATGCACGCCAGGCTAACGCTATAGAGCTGCCACCCACGGATGCGATGGATTTTGATGAGACGGAGGCCGTGATGGCAATGGACTTGAGCGGGTTCGGCGTGGATGAATTTGATGACTGAAGGTATACCAACGAACAATCAAGACACTTCGTATTGTGACAAATTTGTATAGTGAGTATCTGTTTCCATCGTCCTGTATGATATATACTATACCTTGTGCATCAACCTTTATAGTGTCAGTGACTACATATGCCTTACAACTGGATTGCAATCACCTGCTTCTCATTTACGTATAGGAATTTTTGGCCGCTCCCGGCTCCGGTAACTGACTTACAAGTAACTTCATATTAATAGATAGATCAGGCTTCCCAATTCCTCCTTAGCCGCCATTGGAGTGATCCAAGCAAGTTAATATGTCGCCTTACCGCTACCGTGTACCTTCAGCTGCACGCTGCGCAGGCTTTTTGGATTGTGGGGAACGAGTTCACAGTTCCTGCACTCCACTGGACTAGACAATTCCGATACAGTCTGCCAGGGGCTTGGGTGTCTCTCTCGCACCATTCCGCATTGCGCTTCCAGATTATGACCGCTTCCAGTTGCGGATGCCAATATCTAGACAATATTACACAGGTAAGGGTGTCGTCACCTCCAATACCGAGAAAATAGAAATCTACTCTCTGCAGTCAACCTGCAAGAGATTTTTTGACGCACTTCGGCCTTTGAACCATTCAAGTTCGTGCATAAGTGAGTTTGCAAACAATTCACACATATGAGCCAAACTCACCGCGGGGAAAGCTGAAAAGGAGGGCAAGCTAAAATTGAGTAAAAATATATTGGAGTAGGTGGTTGACGCACCAACCGTGACTCTGAAACTTGATATCTTCAATTTCAGATAACCTTCGAGTCTCAACACCAATATCGCGAAATGTAAGTTCCAGCGCCATGAGATAGCCGGTCAGTTGAATCTCTCCTACCTCAAGTGCCAAATCTCTCGTTATTCTGACAATATATCATTCATTCTCGCTCACTACCTATATCATGGAATAACCTGTTCTTTTAGACCCTGGGCGGAAGGACGCGATCTACTTGGCTCCCAGAACGTGTTCTGATAAAGCGTTTTATTACTGACATCCCCAGACCCCTCGTTTACACCACAATGCTTCTCCCATATCACTACACCATACCACTACACCACATTTTCACAACAGCGCTGTATTGACGGAGTGCCGTCTGACGAGATGCAACCTTCGGCGAACTGGGTAACTCCCCCACACAAGTATCCGCACGGAGCCCAATTGCATATTTTCTTGATATTCTCCGAGTCGGATGTCGCTCGCACACTGAGAGGACTGACAATGGTTAATGCCAGAAGAATAGTTGTCAAGAAGTTCATCTAGACCATCAGTGTCATAAGTTGGATCTACGGTCGGTGAGTTGACTCTTACCGTTGAAAGGTGCGAGTGTATAACTAGCGTCAAGCTAAAGTGCAGGTGTGTTTGTCGTTCTGTTGCTCAAGCACATCTGCTGCTTGTCAAGAAATAATCTCCAAGTTCAAACTCAGCATTCACGCCAGCATCATGATTCATGAGTAAGTATGCAGAATCTAACAACACAGGATCATTCGCCAGGGCCGTGTGAAAGATGAAACCAGGCGGTTCAAGATTATTATGCGGTTGCTGGCATCGAGTTATTGGTTGTTCGTTGTCAGGAGAATGGGTAAACGAATATCCCGGTCTTGAGCTTCGCGACATCTTCATCGCTATGTAACCGAAAGCAGGTGAAGTTGCGAATTGCCGATTGCCATCTGCAATGTGCATTGTGTGGCATTCCGTCACGGTGTCGCGGAAGTCAAACGGAGGCGTATCAGTCCCCTAGGATGTCCAGTTTACGTGTAGAATCGAGGTAGATGGGCTTCGGGACCTGTGGGTCGTGCCCACCACTGTTACCCTTGCATTATTGACTTCTGATGAAGCCAATTTAGCTGTGCATGCAGTGACGTGGCATTGGTTGCAGAATCTAACATATCTAACATGTTTGATCCCGCGGAAGCAATTCGTCTGACTCCCACCTATTCCACCCGCACTCCACTGCTCACTAGCACCGTCACAGTCTGTCAGTAGCCCCACTCAATTCCATTTTATTTTTTAGCGAGGGAGTGTATATTGCTGTGGGGAACAAAATAAAACAATATATTGGACTCCAGGTATGTTGTTCAGCGCACGTCATTATTGTGGAGTTTCAACAATATTTGCGAGCGCGGGGATGCTACTGGTCCAGGAGTCATCAGTACATCATACGTCATGCATTCATGGCGCGTTTACGACGTCTCAGATGCCAGCCCCTAAAGCACCATCATTCTACAGCCAAATAGCTTAAATTCCTTGCCAGTGCACAACTAGCTGCAGCAGAAGACAATGATGGCGAACTTCTCAGCCTTGCTCTCGCAACCTTTGCACTAGACCATAGACAGAAATTGCGAAGTAGGACAGATGACATCTGTAGAGAATACAACCAGCCAAAATCCATGGATTTCACTTAGACAATCTAGTGAAAGATCCGGTACTCACGGATATGTATTTTCGGTGGGGAATATCTGCGGTTGGACTGAGCTGCATTGCTCGATGTGCCACCTCAGCATATTCTAATCTCAGTGCACACTGCTGTGCTTCAGGAATAAAATAAAGTGGCCGACCTCAATTAGAACACATTTTATTTCTCACTGTCTGTCACTCGTATATTGCTTGTAAAAACCGTAACGGGGAAAATGCTTACTGAGACTATCATCGGCCAGCGCTAGTGACGGACAACATTGGTGGTGAGTGAATCTGTCTTTCTCTGACCTCAAGCAACCCTTACCCTCCACTATATGCGACTCACCAGTGTGCGCATCCGGGCCAGTTTGATATTTTGCTATTATCTCTGGACCTTTAAGGGACGTGCTCCTCGTTCTCGACCTCCGCACTGTCGAAAATACGATGTCGGCCACTATTTGGGAGAGAAGATGAGAAAATGACAACAGTAAATGCAGCATACAGATATTTATTATTGTAATTCAAGGTAAATGTCTAAATATGAACGAATTACTTGTAAAGATTAGTGTAGTTGCCGTCCACGAGGTTACCACTTACAGCTCATAAAGAACTGGCCAGTAAGAACTACATATCCTGCATCACATATGGCTACATTAATTAGAAGTCAGCGTGGTCCAAATGAGTAAGCGTCTGGTCGTCCTATACAGATGAGTCCTTCGTTAGGAAGGCGAATGCAGATAGCATCAAAATTAAAGGAGGAGAACTACTGAGAAAGCTAGGAAGAGTAGAGTAGACAATGATGCGCTCAGTGCATGTCCACGTGGGGCATCGCTTGTGTTGGTAACTGCTGCAGATATTGCACCAAAAGTTGCGGAAGGAACGGTACCTGCAGCACCATTTTCAGCGATTGCGATACTTGAGAGATTGGCGAAGCCAACCGAAGGGGGATTGTAGCGGAAGACAGAATATACATTTTTCTAATAAAATATGGAAGAACAGTTCAGTATTGCAAAACTCGAGGACTGGTCATCATTGCCACATACCAGGAAAGTATCGCCAATAATCCAAGAGGGGAACCCAGTACTAGTAGTTGTTTCAAAGAATGCGCCAATGCATACTGTTGAACTGGTTTGTGTGAAGGCAAAGTCCACTGGGCTTATCGACCACGTGGCCCCACCGAACGACAGCTCTACGTTTACAGTCGTCGAGCATGCTGATCGAGCGTTGAGCCACTTGAACTCGCGATGCTCAAAAGGTTTGCTTACGGAAGCTATAATATCCTTCCCATTCACCCGTAGCTGGTTGTGAGCCGGGAATCTGTGCATAGATTGCTTGAACCGAGCTGGCCGGACCGCCTATATTGGTCGTGCCAGTGTCGATAACAGCAGTTGTCCCTGAATCAATAGATATGGAGTTGCCTTGCACGGTCATTGCTAGAGTAGAATTAAGGAGCAAATTTTTTGAGTTGGTAAATGGCTTACAAATTAATGGTATATACCAGTATGAGGGAGTTCCGGGAATATCGATGTAATCAATTGAACCAGTATACAAGCTACTGTTTGTGTAACCTAAGAGCAGTTTTGTTTTAGCAGATGCCTCACGGTCTGAAACGTCTCGCACCCATATTAAGGACTCCTCCGGGCTCAAGTACCTGGGCGGTGGAATCATTTTTATACCTGTTCCGTGTTAGTAATACACTTCGTTCCAGAGAGCAAATGTTGTCACCGAGTGAGCTGAACAGCAAACAGAGCTGAGTCCCAAGCATTACTGGAGGCCAAAATCTGCCACAAGGGCATTTGACCTGAACTTGATAGGGATTGCCATGCCAGGCCAAGAAAGCCAGAGACCGGTGATGCCAGTAAAGCTTGTGACACTGCGTCCACAACCGCTGTAATGCGCGTAAGTAAATGCCAGCGGGCCTTTCAATGAGAGGAAATTCTGACCAAAACCTTGACTGGCAACGGAGAATCCCGCCATCTGTACCGTGTCCTGTGCAACATAGCCATCTGCAGAACCCGAATCGTACAGTATAGTGAATGGCGTAGAGAGGTTCTGGAAAGTTGATGAGGATGATGGGTTGTATGTAGAAACCGACCCGCATGAAGTGCCACAAGAAGAACTAGCAAGCCAGAGATCACTGGGATAATGCATTGCTAAGTTATGTCGAGCGTTAATTGAACTGGAACCTACGAAGAGCCTGTATCTAATTTGACATCAAAAGACACCGCAGGCGTACCAATAGCCAATGAACCGTAATAGCTGTTGAGTGAATCAGGGAGTCATGCACACTGAAAGATACATCTAGCGCCTACCTAGAATCATACTGCTGATCGACAATCCTGAAGAAAAGCGGCACTCAGTAAACGCATTTCCCGCTATAATACTACGCACAGATTATAACCGGTGCTTCTTTTCCGTGTTGTCGCGTCGCCATACTTTGCTATCAAATTGTCCCTCTGCCTCTTCGCCAAAGCGCCCCATTGGGTGACATCTCGAGGCGATTGATTCCTTCTTAGAAGGGAGATGGCCTGACCAGAAACTGGAGCCACGTTTGTAGGTGCTCCAAACGTATCCGCAGGCAGCGCGAAGAGGAATGCAAGAGAAATTAGTGGTATCATGTCAAGACCTGGGCCTGAGTTTGATCGTTCAGTCACCAGAGAAGATCCAATGCGAGAGACCACAAGCCAGTGGAGAATGAGGAATACTGGCGAATATATAATAGGATGCCGGCCAGCCAATTGCCTTGAAATACATATTGGTGCTGCACCGAGCACTGCACATTTCAAGTTGTCCGCAGCTAGCCGCAGCGTGAAGCGTCTGACATCGCCAACCGCAGTAAACCAATGTGTTCATGGTAGGATTCCCTACCATGCCAACTTCAAGAGTCCTAGTGATGTTCCGGCCCGGCTTGGGCTCAAAGCTGTGGCTGAGGCTCCGCTTGGAGCGGCCCAGGCTTAGAAAAATTATAGCCTGAGCCGTGAGCCCAAGCCAGGCCCAAGTCGGGGGCTTGATCCCAACAGGCCGCGGCTCAGTAGGCTGGTGTCATGTGGCAGTCAGTTGCAGAGGATTAGGCAGGTTGAGAGTGGGCAGCGCACCTTGTTCGTCTCCTCAATGACTCCCGGCATCTTCCTTTCTCTTTCGCCAAAGTGTCGTCTGCATTCGCCTTAGCCACGCTAGCAAATGTTGGCGTGTGCTGGGCGCATGCGCTAGACACTGGTGAACAGACGGAAATGTCGGAAGTTTGCGAGATCGGGCTGCTATTGACATGCCGTTGATATGCCGATTGAAATGATGCGATAAGATTTCTCGCGGAGTTTCAATGGATTGCAACGCCCTTGCAATTGCCTTTACACTGACGCTCGGCTACCATTCATTGTTTCTGTTTAAACTTTATACCATGCCCACAATACATCAGTAAAGTCACAGAGGTCACAAACTTGGGGTCTTGCGACAGCGAGTCACAGAGCCTCACAGTTTGCAGTGCTGATGCTAGCCTTTCGCGGTTAAACCTCTTTGCAACCGTCACAAAACCTCTTTCATTGTCAAGGTACATGTCCCAAGGTAAACAGATTGCTTGTATAGATTAGTGTAGTTGCCGTTCGTCACCGCTTATAACTCATAAAGAACCGACCAGTAACAAGTACATGCCCTCCATCACATCATATACATTAATTACAAGTGAGCGTGATCCAAATAAGTGAGTGTCTATTAGTCCCATACAGATGAGTCCTTCATTAGAGAGGTGATTGCAGATGACATCGAAATTAAAGGAGGAGCACTGCTGAGAAAGCTAGGAAGAGTAGAGCAGACAATGATGCACTGAGTGCATGTCCACGTGGGGCATCGCTTGTGTTTGTGACCGCTGCAGATACCGTACCAATGGTTGCGGAAGGGACGGCACCTCCAGCACCATTTTCAGCGATGGCGACACTTGAGAGACTGGCAAAGCCAATCGAAGGGGGATTGTAGCGGAAGACAGAGTACACATTTTTCTAATAGAATATGAAAAAACTGCTCAGTATTGCAGAACGCGGGCCCTTTATCATTGCCACATACCAGGAATGCATCGCCGAAGATCCAAGAGGGAGTCCCAGTACCAGTAGTTGTTTCAAAAAATGCGCCAATGCATTCTGTTGAACTGAGTTGGGCGAACGCAATATCTGCTGAGCTTATCGACCACGTCGTGCCCCCAAACGATACCTCTACATTTACAGTCGTCGAGCATGCTGATTGAGGATTGAGCGTTGAGCCACTTGAACTCGCGATGCTCAAAAGGTTTGCTTACGGAAGCTATAATATCCTTGCCATTGACCCGTGGCTGGTTGTGAGCCGGAAATCTGTGCATAGATTGCTTCAATCGAGCTGGCTGGACCGCCTATATTGGTCGTGCCAGTGTCAATAGCAACAGTTGTTCCTGAATCAATAGTTATGCTGGTTCCTTGCACAGTTATCGCTGGATTGGAATAAATGAAGAGACTTATTGTGAGTTGGTAAACCGCTTACAAGTCAGTGGTAGATACCAATATGTGTCAGTTCCGGGAATATCGATGTAATCAATTGAGCCGGTGTACAAACTACTGTTTGTGTAACCTAAGAGCAGTTTTGTTTGAGTAGATGTCTCACGGTGTGGAATGTCTCGTACCCATATTAAGGACTCCTCCAGGCTCAAGTGTCTGGGCGCTGGAATCATTTGTATACCTGTTCCATGTTAGCAATACACTTCGTTTTAGAGAGCAAATGTTGTCACCGAGTGAGCTGAACAGCAAAGAGAGCCGAGTCCCAAGAACCACTGGAGGCCAAAGTTTGCCACAAGGGCATCTGACCTGAACTTGCTAGTGGTTGCCACGCCAGACCAAGCAAGCCAGAGACCGGTGATGTTAGCAAACTGGTTGACACTACATCCACAACAGCTGTAGTGCATGTAAGTAAACGCCAGCGGGCCTGTCAGTAAGAGGAGATTCTGACCAAATCCTTGACTGGCAACGGAGAATCCTGCCATTTGCACTGTGTCCTGTGCAACATAGCCCTCTGCAGCACCCGAGCCGTAAGTTATATCAAATGGCGTAGAGAGGTTTTGGAAAGTTGATGAAGATGATGGGTTGTATGTAGCAACCGACCCGCATGAAGTACCACAAGAAGAACTGGCGACCCAGAGATCACTACGAAAATGCATTACTAAATTATGTCGACACGTGAACTGCACTGGAACTTACGAAGAGCCCGTGTCTAATATGACATCAAAGGACACCGCAGGCGTACCAATAGCCAGTGACCCATAATAGCTATACGGATACTTCAATCAGGGACCTATGCACACCTGTGAATATATCCAACACCTACCTAGAATCATAGTCCTGATTTACAATCCTGAAGAAAAGTTGCACTCAGTAAATATATTTCCTGCTACAATACTACGCACGAATTATAACCAGTGCTTCTTTTCAGTGTTGTCGCGCCGCCATACTTGGCTATCAAATTGTCCCTCTGCCTCTTCGCCAAAGCGCCCCGTTGGGTGGCATCTCGAGGAGACGGATTCCTCCTTAGAAGGGAGATGGATTGACCTGAAACCGGAACCACATTTGTGGGTGCTCCAAACGTATCCGCAGGCAGCGCAAGGAGGGATGCAAGAAAAATTAATGGTATCATGTCAAGACTCAGGTTTGAGTTTTGATTGCCAAGTTACCGGAGAATGTCCAAGGCGAGGGACCACAAGCCAGCGGAGAATGGGGAATAACGAATGTATGGGATGCCAACCAATTGTCCTGAAATACATGTTCATGATACACTCAGCACTGCGCATTGCAGGCTGTCCGCAGCTAGCCGCAGCCAACATCGCCAACGGTCGGTACCTTTAATGTGAACATCTTACAAAGGGTGTGTGAAAAACAGCCTCAAAATGGCCCTTGGTAAAGCTATTAGCACTAACTAGGAACTGGCTAACCGGAAATGTGTGATATAATAGTTTCGAGGAACGTGGTAACACACGAGCCTGTCTGACGAACAGCTACAGTAAATCATGTGCTCTTGTAGCGATGCGCCCCCTACAATTACAACATCTAGCGATGCCCAACAGGTTATCAGTTTCAGATGACGATCTGAGCACAGCCACCCCTGTATGTCGGGCTGTGCCTAGGTGGTAGGTGCTGTAAATGCAGCAGTATGTCCACAACCGCAGCATTATGCTTGTACAAATGAAAACAAGGTGGCGAAGAAAGCGGAGATGACGATTGCAACTGCGCTAGAGGTGCGTGTTGGGGGTGCCGCGCTTGGCTCCAACGTAAACATTGCTGAGTTAGCACCGAGAGTAGCGGAAGGTATTCCTCCAGCCAAGCCATTCATTTCAAGTGCAATTTCTGACAATGCCGCGAATCCGACAGACGGGGGATCGTACCGGAAAACTGAATAAACGTTTTTCTGTCTCGTGGCATTAATCATCAGAAGTGTATTTGCGCTAAGAAAGCATACCAGGAACGTGTCGCCTAAAATCCAGGAAGGGGTCCCACTGGCACCAGATGTGGGTATTGCGTAAAATGCACCATAGCATTCATCCGAGGTGGGCCCTATGGATGTGAATGCGAAATCACCGGGGCTGATCGACCAATTGGGCCCTCCAAACGAGATCTCCACCACAACAGCAGTGTTACAGGCTTTTCATGAAGTTTCGGTGCCCTGATTCCAGAAAGATATGTCGTACTTACGGTAACTGTAGAATCCCTCCCAGCTACCCGTCCCAGGCTGAGATCCAGGGATCTGAGCGTAAATGGCTGCGATGCTAGCCGCAGGCCCTGCCACGAGTGTCGTACCGGTATCAATTGCAGCATAAGACGCACTGCCACTTGGCAAAGATATAGATTCTCCTTGCACAGTCATCGCTTTCAAGGTGCTTGAACGACACAAACAAAAGTAAGATTACGGTGAAGCTCACAAGTAATTTGTTGAAGCCAGTACGAAGCTTGTCCATTGGGAATATCCTGGTAGTCGATCGTCCCAGTGTATAAACTCTCGTTTGTATATCCTGAAAACGAAGGTGAGACACGCCAGGAATGATATGAGTTACTCTCGTACCCATTGTAAAAGATCCACCAGGTTCTAGTTCGCCAGCTCGGCTGTCATTTAAAAAGCTAGATCGTTCACCGTAAGTGCCCCTGGAGCAAATGGACATAACAGGGATATGATTACCGAGTCAACTGGAAAGCCATTAAGGGTTGATTCCATTGGCCATTACTTGCAAGTGCTTGCCAAAACGGCATAGCACCAGAGGCTGCGAGCGACTGCCACGCGAGACCAAATATACCGGTGACAGGATTTTGCAAGAAGTTCGCTGTAGTAGTTGTCACTACCCCTATTACCCGTCAGTATTAAACAATCAAGTCGTATGACGACAGATAGTTAAATTCACCGAATGTTTGATCAGAGATCGTGAAACCTGCCATTTGGACAACATCTTGCCCGACAGTGCCTGCTGCGTAACCTTTCTCGTAGGTCACACTGAAGCTCTTACTCATATTTTTAAACGTAGAGGATTTTGCCGGGTCAAAATTACCCGTTCCTGCACATGTAGATTGGCATGCCGACGATGAAACCCACATATCTCTGGGAAGAATGTTAGATAAATCCGTGTCCGTATGAGTCGACGACGCACGAGGATCCGGTATCTAAAATTACGGCAAATGGGTAAGGCGGTGTACCAACAGCCAGGGATCCGTAGAAGCTACAGGAATTGAGCACACTTAGACAGAGGTGGAATACACGACATACTTTGTGTCAATCCCCTGGTTGACCATCCTTTTCATTAAATATTAGTGTCGCACTTCAGTGTACTCGGATCAGATAGTTCAGCATACAAATTCTCGCCCGTTCCCCGCTTTTGACTAAGTTGTGAAGAGTACTTCGTAATTGTGGCATCCCGCAGGTTCTTGGCATACTCCGCCCACTCTGAGATGTTCCGTGAAGGCTGCGTCTTCCGTGTCAAAGATATAAACTGTCGAGCAGATGACGTATACCCTTGAGGAGCTCCAACCACATCCGATATGATAGCCAGCAAAATAATAGAACTGATGGCCAATGACAGAAGCGTCATGAGAGGAGCTGAGGAATGGTGTATTAGGAGAAAGTTCGGATTACAATACAAATAACACTGGGCATGGAGAGGAGGAGCAAGGTGGGAATGGCCAGAATCGCATATTTAAGAGCACGGACACTCTGTGGGACTGTGAAGAACGGTTGCACACATGGTATCGGAGAGCAGCTCTCACGAGTAGCGAGGTTGTGCTAGTAGTTGAGGTCCATGAAGTGGATATGCGTATTGAGGCTAGGCTGTCAATGGACACCGACGTGGTGAATGTGCGATGCAAATGCCTTGTCAAAATTTGGAGTTAGTGAAAGAAGTTCAGAATGCAACTGCTAAAATCCCAGGCGCGACACAAAGACCTTGTCATACCATTTCTCGGAGTTTAAAATATTGATCCGTCACGCGTCAAACTTGCAGCCGCAGTAGTGGCAGGCACAGGCGTATGTAGTACAGTACCGAGTCAGTAGTACTAGTGGTAAGTTACAATAATTGATAAACTCACAAGCATCCTTTGCCCACACTAGTTGACTGTTTTGTCAACTACAGTCATGTGTGTCGGATTCCTAAATATATGTGTGTTTTTGTCAACATGGATTTGTCGGGGAGCGTTAGGCTTTGTCAGGCACGATCAGTGCCTGAAATTATTTCCTTTTTCTGATAAGCCCGCGTTGACGTCTTTGGTTTGTATGTAAGCCTTGTTGGATTGACCCTTGTTGCTTTAACTCGACAGTTTCATGTTGAAGTCGCCCTTCTTGGCGGTGTGCTTGTCTCTCCACAGCTCCCACGTCAGCGCTCGTTATATTCCCTTGTGACGGCTCAAATGACAATGGATAGGGTGCGATCCGTCGCATCTGCTGTCACGACAGTGGCAGGTCCTGGCAGGATCGCTTGTTGGCTTGCTGCATAATTATGCTAGTGGGGATTGACAATTTTACAGTCTCATAACTCTTATCGTATCTGCATCGTTAATTCGCTCAGGTGTGGAAAACACCATCGATCACTTAAACGCTAAACGCATCATTACTTCCAGTCCTGTATTCCCCCTTCTACCTCACTCATGATTTGCATCGCCTGCGTGCTCACTATATCGTTGCCTACACTTCATCATCTCGTCTTCTCCTAGCCCTCCCACTTTGTCGCACATCAAACTCACACTTCTTCATCTTCTCTTCCGGCACAATGCAATAGTCGATACCAATGCTTGTAACTCTCATTCTCGTATAATTCGTTCGTATCCAGTTCTATGTGCTATTTTGCACTAGCCGATCTTTCACTCTATTCTCCCGCGCTGAAATCTATCGAGTTCCCAATACCTTTGTCACTTACTTACATGCCCTCGCGGCATGCCGCAGCTCATCCGACATTCAAGCCTGGTCATACCCTCGCGCCGCTTCTACGACTCGCATACTCCATTGGAACATTCCTATATGCATAGTGCACACGCCCTTTACATATTCGACATTGGTACAACTCTACGCAAGGCCACGACAATTAGACGCTGCGAATGTGTTTCACACGTATGTGAAATACATCTCCGTGGCGATTCGGGTGCAAGTACTTGAAAAGGTCACACCATCTGTTTGTCGAGTGTTGTAGTTTACGGAAACACAACAAATGTACAGACCACGGCAGTGTATCTGCGCAGCTGCATCACGCCTGTTCGTCGATGATGCTTCGATCTGGCCATTCATGCATCCCGATATAACCTTGGAACTGAACCAGCAATCAAGCCCTCAGAACAAAATTCACCTGTGTTGAGAAGCAAAATTGCGCACGCATGGCATATTGCGAGTCAGAACCCAGGCTTCAGCTTCTCCCAAATTCTGAATGGCGATTAGTGTGACTCTGGGAAACGTCGGTCGGATACCTGGCAGGAATCAGCAGAACCATACGTATGGTATTGCGTAGGTCGTGGAATGTTGTGTACAAGCTTTCGGGGGTTTCAGGGATCAAATAAAGACTGTTACAACCGCCGGTACAATCTTCAAAGATGGAATGTTCTCATCTTTGAGACGGCGGTCTCAGGACCTTGAATAGGTTCCCTAAGTTTTTCCACGGAATCCCCGAGGGGATGTCTAAAGTCTGGGTGATTTACACCGGTGTACAATGCTCTCTAAGTATACGCTAGCCGGTACATATCCCCGTGTATCCTTTCGTCTGTCATGATGTCACAGTACTCCTGCTCTCCATCGCTTTTCTGTACTGTGCCAGCATATCCACGCTGATCATTTTCAGGCCCCATCGATTGGCAAATGATCGGCAATCATCACGTCGCGCCATACTGCCCAACGCATCGTCATTCACGAGCTCGCATAGCACTCCTCCTAGAGGTTGATCGGTGAGGGCACACAAATCGACACCAGTTTCTGTATGACCTCTGCGTTCCAGAACGCCGCCGTTCTGTGCTCGCAAAGGTACCATATGTCCTGGGCGGCTAAAATCGGATGCAGTCGAAGTGGGATCGACTAACTTCCGCACGGTGAGAGATCTATCATGGGCGGAAATGCCTGTTGTTGTGCCTATAAGCGTGCTCGTTTAATCGTGGCATGGACTTCAGAGAAAGAAAAACAGACCATGCTTGTAGTCTACGGTTACGGTGTACGCAGTTTTGTGCCGCTCCTGGTTTTCGGGAACCATCATGGGAATTTCGAGCTCATTAAGACGCTCCTCGGGAAGAGAGATGCAGATATATCCGCTAAAATAGACATGAAGACGGAATGCATGGGTGCAAAGGACTCGTACCTGGTATGCTTGATCATCCATGCCATGGCCTCCACGGAACAATGACTCGCAGAAATAATTAAATCACCCTCGTTCTCTCTTCGCTCGTCATCCATAACAACAATAGCTTCACCACGCGCGAATGCGTTAAGCGCGTCCTCTACTGTATCAAAGGAGAATTCAGTGGTTCTCAGCGCCACGTCTCCTACTTGAGTAGGAATCCAAGTAGGACTAATGGAGCCATTGCTAGCTCCATTCGTTTTGGTAAGTCTGTGATGCTCTGGCACAGAGTCTTGAACCGTGGTAGCAGGCATTGTAGTGAAGAAACCTGCGAAATGCTCTGTTCACTGACTGTGTGATCGGGTAATAAGAGGGAATATTCACCTCGGTGTGGTATTTTACTTCCCGCGATTTGACATCTGCAACAGTGACGTGGACGTGCACAACTTGAAGCCGTCGCGATCGGTTCGTTTGTAAGCGTAGTACTAGTTCGCTGCAGCGCTCATGGTGAGCAAGAAGAAAATTAGTAAGCTCGGCGAAAAGCCTTAGAAATCAAATGTTAATGATGAGATATGGAGATGCAGTTAAGAACTCACATCACAAATACGATGCTACTAATGAAGCCGATGTAAAGCCGGATCCAGCCTAAATTTGTATTTGCCGCATAGCCTAATTTGCCATTATTCCAGTGATAAAATTCTTCAATCAAAATCTTGCCTGAGGGAAACCCCCGAAACCGCCGGCCGGTGTGTCCGTGTCTAGCAGTAAACCCGAAGTTGAACGTTGAAACGTTGACATCTAACATTGATATTTGTATCCTGTGTATAATTTTCAAAAGGAAAATGGTATGGCATAAATCAACCAAAATGACGCTATAATGATAAAGCTCGCGCGCAACAGAAGACAAATTAGACTTCTAAGGGGGTAGTGACCGTAGGCAACACTCGTTGTATGATCCTGTTCCACAAGTAAACAATGAATCGGCTCGTGTTCCAGTACCACATGCGAAGCAAGTACCACGGCACGAGCCCAACAGAAGTAACACTTCTAGAGTGTAGAAGCCAAGATACTAGAATGCCCATGGCTATCAATACTGAATATATAATGATGTTCAAGTTGGCAGGAAAGGTAGCAGTGCCGATAATCGCAGACAGCAGTGCTGCAATGAAGAACGTTATTCTGTCGAACAATAAGCCGCTGACATGAAACGTGACAGGGAACCTAGTACCCAAGCAACAGAAATCCGGACGGCAGACTGAGCATAAATGGAAAACTTTCCAAGTCAAGCACAGAACCCGCCGCCATTCTGTTTAGGTAAGAAACCTGTGGGCATAAAGAATATAAGGTAGAGGATGGCAAATTTCGATGAACCTCACGTGATAATCGTGACAAAAGGGTGACATTAAGCTATAAATCTATTAACAATTCAGAAACACCATTTCTCAGAAATCTGTTCCACCATTCGCTAGATAAATGAAAAACGACAATTTTCGCGGTCGTAGAATTGAATTACTTGCAGAAATGAGAGAGTTAATAGTTAATTACAGTCTGTTCTGTGTACAATAGTAGAGATTTGGAAGTCAAAACTACTTATGACTCCAACAAATGTGACAGCTCAGCTCACAAAGGGCATCATGGCACCGTGCAAACATCTCCACAGCAATGAAATGTCCTCAATTCGTTGAATGCAGTCCCACAATCATCCATGTGGCGGTGAGTTTTTTGATATTTCTGATCTCAGCAATGTGATTAATTTGGGTCTTAGCTTTTTCATCAGGTCTGGTAGATTTGTTGATGCTTACAAGAAGGGACTTGATGGAAAGCAGGCTGCATGGGCAATCAAAAAATATCGGGGACATTGTGTTCTTCCCAAGTCCATAATGCGGGAGTTAGAGAGCAATATCACTGAGCTACAATTCATTATATCACAACTACGAGTCCAGTTGTGTATCATACTTATCCAAATCCTCTGAGTAGACTGTGCTGTTTGGCAGGACACTTATCCTCACAGCATCACACGTCAGTCACATCACATGAGGTTGGTCGAAATATGCTGCCTTCTACCTTAGGATAAATGAATGGAAAGATGAGCATACCGTGGACGTATTGGAGCCTCGTAATTGCTTATTAACTTGTGTAACCAACAATAGCGTAATGAGCAACGAGCACATGGCAGAGAAGGTAGAGGTGTAAAGTAGTATGATCACTTCATCTTGGTTCTGGATGGATGGGACTGTGAGAAAGCTGATATCAACAGCAACCATCACAGTAGACTGAGATAGTCATTAACCATGAGAACAATATGAAGTAGAACAACTCACAAATATTGCATATCCATTCCAGTCGCTATTCAGCTTGTCAATGTACTGCTCCCACTGCACATGAACGATCCTTCCATTGACCCATACTTTGTGGAAGGCCTTGCTCTCTTGCCATCTCCCAATCATGGCATTAATGGCATGAGAAAGCTTGTTTTTGGGGGCATTAGATTTTCCATACAATGATTTCTCTATGTCAAATCGGGCGCCTGGTTGTCCACAGAAATTCACAAACTTAGTTTCGCCTAGCAAATTAATCAGGAAATGTGGATAGCGGACTACTGGCCAAAGCTCACAGAGATGTTTCATGATTCGAGCTGAGATCAGTAAACATATCAGAAACAAACAACCGTCCATCCATGATTAGACTTACCGGTGATCCACATGGAATGCTTGCAGTTCTTGTTGGCTGAAAAGATGATCAATGACGATCCCACAAACAGGGATCAACTCACTTGCAAGAAGATCAATGATGTTACAAGTAACATCTGTCATGTGGCCCCCCTATCATTTTCCCTTCATCCTCACCCTCACCATCTACTGGCTCGTCCTCCTTTACCGACTTTCCATTGACTGGATCCTTGGGACCATTCCCATCCCTTGCATCGCCCACCTCTATGCACATGCACACACGTTCCTCCTCTGACTCGACCACCAATGTGGTCCCGCACCTATGACTCGGTCTGACTCATGCCACCAATGTGGCTTTCCTTTCCTGTTCCCTTCTGACTGTGGATTCTCGCACATTGTATTCTTACCATTGGATCGTTCCAACGTTTCTCGGTCTCATTCCACATTCAACCATCCACCACTAATCCGGCTCTGTTGCCAACGCACCTATACCATTCTCGTTTCCCCTTTACCCTTACCTACTATGCGGTAGCCTTGCCCTTAACTCTCTCCACTTAGTATAAGTAGTTGGTCATCCTGTACTAGATTCTCTAACTTGAATCTACTCAATCTTCCCTGGAACATACTTCTCTCTGAACGCCTCTAGGCTTCAGTCTCTAGTATCTTTTCTTAGTTGCTCCTCGCAGCTAAGTCTACCTCGATCGACACTCATCGTTCGAACTAGACTGTCCTTACTTTGAGCCTGGTGACTTCGCAGACATCCGTCTTAGAAGTCGCGTGACACACGCATCTGTGATCACTGCCAACTCAACGTCGCCAGTCTCACTCGCCATACTGGACCCTTCCGGTTACGTCAACGACCGTTAGCGGATGATGCCCCTCTTAGGGCTCCGCATAACAGATCTATTTGAGTGCGTAACAGATGAGGCTGAAAATACTTGTGATCTCGTCCGGAGTAAAATGTACTATGGATGTTGGAGAAGTAATACTGTCTATCGCCAGTCAATCCTGTAGGGCATGAGACACTTATTAGTCTTTGCTCACCTGCCTGAGTATACATGACGAGTTCTTTGAGTTCCACAACAATGTCTTCTGGAAGGAAGCGTCTGTTTGGAAATAGCTCAATGTGTCTCCTGCCAATGCCATAGTTGTGTAAATCATGCGAAATACAAAAGAGCTGTTGCAAAGTGAGTCCATTGACTTTGGTCAAGTGAGGGAATATATGTACTTGAGATTATAAAAACCAGTATTGTGATTCTAGTGCATACTCTGGGAACAATACAATTACAGGAGCTTAGATGGAAAGAGTTACACGGAAAGAACTTACTGATATGACTTTTTCGCTCTACCCCTCAGATGCTGCTCATGAGAGAATCGGATCTGTGGTCTTTGAACCAGAAAATGACACATTTTGCATGGTCAACAAAGTAGTACCCCCACATTTCTTTGCCATCCTTGACAATGAGCTCTAACCCTAGCCCGACAAATGGATCCAAGGGGATGCTTGCATTGCGCGCTTCATGATACACCTTCTCAACAGCTTTGTCAATTTTGACTCTAATGTGAGGATCTCAAACATCAACATCAGTGAAAACTCTCTGGTGTGTAATTTGAGTAAATCCATGTACTCATAGCAGGGGTTAGATGTACTTTATATGGCTGATAGAAGATCATAGCCCCTTCTGGTTGTGTGAGCGGCTCCCATCCTGCGACCGGAGCAAGCTCCCTGCGAGTCCATTTCAATCTTTTCGCTGATTCTCTCGCCGGCACGCTTACTCTGAACAATCCAAAGGACCTTTCTCGACCAAGAAAGCCTCGTACTCGTCTTTACTGCAAGCATGGATCAGGACTTGGCCAACTCGCTTGAGATACAATTTGCGTACACTAGTACATTCCTCCCGTATCGGTTGACCTCGAGTGGTGTAATGGGAATAAGAGTGATATCAAATGTCTGGCCTGGCATGGTGATATCCAATTCGGAGATGCCAGGAGTTGGCACCTGAAGATTCTGGATATCCATTTGAGGCTGGAACCCCTGGCTGGATAGACTCTGTAGAGGTGCCTTGAGCAATGGCACTGCGAGGCTCACAGGAGGCGCCGGCTGGGGGTCAGGTTGGTCAGTCCCTGGCTGAGAGCTCAAGGCTAAACAGCCAGGCTGTTTTCAAAAATCTTCCTCCCTCCCATTCATGATAGATTGGCAATATCGGATCAGTTGCAGGAAGACAGAGAAGAGACCCCTGTACAAATGAAATGCAGCTGTCTTGACCATGTACCTCAGCCAGAAGATGAACCTCATGATGGGAATACAGTACACTATCTCATACTGTATAGCGACAGAAATGGCCTATTTGCTATACAGTATGAGATATATATGCTATCAAACAATTCCCACAGAGCGGGGGTCAACCAATATTCACTGTGGAAACGACAAAATAGCTGGACCGAGATAGTGTGGAGTTAGCAACTTTACGCAGATAATAACTCGAACCTGCAAAGCAAATATGTCATGTCAGAATTAGATTGCAAGAGACGCTCATTCCAGAGCATAACATGAATCATGATTTACATGTTTTGAAGGGCCTGGTTTATTGCTTTGGTGCCTAATCTGATGCGGAATCAAATTGGAATTCTAGGATCCTTACATCTGTTTTCTGTCAGGATTTAGACAAAAACAGGTCTGATTATACTCTAGGTAGACATTGATGAGAACTGCTTCTAGTAAAACGTTTTCCTCGCTGAATTCTGCTCGTCCGCGTGCAAAATGATGAGCGAGCACTTGTCCCCCACCAACCAACACCTATGCTCCCAGCCAACCAGGGAACCCAACGATGTCCCAGTGGTGCTATCAGTCCAGTGAGTCGATAAAACCATCATCCTCAGCCATACAACGCGGGACCACCTCACTATATGCACCATGAATATTAGCACTATCAATGGAAACTGAGATTAGGATACTGACCCATGAGAAATGACTACTACTTGACTTGCAGCCTTGATAGCCAGTACAGGCATCAAAGTGCCTAGGTTTGTCGGTGATCAGCGCCCTCTGTCTTTCAGTGTTCATCGACGATGTATGCACCTCAACCGGTCCTCTAGAACATATCCAAGAAGTTGATTCGGGGACTTGAGCCAGGAAGCTCATCGTTGCTGAGAAACACGCAACCGTTTAACAACTAAAGGTGGCTGGAAGAGGCGATAAAGGCTGGACATGACCCATGATGGTTCTGGTCAAAAGGACTTGACGAAAAAAAGGAAGGGACTCACCTCATATAAACTCCAGGGTTGGGTTTAGGTAGGTTTGGGTCTAACTCGAACGTCGGGTTGTGTACAATCGGTCTTTCAAGAGGGTGAGTTTGGCTAGAGTTATAGGTACTAAAATGGGTGTTGGTATTTGGTCTGATTAGACGTGTTTTCTCTAACCTGATGTACAGTTTGGGTCCATTTAATAGATCTCACAGGTCTATAAAGTTAAAAAATTTGTCAGGTTGAATTTGAGTCTGGAAATAGTACATTGTACTTTCTACGTCGGGTTAGACCTGGAAAGTCGATCGAGTTAGGGTAGAGTTATTTTCTCGTTTCCACAGTGATTGGGGGTATCCGAGTCAATGTAACAAAAGTATTTGGCGAGTACATCGAAATTGTGTCACTACCTGGGATTCCAGAATCTGTCTAATGTAGCTTGCTTTGAATTCTGCAAATCCTCGTGCTGTAGTGTCGCTTGGAATACATGAAGCTTGTGAAGAAGGTCAAGTGATGAACCAGCACCAGCTCATGCAATACATGCCATCTCAAGCTTTTCACAGAGCAGAATTAGTTCTGCAACACAGATCTTGGATTGATCGTTGTCGTCACCATCATCATCTGATTCCACTTTAACCAGCTCCCCACTCCTAATTGCTTGCCAGCGCCAAATTTCTGCAACAATTGCATCATCATCTTCATAGGCAGCTACTTCCCCAACACTCTTCTCTTCTTGAGGATCGAGAATCTCATCAACCATCATTGGTGTGCCAATGATCTGTCTTCATGTTGTAAGCTCCTCTACAGTCTCCATCAATTCATGTTTGAGAGTTTCGAGCTGAGGTGCCTTTGTGAGAGGTTGAATTTTGACAACAAGTCCAGTTTGTCGACATGCAGCTGATGCAAGTTTCTTGACAGCCTCAGCTGCTTTGATGTTGTCTCCCTCCATGTCCATGACAGCTTTGAGGGCACCTGTCCAGTCCTCTTCAACATAACGATCACCAAAATGTTCTTTCACATCAGTAAAACATCATGTTACTTAATCAACTTAGCTAACTTAGCTCAAAACTTGTTTGCTCTCTATCACATCATTCACTGAACATATCTCATATTTTTTTGGTATCAAATATGATAAAACATGTATATTAATATACCTCGACAATTTTTTGTGAATATGTTCAAGTTGAAATTTTGGCCAAGTAAACTGACTTACCACAAGACACTTAAGTGTGAGTTAAGTCTGTTTAAGGCAACTTAAGTCATGTGATCTTTTACTGATGCAGGCAGGTTTCGGCCTGAGGTAAGGTCATGGCATCACTATTGATGAACTGGTGGATGATTGCCTATGCACCTGGGTCTGCATGAGTAGGGTGAGATGAAGGTGCGAGAGAGTTGGCTTGGATTGCTGCATGATTCCAGCAGTGCTGAATGGTGGATGGCTCTACAGCATCCCATGCCTCTTGTGCCATGACCATGGCTTCTTGAAGGTTTATTTTATAGATATCACAGTTTCCTGTTCAATAGCACATAGACAGAATGCTTGACGGTAGTGAGCCTTGAAGCAATGAATGACTCCAGCATCAAGAGGTTGAACAAACAAGGTCAGATTTGGCTCAAAAAATTCAAGCTGAATGTGCTTCGGTTGGTATGTGATTTTGTGCCCAGAGAAATTATCAATGAGAAGGCAGATGTAACGTTGTTGGATCCCCATCTTGATATCGAGTGCCTTAATCCATCTTGAATTTTGTTGTGTAAATTTTTATCCCTGCAAATGAGATCTTGCTTACTCATTGAACAATTCACTCATCATCCATGCTTTCTTATTGTTTCAGTAGTAGAACCCAGCACTCTGTGGTGTCTTGCCACCAAAGCATCGAGGCTTTCTGGAATAACCAATGAAGAAAAGTGGGAGCTTCTCACTTCCATCTGCATTTGTAGCAAACCTAAGAGTCAACCTAAATTTCTCTTCGAACTGAACACTCATAAGTGACTTACATTGCAAACAGACTTGATTCATCAAAGTTCCAACGGTCTCGCACTGGGAAAGTTGACAGAATACGTCCCACCCACAACCATTCATGTTTCACTGCTTCTATATCCACTGACCCAGCCTCACCATGACACTGGTATTCTTTGATGGTGTATGCTTTGCAGAACGGAGCTATCCACCCATCATTAATTAGCCACACGGCCTCCAGAACACCAAATTTCTCTTCCAGCTTCTGTCGCTTCTCCAAGAGCATTGCCCTGGTGTAACTCTGACCCTTCTGCTCCATGCTTGCAATCCATTCTACAAGTGCTTCTTTGACATCCAGGTGGGTAACAATGCATGGCTGTTTGCTTGAGAGAGCAGCAGGGTATGACTCGATGTGTTGCTCAAGGTGCGTGCAGTCCTTTAATTTTCGTGATAAGGTTGCCTGAGTAAATTCAAGTGGCCCCCCTTCATGTGTCTTGGAATGCTGAACCACACGATCCTGGGGTAAGTCTGGATGTGTGTTGATGTATGCAAACACCATCAGCCAGTCATGGAAGGTAAGATTCTTGCATCTGCCAGTGTCAGGAAGCTTCGCAGATGTTGCAGGTGTGTCTTTCTGGCGATGTGTCTTTGGTTTTCACTTGTATGGGGCAGGTTTGGGATGCGACTGGCATGTCTTAGTAGGGCTGCGTGCCATTGGGACTAGAGTGACCATCAAATTCATACTCACAATGTCGTTATGCATCAACTCCGCAACTTAGTGGTAGTCCTACTTGGTACAAACCATATCTCATAATGTATATTGAACCTTCAAACATTATACATTATACATTATACAGTTTTTTGGGTGTCTACCCACGTACCTTGATGGGAATTGCCAAAACTTGATACAGTATGGGATTTATGCATTATCAATGTATACATTATGAGAAAGTGTACTATACTAGTAGATGTCTTGCGCATTTTGGGGGGTAATGTCTATTACTCCACAACGCACAAACATAAAATTTTAATTCTTTGACAGTTCAATAGCCTGACATCGAAAGTACAACATCTTCTAGTTTTTCTTTTGAAACTTGATGTGTTGAGTCCGGCAGACAGTTACCATGCAGGAAAGTGCATTTTTCCTAGAGTTCGCACCATGTCTGCTGCAATGCCTGCCGTTGCCATCAGTTCATTTGTAAGCGTAGCTGCAGTGCTCATGGTAGCAAGAGGAGAATTAGTAAGCTCAGCAAAAAGTCTTAGTTATGAGATGGTTGAGAACTCACCTCATATGATGCTACTAATGAAGCCAAAGTAAAGCTGGATCCAGCCTAAATTTGTATTTGCCATTGCTGGTATGTCCGTGTCCAGCAGCAATAAACCCGAAGTTGATATATAACATCGATATTCAAGTAGTACTGCGTTATTTGTCTCCATACTCAACAGTTTTATACTCATAGCTAGCCATAGTATTTATTCTAAAGTCATCTCATCTTCGAAGGGTGGTGTGTCTAAAACGGCCCGCAAGAATGGCGGACTGGTGGGGGTACGCCTCACACCAGGGCATCCGTGCACTAGACTGGTGACCAGCCCGTCTATGAGGCAAGCCATCAATAGACAGACTGGTAAAACTGGGTTTGAATTTGGATACTGAGCGGATTCCCAGGGTAACGTGATGGATAAACCTTTTCGGGCATATCAGAGACCACGTGAACCTTTGCTAAGTTATTGCTAAGTCCTAAGTTAGTGTCACACTGATGTCGACAGTCGAGCATGCTAACGGCTGCTGGGCAGTTTCATTCACTGTGTCCATTGTTCCTTCTGTGTATTTATTGCTTTATGTTATTATTCTTGCCTGTTTTATAGCTCCTGGACCAGTCAGACTCACAGCCTGCACTCAAGATGCGAGGCGCTCAGGCTTCAATGGTTCTCGATCATGGAGACTTCAATTGTTCATTCGATTCTGGTTTCGCAGACATCACAACAAGTGCAGCTTCTCTACGACTCTCACAGAATGAGCGCATCAAATCTGCTATTAAGATTCTTCGAGACGGCTGCATATTCATTCTTGACTTTATGTCTACAATCCTTGATCCTTCGCAGCTCGATTTCGCCATCAACCGTGACCGAATATACTACCCCTCGAAGGAAAATCTCAAGGATGGGTCCTCATGTGGGAAACTGGAGCAAGTATTGGACCAAATCTTTGCCGACTCATGAGGGCGCTCTCGACTGTTGAACTTGTTTCACCCCCATGCTGTTACCTATGTCTGTGAAACTGTTAGCACCAAAATGGATGCTGTGAAGGAAGATCTTCAGGCAACGCTTGACTCCATCACTCCAGAGTTCTTGTCGGCATGGGACCTTAATTCGATGATGCGAGACACAGTTGTACCCAAAGCGCCAGTCCTGCAATCTATCCTCCATCATGCTGCTCAGACGGATCGTGCTGTGGCCAAGAACAAGATAAAAGATTGCAGCACTGTATGATACACTACATTTCCTGATGTTTGTATATTTTTCGTTAATGATCATACTTGTTTCAAAGGCGTGTAACACGCTGAAGGTTCAACGATACAGCGAGGCACGAACAAAGCTCCTGACTGTATCTATAAATGTTGTAAGGTCGCGCGTTGCCTAGTCTGCTATACTTGAGACGACAAGTGCGTTCGACTCTAAAGGGGAATTGAGTGCAGCAAGGATCTAGTAGTAGGCGCTGAAGGCGCTACTGGTTGGCGAATGCGAAGCGCGGGAAAGCGCAGGTGCGCACGAGGCGCGAGAATGCGCGAAGCGCGGGAATGCACGCGCGTATATGCGGAAACAAGAGAGAGTAAGAGTGAGTTTGCTTAAGTGATGATTAGACACTAGACAAGAGGTGAAAGATGCAAGCTGAGATGTTATATGCGAGGTGCCAAGGAATAGATTTCAACTATACTCCGCTAGGTAGTAAATGGGTATCGTTGTGGTTCATTTCTGGTGGGTGAGTAAGTCAGTAATAGTATGTACTGCTGGCGCTTAAGTATGGCGCCTAAGCGCTGTCATGCAGAGCCGAAGCGCTACCGAGTAAGGTATGTAAAGATATATGTAAGTAAGGGTCCATGATAAAAATAAAGATGGAACAATATGCAAATGTGAGAAATGGAAATATACGCACTAGGGAACTTGGTGGACAGTGGATGGATGCTTCTGGATGGCTGGCACTATAGGGCGCTCAAGCGCGCGCGCATATACATCGTGAAGCGTGGGAAAGGTACGCGCGCAAGTTGCGCGATGCGCGGGAAAGCTGCGCCTCATGTAGGAATGGCTGTAGGAAGCATACAGAGTGATGCTACAAGTTCGTGCTGTATACTCCTTGGTGAAAACTGCAATATTGCACAAGGAGAGGCATGAGTCTCTACAGCGTACAACTTGCCTCTCAGCGCTCACATCATAGTCTTGTCTTTACTGCTCCATTTACTCTCTTTCTCTGGATGAATGGTGCATCCAGGCAAACCATCAAAGCACTGTACAAATGCAGCCTTTGCATTTCATCTACATCTGTTAAGAACGTGCTCAAGGGTCGGATCCGAAGGGCTTGGCTTCAGCTCGTGCGCTGTGCCCCTTATCCGAGTACGTGCCCCTAACTTCCGAGGGCTGTTGGACGATGTCCGAAGGTTGTCGGACGAGTCCAGAGTCCAATGTCTGATGCGCAGGAATTCCGGCGGACATTCGGGAACGAGGGATAAGACTAATCCGGATGATGTCCGAACTAGAAAGGAATCAGCGGAGGACTACCAGAGGTAGAGGCAGAGGTGAGAAGTCTATAGGAGTCGATCCTAAGACTAGCGGAGGACGACGAGAGGAGAAACTCAAGTCGGACGGAGGAGGGAATGAGCAGAGTCTGAGATAATATTCGAACTGAGGAAGTACAAAGATTCTACAGGGTTTATATACTACTGAGGACTTAACGGAGAATCAGTCTGTGCAGTCCGAAGCTATGCAAGGCTGTGGACGGAGTGTATAGAAAAGTCAAACACTAGTCTATCAGAAAATAGTAAATGAAGATGGAGATGAGAACATAGGAAAATAAAGGCGGAAATGAAACGAGGTACAGAAAATGAGTATAGTCTAACTGGAGAAGGAACGTACAAAGGGATAAGGCACGGAAGATAGACGCGGGTCGGATCCGGATGATAGATAGAAGTTGGCCAGATCCAGAAGTCCGGAAATGATGTGTGTGATAGGTCTGGGTCCGGAACACGGGATATGACAACATCCCTCCTTACGCTACTTAAGAAGCTTGCTGCACAGTGCCTCGAACATGCGAGACAGCTTGTTCGGCGGCCACATGTGATGTGCTATGACAACATCAACATAAGCACATCCATCTTCATCAAACAGCGATCTGATGCTCCAGCAAAGGTTCAGTTGAGAACCTTTGCCATTCTTTATGAAGTTCACAATGGGAATCCATATTATCTGTGCTCTCCATGCTACAGAGATCTCATTCAACTCTGATGTTTGTCTGACCTTCGATCAGATGCATTTGTTCCAATTGACAACTGCTCAAATTTTTTGGATTACGATCCATCAACACTACATCATCATGAACGTTGCAAAATGCCTCAAGGTTATCAGACCAAACAATTCCCCTTATGTACTTCGACTATCGATGAAAGTTCCATCACAGGAAATATTGCACTCATAAACAACATCTACATAAATCAACTGTGGATGAAATGTCACGAATTATCAGATTGAGCCATCCCTAGTTTTAATGATCAGTCTACCAATGCTCGCATTCGAGGAGTGAAAATGTTATGGGTCAAAGATGTCAATCCCTTCACTCGTCTTCAGGTCATCCAACTTGGATTCGGCTTGTTCCACCTCTGTCTTAATCTTGTCTGGGCACTCCTACACGTTTATTGAGGATCCATTCACCAAGTTGGTAGCCTCTCATATTTCTTCGCTTTACTTTATCGAACACGACTTGGATGTGAACACCCAGACTATCACACACTTCTTGCAACACTGGTGCAAATTCTTCGAGGCATCATCATGAATGCCTGGCACAAGGAGTGTGGACATGTTTTATTAGCTGCTTTGCGTCTTCAGGCCCTACTTCCGGCAAACTTCTCGAGATCGCAGACAAGATTCTCATTACACATGCTACACCTGTTCACAAGCCGTCCAAGAAGAAACGAAACCATGCAACTCTATTCGAAATGGATTCCAAACCCAAAGACACAGCTCATCATAACCTGCAGCTTCTGACCCGCAATCTTCTTTATGTTCTAGAGCTAACTAATGCCATTTCACACGGCGACTGGGGCCGTATCGAGGACATACTCGGAAACTTAGCAATGATATTCTGTGGTGCTGGGTCGAACAACTACTGCTCTGAAATCCTTCATTTTCTCTTCAACCTTAAGAAGATCTGGACTCCTGAATTCGCATGCGATTTCAGTTTCACTTTTGAATCATTTTGACGGTTTGAATGTTATACTATTTCAACAGGGACATTATGTGAGACAACACACTTGTCAACCTGACTGGCCTCGAAGGACACTGCATGCCTATTGATCTCAATATTGAACACCTCATCAAGTTTTTGAAGGCATGTATAGTTTTGTATCTGAACTGTCATTAATGAGCTGTACTGTCATACTATACAGCTTTTTTTTTCAGCAAAAGGAATTTACTCCACATGGGATTGTCTTGGCAACATATCTGCAACTGTTTCCCTACTACAAAATGTCAAAAAGCAAGTTGGAAAAGCACTTGGCATCGCATATCATGGCCTGAATCACACAACTCCCAACACGACACCTTCTGTCTGGAGAGTCGCAAACAAAATTAATGAACTAGGTCTTCACACGTTCAACCAAGATCGCAAGGAGAATGATTCTGTGAAGCCCATTACAGATGTACTTGCTGAAGGTGAACAGAAACTCAAATCTTCGACACTTTCAACATTCAATAGGAAGGTGCGAGAAATGTGGCAGGCAAAGGATACAAGCAAGAGGAAGATGAGTTGCCAAGGGCTGCTTTTGATTTGACTAGTACTACGACAGAGGATAGCTGACTTGGAATGTTATTATGCATGAATAGTAGGAAGTTCTTCATTGCAAGTTTTCTTGGCTGGTTGTGAACTTGAAGCCACTGCAATATTCTGTTCATCGAACTGAGTAATTAGCTTCAGTATCTGCACTCCACAGTCTTTGCCCCACTCCGCAGTCTCTTCTAACAACACAACAATGGTGTCTACCATCTTCACATTGTCTTGATGTGTCTTGCTGAAGAGTTCAAGGCTGCTGTCATTGCATATCCATGTAATGGGCCAAACTGATCAAAGTGGATGTTTTGAATGAGCTTCTGCCCTCCATGTGTGTAGCTTCTCAAGCAGAAACTTGCGGCTCTCTTTGTTACGCAGTCAGTTGTGCTTGCGTTTTGCAGGAGCAGTTGAGGATGGATCAATCCGATCACTGGCACTGTTGAATGAGTGCATGCTGCCAAGGAAATATGTAGACAGATTGAAGCCAGAATCAGGATGACGGTTGCAGCATTTTGCAGTAACATAGTGGAGTGCTTATCCATCAAAGTGCAGCGATCAGTGACAACTGATTACTCACAAGAAAAAAAGTTACTACCTGTTGGTGTCGGATCATTGAAATATTTTGCAAAGAACTCTCGAAGACACATTTTTGACTGTACATATTGCAGTGCAGCACATCCTGTACGGTCCCTTTTTGACGAGTTTTTCTTTGGTGCTGTTATTGCATATGGTTTGTCGGCATCATCGGCATCATCATGTTCTTCCGTCAGATTAACCTCCAGTGCCCATGTCTCAATCATCATCAGGTAAAGCCCCCACAAATGTCTATCTCACACAGCATGACCACCTCACTGGAGTGCTTCTGACAAGTTCTTTGGGATGCCATATTGTATTACGATCATGACACCTGGTATATCAAGACCCTCTGTATTGCAATGCAGAGTCAGTTGGTCAAAAGAAACTGACAGATGAGTGTTCTTACAGTTGAGGCTCCAGCCATAGCATGGATGATGCGACATGTGCCCGAGACTGATGCAAAATCATCACAAGTTTGCTGAAGGTATTCTGCTGACATGTCGCTATGGTAATGTTTCATGATTCCTTGGTTCTGTAGTTGTTTTGGTAGACAGGAATCATTGTATGCAGCTGCATCCACAGCTTCTTGCATATTATCATGGAATACAAGTGTCTTCGGAATCATCATTGGTGGTCTATATTCTGCTGGGATCAAGAAGTCAAAATTATGAAATTGCGGGGGCCCCCAACAAGGGGTGTTGTTGCATAGGTAATATTCTGATGGTTCGCTGACAGCGCTAGGTAGATATGATCTGGTGGCACCATGAGCTGATTTTTTACGGCTGAGAGAATGTGAGGTGGAAGTGTAGCTGAAAGCGCTTGAAATGCTGTGCCCTTGGAAAGGAGTGCACGGAGTTCACCAAGCTTTCCATAAGCTGGTCGGAAAGCTTCTTCACCATGATGCAACAGTCCTGCAGTGTAAATATTGTGAGCTTTGTCAATATGCACACACTTAATGCATTGCATGAAGGTATGGTCTTGTCGAAGAAGTCGTGCAAGGCGGGGAAGGTGACCATTGAACATTGATAACTGTTCTGGTGAAATGATGAGATGAGCAAATTTTCCTGCACGAATTGACTGGTAGCAAATGTTCTGCGTTAGCTCCAGTGTACAAATGACAATACATGACCAAGCTTTTGTTTTACCTCCCAGAGAGATGGATCTGCCAGAGTGTCCTCATTGATTGAGATTGTAGGTATGCCGTATTTTGTTGATTCAAGAACCTGTGATAACATAGTTCTGCATGTACAAAGTTGTTACACTTAAACTGAGTTACCTGGGTGGCCTGAAGGTGTTTGAGGGGTGAAATAGTCATACTCATGGTGCCAGGGCAGAGTAGGATAGGAATGATTATGCACAGCGTTTTTCCACTGCCTGTGCCTGCGGTGATCACACTATCTCGACTGTGGAGTGTTGCGAGAACAGCCTCAAGCTGGAATTGTCGGGAAATAATTGCTGTTGCTGTCAACACATATACGATCAAGCATGCGTGTAATATGTCTGTTCGGTCTGAAATATTGTTGAGTGTCTGAAGGTAATCTCTGGGGAGCTGTTCTTTGATAAGATCATGTGCGAGGCGATCCAGTACATCCAGTGATGCAGCTTGAATTCCCTGTACAATGAGTGATCGCTGGTCCATTAATTTACAGTAGAAGGATGTGACACATTGTGCTCATAGTGATAAAATTATCATATTAATTTTGTATTCTATATCACACGTCAAAAACACTTGTTTTCTCATTGGCCAGACATCATGTTACCCTGGGAATCCGCTCAGTATCCAAATTCAAACCCAGTTTTACCAGTCTGTCTATCGACAGTTTACCTCATAGACAGGCTGGTCACCAGTCTATTCGCGCACCCTGAGGTGCATCAGGGACAGGTTCCCTTAGACTAGAAAGTATTGTCCTCCTTAGAGTACAACTCTCCATAGGACATTTAAAAAAACAATTTGTATCCTGTGTATATGTAGATCTTCGAAAGGAAAAGGGTATGGCATAAATCAACCAAAATGATGCCATAAAGCTCACGCGCTACAGAAAATCACAGAAGATACATTAGACTTCAAAGGGGGTAGTGACCGTAGGCAACACTCATTCTATGATCCTGTTCCACAAGTAAACAATGAATTGGCTCGTGTTCCAGTACAATATGCGAAGCAAGTACCACAGCCCGAGCCCAACATAAGTAACACTTTTAGATTGTAGAAGCCAAGATACTAGAAGGCCCATGGCTGTCAATATTAAATATATAATGATGTTGGCAGGAAAAGTAAAAATGCCGATAATCGCAGACAGGAGTGCTGAAATGAAGAACCCTATTCTGTCGAACAATAAGCCGCTGACATGAAACATGACAGGGAACCTACCCAAGCAACAGAAATCCGAACGGCAGACTGAGCATAAATGGAAAGCTGTCCGAGCCAAGCACAGAACCCACCGCCATTCTGTTTAGGTGAGAAACCTGTGGGCATAAAGAATATAGGATAAACGAATGGAAAGATGAGCATACCACAGATGTATTGGAGCCTCGTAATTGCGTATTGACTTGTACAACGAAAAAAAGTGTAATGACCAACGAGCACGTGGCAGAGAGGGTAGACATGTAAAGTATTACAATCACATTCTTTTGAGTCTGGATGGATAGGACTGCGAGAAAGCTGACATCAACAGCAACCATCACAGTAGACTGAGACAGTCATTAACCATGAGAACGATATGAAGTAGAACAACTCACAAATATTGTATATCCATTCCAGTCACTATTCAGCTTGTTCATGTACTGCTCCCACCGCACATGAACGATCCTTCCATCGACCCATACTTTGTGGAAGGCCTTGCGCTCTGTCCAAACGAGCTTGTTTTTCAAGGTATCAGATTTTTCGTACAACGATTTCTCTACGTCAAGTCGGGCGCCTGGTTGTCCACAGAAATTCACAAACTTAGTTTCGCCTAGCAAATTAATCAGGAAATGTGGATAGCGGACTACTGGCCAAAGCTCACAGAGATGTTTCATGATTCGAGCTGAGATCAGTAAACATATCAGAAACAAACAACCGTCCGTCCATGATTGGACTTACCGGTGATCCACACAAAGTGCTCGCAGTTCTTGTTAGCACTGTCTGAAAAGACAATCAACGACGATCCCACAAACAGGGATCAACTCACTTCCAAGAAGATCGACGAGGCTGAGAATACTTGCGATCTCGTTCGAAGTAAAATGTACTACAGATGTTTGAGAAGTGATACTGTCTATCGCCAGTCAATCATGTAGGGCATGAGATACTTATTAGTCTTTGCTCACCTGCCTGTGCATACATGACGAGTTCTTTGAGTTCCACAACAATGTCTTCCGAAAGGAGGCGTCTGTTCGGAAATAGCTCAATGTGTCTCCTGCCGATGCCATAGTTGTGTAAATCATGCGAAATACAAAAGAGCTGTTGCAAAGTGAGTCCATTGACTTCGGTCAAGTGAGGGAATATACGTACTTGAGATTATGCGAACCAGTATTGTGATTCTAGTGCATGCTCTGGGAGTGATACGATCACATGAGTTTAAATGGAAAGAATTCCATGGAAAGAACTTACTGATATGACTTTTTCGCTCTACCCCTCGGATGCCGCTCATGAGGGAATCGGATATGTGGTCCTCAAACCAGAAAATGACACGTTTTTCGTGGTCAACAAAGTAGTAACCCCACATTTCTTCGCCATCCTTTACAATGAGCTCTAACCCTAGCTCGACGAATGGATCCAAGGGGATGCTTGCGTTGCGCGCTTCATGATACGCCTTCTCAACAGCTTTGTCAATTTTGACTCTACTGTGAGGATCTCGAACATCAACATCAGTGAAAACTCTCTGGTGTGTAATTTGAGTAAATCCATGTACTCATAGCAGGGGTTAGACGTACTTTATATGGCTGATAGAAGATCATAGCCCCTTCTGGTTGTGTGAGCGGCTCCCATCCCGCGACCGGAGCAAGCTCCCTGCGAGTCCATTTCAATCTTTTCGCTGATTCTCTCGCCGGCACGCTTACTCTGAACAATCCAAAGGACCTTTCTCGACCAAGAAAGCCTCGTACTCGTCTTTACTGCAAGCATGGATCAGGACTTGGCCAACTCGCTTGAGATACAATTTGCGTACACTAGTACATTCCTCCCGTATCGGTTGACCTCGAGTGGTGTAATGGGAATAAGAGTGATATCAAACGTCTGGCCTGGCGTGGTGATATCCAGTTCGGAGACGCCGGGAGTTGGCACCTGAAGATTCTGAATATCCGTTTGAGCCTGGGACCCTCGGCTGGGTAGACTCTGTAGAGATGCCTCGAGCAACGGCACTGCGAGGCTCACAGGAGGCGCCGGCTGGGAGTCAGGTTGGTCAGTCCCTGGCTGAGAGCTCAATGCTAAACCGCTGGGCCGTTTTCAAAAATCTTCCTCCTTCCCATTCACGATAAATTGGCAGTATCGGACCACTCGCAGGAAGACATAGAAGAGACCCCTGTACGAACGAAATGCAGTTGTCTTGACCATGTACCTTAGCCAGAAGATGAACCTCATGATGGAAGGGAATTACTAGTAGATGTCTACCAGAGTTCGCGGATTTTGGGGGTAGCGTCTATTACTCCACAACGCATAAGCATAAAAATTTAATTCTTTGACAGTTCGATAGCCTGACATCGAAAGTACAACATCTGCTAGTTTTTCTTTTGAAACTTGACGTGTTGAGTCCGGCCGAGACTCCGAGAGAGTTACTGCGCAAAAAGGTGCATTTTTCCGGATGTCTGCCGCACTGCCTGCCATCGCCATCGATGCGGTTCGTTTGTAAGCGTAGCACTAGTGGCGCCTATGGTGAGCAAGAGGTGAATTAATTTAGTAAGCTCGGACGAGATTATGGAGACGAGAACTCACATCCCAAATACGGTGTAGCTCTACTAATGAAGCCGATGTAAAGCCGGTCCAGCCTAAATTTAACTCGATGAAATTTGGGTCAGTCTGCAGTGTGCGCACCTGTATCTCTTACTTCGACCTCCGACTCCGGCGCTTGTTCGGACAGGCTCCAATCAAGGTCTCTCATAGATTTCTCATCTAGGGATTTTCTAAAATAATAAACAATGTCGCATCTAGCACCAACTGGTAAATGGGACGCAAGGTATCTTTCTTGTTTTATTTTTGGTGTTATCTCAGATTGAATTTTGACCTCGTCTTGGTTTGAAGATACATTGGTCCCGTACCTCATGACGCTACGTACTATGCCAAGTGCATGCTCGGTGGTGTTCTTGCGTGCGGTATCACTCACGCCGGCCTCACACCTCTTGATGTGGCCAAGTGTAACATGCAGGTCAGTTTATCTAGCACTTCCCGACTCCGTGGTATCTTATGGCTCTTGTGAATAGGTGGACCCTGCAAAATACAAGGGCCTCACGTCTGGTCTCGCCACGCTCGTTCGCGAGGAGGGTCGGACTGGTATCTGGAAAGGCCTCGGTCCCACCTTTGTCGGTTACTCGTTACAAGGCATGTTCAAATACGGTCTCTATGAAGTGTTCAAGGACCAGTACATGAACTTGGCTGGCGAGGAGCTGTCTAACAAATACAAGCCTGCTATCTGGCTCGCCGCTTCCGCATCGGCAGAGGTCTTTGCCGATATCGCTCTCTGCCCTCTCGAGATGACCAAGGTCAAGATCCAAACCAGCCCTAGTGGCACATTCCCCACTTCATTCGGTGCCGCCCTTGCGGAGATGAGCAGGACAAAGGCTGAGACCCGCTACCCCTTCGGCTCCCTTGTTCCTCTATGGTCTCGTCAGGTTAGCTGTGTTGTTTTGGTTCTGATTACATTTTACTTATGACGTAATAGATTCCCTATACCATGGCCAAGTTCTGCTTCTATGAGAAGATCGTCGAGCTCTTCTACACTCACGTCTTCCCTGAGCCCAAAGAGACGTATTCGAAGACCACTCAACTTGGTGTCACTTTTGCTTCTGGTTATCTCGCTGGTGTTATCTGCGCCGTTGTCTCCCACCCGGCTGACACCGTGGTCTCCCTCATGGGCAAGCCTGCAAACAAGGGCAAAAGCATTGGTACTATCGCATCGGAAACTGGCATTGTCACACTTGCAACCAAGGGTCTCGGCACCCGTGTGTTGATGATCGGTACTCTCACTGGTACGTCGATTTTACACTACTTTGAAATCACTAACCAACCTCGTTCATCAAGGCTTCCAATGGTGGATCTACGACTCCTTCAAGGCATCGATGGGTCTGGGCACCACTGGTGGCAAGTAGACTGCGCACTTGTGCCTACATGCCCTTTTTTATTTACTCGTCTAATTTACTTATGGCATGGGGACACACGATAGATGTTCCCGGCGGTATACAGTTTTTGGTACCTGGTTTATTCCCTCTTGCTATCTCTACCTGGTACACTCCACCACTCTTTTGGCATACGATAGATCACGACCGTGTTACGACCAATACCACACCATCTTCCTCACACGTGTGCCACCGAGACAAAACCCGAAAAGTCTGAACTCACCCTAACCCTGTTGCTTCGATAACTGTATTCGACTGCAAGAATGATCATGCGTATATCGGCTTCTGTGGTGCGTAACCCCCCACGTTGAGAAGTATCCTGGAGCACCTACTTATTTATGATCTCACAGTCTCTTATAATGTACTTTCGATTGACAAACAGTCCCCGTGTGGGGTGTGAGCGGCTCTGACAATCAGACAAGTCAGTACAGCAGGACCCCTGAATATCGATACGCATTTGATGGTTCATGTTCGCGGATAAGCAAATTTTCCAACATGGGTTTGGGGAATCGGTTTTATGCGGACAGCTGCAGGGTAATCGTGGAGCGTGAAAAGGTACGAGTACGAAGTGGTGGGGATGATCCAAAAACATCGAGCCAGCACAAAGAGTGTCAAAAACTGGCAGGCATGGTCTATGTACCAGTAAGTACTCCGACCCACCACGGCCATCAGGGCTACAGTAAGTTCTGTCCAGGTAAAGGATCCGAGCATCGACCAAAAAGTGAGAGCACCTTGTCTGGGGTAGACCCTAATTTTGAGTAAAATGCCTCCACACCTATTTTCAGGGGTGCTTGTATTATACAGCCCGCGGACGATATTGATAAGATGTTGTTGAGATGTTCCGTTGGGTGGCACTCTTATCTGGACACTTGTGAACTATTAAATTTGGATTTGGAGCGTATCGGAGAATATCGGACATCGATGAAATAGATGTCCAAACGTTCATCGAGACGACTATTACTACATTCGATATCGTTCTAGAGTGTGGCCAAGACAACAGAACCCACTGACGAAGAACATCGAGTTTAATAGGTCTGAAGTGAAATTCGGCCATCGCTTGGTTACTGTACAATGGTTTTAGTGAAGAAACGCGAGGAGATGCGTTCATCACAGCGGACGGATTCGCGAACGTGTTGCGCATGCCATGAACGCGAGTGAAATTAATATTTTAGGCCATGGGGCGAGACGGCAAAGAACATAGCTCGACATGTGGTTGAAAATAACTTGGCGCGCATTCACGGTACATTCACGTGTCAGACGGGGAATGGAACTGAATGGAGTTGGCGTCGAGGAAATCTCAAGTCGCCGGTACACATACATGGCCAATTTGTAGGTCCAGCCAGCTGGAGCCTGAAGGATCCTCGACTCCACGTTCGGGTTGCAACATCGAATGTTACAATTCATATACACAAGTCATCGCCAAGCTACGGTGATTTAATCTTACTGTCCAAGACAACGGTGGATTGAGACATCTGTATCTGCCTAGATAGACTGCTGGAAGAAGATTGATCCAAAGGTCATAAATAGTCAAACCCACGTGTGGTGAAGTGTGATAGGTTTGCGGATCGACGAAAAACCAAGCGACAAATTTCCGACGATATTGCTATCGTAACATATGGGTTTGCTGGCTGGCCGAGTCACTCCGGTCGAACATCCATAAGCATCGGAGAATGTTGAAAACCCGCAGTCCAAATCGGTTGTCGACAAAGCCGACACGAAGAAGGGATCTCCGAAAGACGGGAGGGCGAGACCCGACAGTCATCCAAGCCGAGCAGGCAACTTGCCATGTCGCCTCCCACGTGGCGTACCGGGGGTGGCAACTTCTTCTGTGGCAGGTTATCGAGCGCCCAGCGCTCATCTGTTTCTGAGGTTACATGATTCACGCACAGGTACATGAAATCCGCCAATAATTTCTATGGGGAGATCTGAGTGCGAGACTGTCAAGCATGCATGTTACGAGTGATTGATTCGGAAGAAGTCGTATATCACACGCGATGAGTTGCACTTTGCAAATAAGAGTGATGGTACTCCGACTCGTCAACGAACGTGGCAATGTCCTCGCTTGTCTTCGGGGCGTCGCCGGGTCGGTTGATCGCGTGCAACCCCAAGCGGTGGCAGTGCTTATTTGGAAGGTGGAAGGGTGGATACAGGAAATGCAAATGAGGACGCGGAGTGCATGGATTGCGTGGGAGAATTGCAGAACAATGAGTGCTACGCTGGCTTTCCGCATCAAACGTGAGCGCTCTGTTACATAAGATATGAACACTTGAAAAACACAATCATAATTAATACTGCCAGGCCGCTATCACAGGCCTAGGCGATGCTGTGTGGTGATGAAATCACATAAGGGCTTGCATACGTTATCGGAGCTGCCTCGAACACATCCCCATAACGACTACGCGAGGGGGATTGGATTTAGGCAGAAATAACTGCCAGTACGGAGTAGGGTCTGATGCAGGCTCGGCACTTGAGTAGAAAATATAACGATAGGCACATGTACAACGAGCGCGCCGTTTCCCACAAAGTCTTAACCAGAGGTGAAACTGTTTCGCGGTGTCACTAAATGATTGATGGGTCTCGAACACACACATAGCTTCGATCCTTGGACTACCAAGACCGGGTGGTGTTGTCCGCTTGGCATTCAGGATAGACGTGTCCATGGCATGGCACATGCATGTCTATGGGGTGACTTTCTTTTTTAATAGATTCCGCGGAAGCAAAGCGGTAATCTACCTTTGTCCGATGTGATTTTGGGTCGTGTCTCGACTGTGAAAAACGTTTCTTCAGAGATTAAACATGAATGGATACAATGTGGTGAACGTTTGGTACAAAGGTTCTGTAGTCTGATAATCATCGTTTGCAAACCTTCGATCTCGGCGCCGTCTGGTTACATAATAGTCCGTGTGAAATAATAATTTCGGTTGTCCTTACACCGGCAACGTGCCGGCAGTCCAATTATGAACATGTGACAAAGGAAGGGGTACGGTCCAAATATAGCTCAGTGTCCCGATTCGCGTCTATCCGATCACTCGTGACGACGCATTGCATTTTCATTATAAAGGGCGATTGTTTCAACGCTCTTGTTTTCTGTGCCCTCGTGCTTTTGTCTTCGTGCACACTTGCTTTTCTTATCTTTTTCGGTGATGCACTCTTCATATTCCCCACTTTTCACCTTGGGTCTTCTAGCGGAGCGACGGGCGGGTCTCTCGTCTGCACACAGCACCGGCCTTCCGGTTGTCCCTTCAAGTTCAACGGGCACATCCTACAAGTCGCATCCTGCTGCTGCTGATGATCATGCTTCGGCATTTTATTTCACCCTTCAAATGGGACAAAGGGATACCGTTGAACTTCGGTCATTCCTCTCCCTCGACCTGGCAGACTCCAATCGTTCGATTGCAGGTCACAGGCGCAAGCCATCAGTCATGTCAAAGTCTACTAGTTGGACCTATACATCCGATGTAACTTCAGCTCATGACTTGTCGTAAGTTTAGCCTTTGTTCTTATTTTCTCATCGTACTGACTTTTCCCATCTAAAGACGAATCCAAAGACCCGCCTTTACCCGTCTTCCACCATTACCTTCCGCAAGTACGCTCCACCGATCGTCCCGTGAATCTTTGAGGCAAATTCCTTCTCCTAAACCCGCTCCGGTATCATCTACCTTACCCGAGCCCCCAACTTCCTTTGATCGCCCCCCGAGCTCCTCTCCACGAAAGCCACTTTCGTCTACGACTAACGCATCTTTTTTGACTCCCCTGCTATCACCCACTAGCCCGTCAGGCAAGGGATCATCCCTGCGTTCCTCGTCCATCACATCACATCAAAGGCGAAAGAGTCGCATGGACGCTCTGGCATGTCTTGAAGGCCGCTCTCGTGCTGCTAACCGCATCCCGAGATCGAATCTCAGAAAAAATTTCATGAGCATGAGCGACGATGAGGAAGAGGAAGCCAAGGCACTTTCGTCACTGGGAAACACTCCCTTCATTCAAGTCGAGGATTTTGGCTCGTTTGCAGATATCGAAGATGAAGGAGATGCGATCGTCCCACCTTCCAAACATCTTTCCCAAAAACAAGCCACTTTGCCTCGTTCAGTCTCAGTATCGAAGCCCCCGAAGCGCCAGAGAAGAAGCACTGTCGATACATGGTTTCCTCTCAAAAGCTTCATTGATCTGAAAGACGATGATCTATCGTGGAATTGGCGGAGCTTCATCGAGATTGGCGGAGTCTCATGAGGCAGCTCTTCCATATGGTGAATCCCACCTCAGGCTGCGCGTATCCTAGAACATTCTTATTCTGATATCATATCTTGCGGTGCAAGCATACAGGATGTGTCGTCTTTGTGCGTATATCTACACGACCACTTATTATCTATGAATACCCACAGCCTTTTAGTATACCGCCGTCGAACAATTTCTTCTTTCATGTTCATTATTCAACACTTGTACTCTACTCATTACATGCACTCAGTTAGCGATTGACCATACACACATGACACGTTGACTTTCTGATACCATCGTTTGTGCTGTCTACGACTCTCAATTGAGGAGTAATGTATCTTGGTTTTAGATCTGTTACTGGATGTACAGGGCCCATCAGTTGATGGATTTACCTCCATTGTGCTCGGACTACATCTCAATGCCAAGCAATCGAGAGAAGACGTGACACCGACGTCTACTACATAGTACAGTAACAAATGTGAGCATAGCAACGTACGACATCTTACGGTACGTTGTTTAGTCCAATCGTTCCACCACGCAATGCGACAGTACCTGTGTCTGAGACTCCGCAGCGCTGATTCACGTCAGACATGGACATCGCGAAAAGAAATAGACCCAGTCTGCGGAACGGAAAACCGGTTTCATCCACACTTTTGGACCATTCTTACGGAAAATAACCATCTAATCTACATCAATTCCGAACTCTTTTCTTTCTCCAGAGGGTTCCGCACGTCACGGGTCCCACTAGTACTAGTACTATACTGGCGTGCTCTGCCTGGATACGCTCGCTACGAGGTGCGCCCACGAACGTTACATCGATGGCATCGACGGAACAGTTTGAATCCGATGCGGTGCAGCAGGTACTACTAGTCCAACTTGCAAGGTTATTTCGACTCGCAATCAAGCCTAATAAAGCAGGTCGTGCCTTGATGGGCTCGTGTTTTTGAACACCAGGGTTGCATAAGAGCAGAGTTTAATTTGCATCAAAATGACTGTGGGCCATGCCGTATCGATGAGACAACCTTGAACTTGGCGATCTAGGTACGCCCGGACCTCTTCAACGTTAACGACTGCCTGTCCAACGTAATGATCATGATCCGGACGGTTCTCAGCAATTATTGGCGACTGTGGACACGAATGTCCCGGGCGCTTTAATCACTCTCAAGGCAGTGTGCGGAAGCGAAAGCATGTCGTTGGTCCCACCAGGAGACGGATGTGGTATATTTTTCATACTGTCAGCGACGGCGTATTACTATCAGCGGTCGTATAAGTTACATACATATGTGTTGTGGGATTCGGAAGGAGGCTGTGATTGTGAGGTATCAAGCAAAAGTTTAAAACATGTCCATATGGGTCCGAAATTGTGATTGGAAAAGCTGGACATACCCCTACAAGTCAGATTCTGAGTTGCAATATATCGTCCGACTGTACCAAATCGAGCGCAAGGGTCGACTCGTTCACCTTCCGAGTAATCTAGCCAGCAGCGTGACTGGTGACGGCGGCGGCGGCGGAGAAACGGGGGTTTCTAAACGTTGAGGGCTGGATGAATGCCGGACCTGGTATGACACCGGGTATGTCCCGTATGTCGAGTACCGGTTAGATGGTGGAGCCACACGGTGCGGCATTGGCATGCGGGGAGGCAGTGGAGGAGCCGAATGGTTGGCAGGCCGGTTAGGCTGCGGCGGAGATGATTTGTGTAGATGCATCTGGTGCGGATGTATGTGAGGTCGCTGTGATGTCGACGCCTGATGTGAAGAGAAATGAGAAGCGAGTGCAGGCGCGCTAGATTTTGATCTAAGCTTTGCCTTCGCCGCTGCGTGCTCTGTCTCACGCTTCTTTCTTTCGTTTCGTTCCTTGTCGCTTGACTCTTTTACTTTCTTTTCTTTGTCCTTGTGGGAATCTTTGTTCTTCCCATCCTTTGTTCGCTCTTTTGCTGCGCCCGTCCGTCCTTCTCCAGGGCGTATGGGAACAGTTCTCCTCGGCTGTAATTCGGGCATATCGATTTTACCTAGATGGACTACGATGTTGCTCGGCGGAGTATAATTCTTGCCCTTTGCTTTGTCTTTGTTGTCGTCCAGATTAATTGTTGTCGGACCCCTGCGTGGTATCTGAGCTGTATCATACAGAACATATTGATGAAGTTGTTCATGGCCTACACGGCTTGAGGAAACGATGTGGCCATAAGCCTAGAAACTTACCCGCTTTGTGGCGGAAGCGTTTTGTCTCTTCGACTACTTGCAACACTTTGGGAACCTGGGATGCGCCTGAAGAGCGTATGGAGATAAAAAGCATCGCTTCGTCCTGAAATCGGACTCGTTATTCTGTCTTTGTCTTCGCGAGCACCGCTAACGCACCTGCAGCATCCGTGCACAATATCGCGCGTAATCCTTGACGGAACACTCGTCAACGACGAACACTTCATTAACTTCGCCTCTGCCGGTGGATGCCTGGATTTCGGCAACCCTTTCGACACCTGTTTTTGGGGCGGGTTTTGGTGGTGGGACTGGTGGAGAAGGTGTAGATCCGCCTGACACCTTTCGCGCAGTCTTCTCTGTAAAGCATTTTAGAGCTGAAGTAGTTGTAGCAAGAGCGGTAGGTGGTGGCGTTGCGTTGTTGTCGTTGGGTGACTGGTGATACTGATCACTAGCATCTTGAAAGGTAAGCAGTGCCGTCAGGATGACGATTTCTAGCCCTTTTCGATCATCTATATCAAACCTGTTTGCACTCATCAGTCACGCACGCCGCGAAAACTCTCATGTTTGATCTTTAGCTCACCTATTGAGATTGTAATCTAGAATTTGGACGGATGATGTCTTTATTCTGCCCGGAGGCTCCTTGGTGATCGCAACCATAACAGGTGGGTCGGGTTTTCTGATCATGAAACACTCCTCTCGTTTCCACTCAAATTCGTGTCTGTCATAACGTGACTGAGTTTGCATGACAGCTGCTCTATTCAGGGACTCACTCCTCCCATTTGAAGGACCATCGGAAAGACAGGGTGCCGGTATATTTCAGCTCGATGACCTTGGAGGGATTGTATAATTCTATCGTTTTATGTTTACTCGTCGCGCTGGGAGAAGTAGCAGAGGCGAGCAAGGATTCTGAAATGGGGTCTGCCACAGGCTCAGCTCGATCAGTCCCGATCGGCGACGTACGCACCATACACCTCGATTTTATAGACTTGCCCGGGTATGCGTCGCTTGCGGTAGTGTACGTTCCCCGAAGGATCGGTGAGGTCGGTCACGAGTCCACTCGAGTCAGAGGTATTTGGTGTGAGAAGGAGAGTGAAGAGATTTTGGTCCAGACTCATGGTAGATCAAGCTCTGCCCAAGAGTGCTCGAAGTAAGTCGCGGTCAATCACGGTCAGATGGATAGTAGTCGGCCTGGCCAAGCGTCGTTTATGGATAAGTGTGTTGAGTGTTAGGTGTGAAGTTTCGAAGATTCAAATTGCCCAGTTACTAGTATGGTTCATTGGCACGAGTCGGTGCCACGGTATTGCCGCGGCGCAGCTCGTAGGTACACGGGGCAGAGTACTGCGGATGAGTGCACTGTCTAACACGATCTATCAGAAGGCTTCATATCCTGATCCAGTAATCCAGTGTTCTGCTGTATGAAGCCGAAATATTGAAGTGCGGCTCCGAGTCTGATCTGCGCTGCAATGCTGATGTTATATAATCTGCCAATCGTTGCTGTCACGGCATCTAGTAGTTTGTTTTCTACATGTACATATACTCAACAAGCCTGTCTCTTCAGCACCCTCCCTCACATAGTCTAGGTTTGCAAGGAACATCCAGAGTTGACCTTTGAGTCACGCTGCAAAGCCTAAAGTTGAAATTCAAAATTACCCTGCGAGCTACACGCTACAGACTGAAAACATGGGGGCGACCGTCGATGTTGAAGTTTCCGCAGATGCTACAAGACATTCAAGTACGAGAATAATCACGAGTCAATCAAAAATCATGCAGGGACCATTAATACCATGGTATGTGATATTCCGAAACACCCGCAATTACAATCCTTTTGAAGGCAGGCCTTGCGTAGCATCTGTGGTGATGGCTCATCAAGCATCGAGGTTAGCGACTATGTTGCACTGGTACTTGTGTGGTGCAAGATTCCAATGATAATGAACTTGTGAGGGAATTGGCGAACGAGAGAACCGTATCCAGTGCGACCGGGAGTGGGAGTGGGAGAGGCTCAAAATAGAGATGAATCATGAGAAGAGCACCGGAGGCAAAGCGCTCCTCCGTGACAGAATTAATGACAAGTTAGAGACGCCAGGAGGAAGAACTTCGGCGGCATGCAGTGCGCAAGCAGGTCCTGGAAGTCTGCGGGATGAAGGGATGATATTGCAGTAAGCTATATGCATGCGGTCATAAAGGACAAATAGTCAGATTCGAGCGCTGGGAAGCACCGATTGCTCGATAGGATGTGATTGGATATATTCTGGATTTGAAGACAAGAGTGGAGCGCATGTATGTGCTGAGGCGCTGGGAAGGCATACTGTCAGCGGGTATAATAGGGTGCACTCTTGCTGTAACAGTGATGGAGGCGTGGAGGCGAACAGCCTCAAGTGTCCCGGGCGTCTATTGAAACGAAATAGGGCAAATGCAGTGATGCATATTTTAAACCGCAAAACACACACCTCTGAAGAAAGACGTCTATTATCCCTCTGAAGTTCACTTCGACCGTGCTCAACACCATAACCTCCAGTAAAATGTCGGGGCTCCTTCCGATCACCATCACCACGCGCCTGCGAGAGCTCAAAGGTCATGAAGCCTGGACCTGGGCGACCGTAACGGCAGTTGCAGTTTTCCCTGATAAACGACGAATAGTTGCAGGCTCGGACGATAGGGCGCTTCATCTGTGGGCCTTGAAGACAGGTGTTGTGTTGAAGAAGATGGAGGGGCATAAACATGGCGTGCGGGGATTGGCAGTATCACGAGATGGTCAAGACTCAATTGATTGCAAGCGGTGACAAAGGCGGAGTGGTCATCATCTGGCACGGAGAAACTGGCGAATTACTCACCAAAATAGCACGCTCCCATTGGATCTACTCGCTGGATTTTTCTCCCGATGGAACAGTGCTGACCATTGGAGGTTCATATGACGGAATGACAACATTGTGGAACACCAAATCCCGGCAGCAGCGAGGAAATCGAATCGAGTGTGATGGGCGTGTCAATTGCATACAGTATTCACCGTCTGGAGAACTTATTGCCATCGCAACACCATACGACATCGAAATATATGATCCATGCACGAGGGAATGCGTCGCAAAGTTTAAGGGTCACACAACATCCAACTGCTCACTCGTGTGGACGCCTGATGGTACACGCCTTATCACAGGTGGCGGTAGTTCTGATCCTACGATACGCGAATGGGATACAACAACCTGGAGGCAAGTCGGGGATCCCTGGACGGGCCACTCTGGCCATATCCATACCATTGCCATTCATCCTGCTGGCACATTCGTCGTCTCCTCCGCATCTCATGATCCATATATCCGTCTCTGGCGGCTCTCAGACCGACAAACCGTTGCTATATTCAAGCACTCATCCTTCACTGAGTTCTCGGAACGTGTTACTTTCTCGGTGGACGGCAAGCACATCTTCAGCGGAGGTGACTATAACATGATCTCGGAGTGGGTAGTACCTCAGGGTATCCATCCAAAGGTATATTTCTGTCCTTGACTCATATACCACAATTCGAGCATGTCACTTTATGCAGATCCTCGCTATTACAACTGCCCGTATTGCATGCATAAATGGAGACTTATCTACCGCCGAGGTTCTTCTCACTCGAGATATCAACGTCGATCCCAATAATTATACTTCCTACGCCCATCGCTCATTCGTTATGGCGCGAAAACACGACCGGGACCACGCCCTTCAAGATGCAATCAAGGTGGGTTATACGCACTGATCATGCGGAAGGCTGACTCGATAGTAACATAGTCCATCAGCATTCGGCCCTCATTGATAGGCTATATCTCCAAGGGCATCGCCCTATGCGGAACAGGGCTCATCTGGGGTGCGAGGGCAGCATTTGATATCGCATCCATGTACACGGACCAAGTCTCAGAAACCATTCATTTCCTGCTCTTGATCAAGGTATGTTACAGTTACCTCGCATGATATGTGCTTCATTCTGTGTTTCAGGCTATTGCCCTTTTCGGTGCAGATCAACATGACGAGGCAAACCTGCTCCTCATGGAACTCGCTGCTGGTTGTTTGAATGCCGATACTCGCGCATGTCATGTCGTGCAAGTAAGTATCATGCAGCCACACTGATCATCAACAATAATATTTGCAACTCGTACATTAGGCATATCTACGTGTTCAACTCGGACTCAAAGCCTTGGATGGTGCACGTCACGACGAAGCCGCTAGCCATTTCACTGCCGCTCTCAACTCCAGTGCTCTCTCATCGGAATCGGACATTCATGAAATTTACGAGGATTTGGTGGTGGTGCGTTAAGATGATACCTACACAATACTTTTCATACCTGAGTCTTGTTCAGCTCTTTGGGTGGGACCTGCAGTCCTTGTGGCAAAAGGCAAGCCAGAAACGGTGTGATGCATTGCTTCGGGCAGGTAAACCTCAAGATGCCGTCAAATCATACCGATATATGATGGAAAATATCGGCGAAACAATGAAGGCCAGCTGCCTTGAATGGTCTAATGGCAAGTCTGGAGTTCCTCATGTCGCGCAGGTTACAATCCTCACCCTCATTTTTACTCAGCTTTCACGGAAAAATGCAGCGCGCTCTTTCTTACCAGCGGAGATGCTGCCCTCGCTGCAAGCCATCTTGATAGGGCTATCGACTTATACTCGGCCGCGATCGACCTCACTTCTTCATCCCATGCTATCTTTGTAAATCGTACTAAGGCAAAGTTGGGGAAAGGGCTGTGGTCGGAAGCATTTCTCGATGCGCAGAAGGTACAATGACATGTATTGTTTCTTCACATGTGCTCATTGCGGTGATACACAGGTCATCCAACTCAACCCTTCGTCTCATATTGGATACAAGTTGAAGCATGCAGCGCTTCATGGCGCAAAATGCTATGATGAAGCTATTGTGGCCTTCCGAATGATGCTCTCAAAACTGGAAAATGCTCCAGACACTGAGACACGAAGTAAGTCCCAATACCCCATACACCAACACATTTTGACTATTTCTGCAGAGTTGCGCCAGCAGTATCTCAGTCCATCCGAAGTAGACTGTGTTATTCAAAAAATCATTGATACTCTACTTGACAATGCTCCGCTGCGTGTACTCGACACCACCACGGGACTCCTATGCGATCGCGAGGCGCAGATCCTCACCTTCAAATCGAGCATAGAGTATATGGAGCTCTTGTCATCAACAATCACGCATCGGGATATCCAAATAAAGCACGTTGAAGAAGTGGTGATGACATACTTCCAATATGTCATGCTATCGCACAGGTGGGAAGGGAAGGAGCCGCTACTACAGGATATCCAGGACAAGGTTGTCTATAAGTTGGATCCTGTTGGCGGCATCAAAAAATGGCAGTCCTTCTGCGAAACTGCTCGTGATTTAGGATACCGCTGGGCATGGAGCGATACATGCTGCATTGACAAGAATATCGATGTTGAGCTCCAAGCATCGGTCAAGTCCATGTTCGTTTGGTATCACCACTCCGCACTCACGGTCGTATACCTCTCAGATGTTCCGCCTTTGTCGAAGTCTGGTGCACTGGCAAAGAGCGCTTGGAACACACGCGGATGGACTGTTCAAGAATTCCTCGCTCCCAAAGTCATCCTCTTCTATCAGAAAGACTGGACTCTTTATCTTGACCCTCGCGCCCGCAATCACAAGGATTCCGTTGCGATCATGCAGGAATTGGAGCATGCAACGGGAATAGATCGACAAGCCGTCGTGGCCTTCCATCCCGGGATGAGGGATGCCCGAGAAAAACTTCAGTGGGCATCGACACGTATTACCACGTTGCAAGAAGACATTGCATACTCGTTATTCGGCATCTTTGGCATCCGCCTACATGTTGATTATACCGAGAAGAAGCAGAACGCACTCGGGCGGCTCCTGCAGGAAATAATAGCTCAGTCTGGCGATATTACTGCCCTGGACTGGGTCGGAAAGTCATCAGAGTTCAATAGCTGTCTACCAGCCGACATCACTTCATACAAAACGCCACCATGCAAACTATCATCTCTATCCGAAGATGAGATTCAGTCATCGGTAATCTCGCTGCAAGGTGTTGTGGCCCTACAGTCGGCTTCAGAATTATATCAAACGCTTGACTACCTCAGCGCTCCCCGCTTCGCACACCGCCGGTTGCATCTGCCTTGCATCGTATTCCCCGTCACAGAAGCCAGGCGGAGGCCGGGTTATGACCAGGACACTTATACATATGAACTCAAGTCAGACGGGCTTCGCAACCTACAAATCACCACAGAAGACAAGTTCACCCCGTTCTCGCCAGCAAGGCCGCCGCCCGTCTGGCAGACGATCCTGCTCGTTCGTCCATGGAGTCGCCATCTTCTCGGGCTGCATGACCCTACATCTGATACGCAGAGCGTGGACACTTGGTCCGTGTCCGAATCTTCGTTGCACGATTCACTCCCTGCACAGACTAGGCCGGAATATTTGGATTCTCACTCGGGAGCATTGCGATTGATTGTTCGCCTTGGACAACCTTTTAGTGCATTTCTGCTAGCGCGGCAGCGCGACGGAGAATTCAAGAGGATCGCATCCAATCATGATATCATTGCACAGGTTAAAGACATGGCTTCGATTAGCTACTTGATGGACATCAGGACACTAGAGGTACTGTAGCTGTATGCATAGATTTCAAAAATCTTACATCTGTTCCGGGAGAGCGTTTATCATGATTCATCACACCACCTCCCAAGAGATTGATAGCCCGAGGATAGCCCGAGTGAACTAGTTTTCTAAAACCACCCGCAATTATGGTTGATGAGATCAAGCATAGTACGGGTGATTGGTATGGATTCATACTCTAAACGTTGAATATGTTGTGAAACGACCAGTGATGACAACGTTTGTGCATCACACACTGTGAGGTCAATCAATACATGGCCAATTGAGCAGCTTGAAGGGTTATTTTGACTTACATAATATGCCAACCATCGCTTGTTTTTTTACATGTACTACATATACTACTCGTACTCCCCCCCTCAAATGTATTATGTTTCAGGTTTTCGAAGAATATCCAGAGTTGACCCTCGCCGGACGGCGGCTCGGAGGAGCTCGCAGGTTGATGCCGACTTCTCCCATTGATCCCTCACTGTGGTATTATTCGTCACTTTATCTGCAAGCTGTGAGTAACAGTTGACACAGGGCTATTGCAAGAAGACTAGTATGAAGGTATAATACCGAATGACGCAAAGACCGCCTCGCTGTTTGCAATACAAGTCAAGACGTCTCGGAGGGTCAGGTGAAGGTTCCCGTCATCTGATTCGATCCAACAATTAAGGAATGGTTACTGGAAAGAATTATAATGGAGCTGTAAAAAATCTGGTGCGAATTCATTTATTCCTCGTACAAATGACTACTTATGTAGAACTGGTGGTAATAACTGGCAGATCCTATGAATCTACGGTGTGTGGTGGCATTCTGATTCAGGCCTGGTAGGACTAGTTCAACCGTCAGGATACTAGTATACGTAGGCGGCTTTGGATGTCCCAGATTGGTAGACCATTAAGAGACGACAGAGAGAGTTTACGGGAAGGTTATGCAGTCCAGCAAACGACACATGCATGGGAGCGCTAGCGGTTATGCATTACCCACGTTTCATAAGCAGATGCACAGTCGATCGCAACTGTGTTGGCAGTGTGCAATCCCAGCAACTAGCCACTAGGCTGCTACTCAGTGCTACTACCTGATGCGCCATATTTCGCTGTAGGCCCCTCCTGGTTTGCCAGCACATGTAAGATCACTGACTCGGGAGTCGGAGTGGCATCAGGGTGCCGGAAAAATGGCGTCGTATGATATTCAACATCACTTCTAGTATCTATGAGACACTTTCATTTATTCTGCCATTTCAATGCCATGCTGGCAGGGCAGAGTTCTTCCAATTATGCCAGGTCTGCTGGCAAAAATGCTTCCAAACTGTTCTGCCCGCAACACTACAATTAAACTAACCTTGTTGGTTGAACGAGATGACTACAACAATCATCAATGTCTCATCGTCGAACAGTTCTCTTGGATTCTTTGTCTACTGAGCTCTCTCAGCAGCTCAGGGATCGCATAGATAAAATCCTACTGGAGATCATACAGCCGAACTTTGCGTCTCAGTTTGCGCAAGGCGCTCCCGAATTAGCGGGGTTCCGCGAGGCCATCGCGCCGAGCGACTCGAAGGATGATGTTAACTTCCTACGCAGCTTCCGAGAATTCATTCCCATCACAAACTACGAACCTTATAGGCCGTTTATAGCAAAGTTTTTGGCGACTCCTTGCATGGAGGCTGATGTCAAGAACATGTTCGCCCCAGGACTGCCCTACTTCTTAGCCATGACCAGCATGGCATCTAGGAACGCACCAAAGTTGTTCCCAAAGTATCGGCCTCCCCCGCACCTTTTACAGCAATCCTCATATCAGGGGTTTTTCCCGTCAGATGGTACCACCTTAGCACCATTCTCTTTGAGACATTGGCAAGTCTTAAAAATAGATTGCGAGGATGGTCAGAGCTCCAAGGATGTAGCTGTCTGCTCTACGAGCATCGGTATTTTGCGAATGGGAATGAACTGGAACGTCGAGCATGATAAGGATAGACTCGATCTGTGGGGTAAGCCCGTGGCAGCAATCTCCTCGTACAAGCTGATATCTACGCAACCTTTAGTTCCGGGAAGAACAGATCCATATGCAATATCTTTGGTTAAAAACTATCGCACTTTATTTATTCTGAATGCGCTATTTGCACTGGCGGACCGTCGAGTGACAACCATCCGGTTCTTATTTGCCAATGTGTTCGTCATTTTTTTGCAGTACGTGGAAGATGAATGGACTTTACTTGTCGAATGCATCGAGAAGGGTATCATCCCGGATGTTGAAGACCTAGGTGATCTGAGAGCACCTTTAGAGGTCATATTTTCATTGACCATTACATTGCATCGAGCTCACAAGTTTTCTCAGAGACATCTTACTCCCGACCCTGTTCGCGCTGCTGAACTTCGGGAAATAGGGCCTCCTGTCATCCAGGGCTGGGCAGCCTGCGTGTGGCCTGACTTGAAACAATTCGTTGGGATCACTGGAGGTCAGGCTGCTGTTTCTGTTCCAAAGGCACGTCAAGTGTGGAAGGTTTACCACTCAACTGATAGCCAGTGACACAAGATTGCTCACCTCCTCGGACCTTCCGTTACCATCAAGTCCCATGGATATGGTAGTGCAGAATGCGGTCTCGCCAGGGTATACGCTGAAGGCAACCCTAATACTGACTTCAAGGTGACATTTAGAGATGGGGTCGTTGAGTTTCTGGGCGTGCGTTCCGACGAGCCTTCAGACCGTGTATTGTCCGCTGTAGGAGTTATTGACTACATCTTATCTTTGTCTTCTCATCCCCCCCTTAGTGGGAACTCGTAACTGGTGGGCACTACGAGCCCGTCGTGACGACCCGCAATGGCTTGTGGAGATACCGCGTTTCTGATGTTATCACCGTTAAAGGCTTTGCTCCAGATGACGGCCTACCGATTATCAATTACCTTCATAGGCGAGAGTGAGTTGTGATGTCATCAGGTTTAGGCTTAGCTGAAGTGTCTGGCGGGGAAGTGACTCGCTTGGAGTGGCATTTGGAGCATCGTGTACAGAGTCGCAGTTGACGGACGCGATCGTCTCTGCCGCTCAACAATCGATCGGCCAGATTGTATCTTTCACCATTGTGCTGGACGATCGAGATAAGCCTGTCACTTATGGGTACTTGGTAGAGCTTGCAGGAGAACTAAGTTCGTGCTTGCTTCAAAATCCGAATCATTCACGCGGCTGCATACTGATTGACATTCACAGGACATGATTCGAGAATGGCGATAAATCAACTGTTTGAAAATCTTATCTCAGCAAGCGATGATTATCGCCTCGTTGTTTGGCAAGGCAAGTCAAGAAGGCCTACCATCCGTATCGTGAACAAAGGCACCTTTGCAGAATATCATAGGCAGAAATGCGAGCAGACGAACATTACAGTTAGTCAAGTGAAGGTCCCCGTCGTCGTATTCAACCCAGCAATGAAGGAATGGCTCCTGGAGCGAGTTATAACTGAGTTGTAATATTTCTCAATCTTTCAGAAGTGGAATTGACTAGTTATTCGTTCCATCTGACGCATGTGAATCATTGCTCCTCTAGTATCAATTAGCTAACTGAGTGTTATCATTCATATCGTCGTGTCCCATGTCAACACCTCAGTATTGTTTTCTAACAACTACTGAGCACAAGTACTAGTAATAGGTGTGTATGTAGCCCAAGCTTGTACCGTTCCCTTCTCCGCGTTGTCCCACGTTAACAAGTTGTTTACCTCCGAATCTCGCGCTCATCTGCTTGCGAAGAGTTAACACTCTAGGCATAGCCGAACCTCTCTAGTTCCACCCAAGCCCAAACCCGAGCACCATCGGACAAAGCTGGAACAAAGCTCAACAAATTTCTATATAAGTAATACAAGATCTGCCACGTTCTGAACAACGTTGTTCGGAAAAATTTGAACTTGGAACTTGCCGGGTGACCGCCTCACAACCCACAAGCCTTGAATTTTCAGATCAATGCGAGCTTCGTAGTTTTGTTCGTTTAATGCTTAGGTGTCCCGCGATCGATACTTACTTATTGTACTATCGTATCAAGTGGCTCAAGCGCCGTTTCAAATCGTAATCTCTTGGCAAAACACAACACCAACCATTTTAATTGTCATCTTATGATACGAAAGCCCGACGACTGAGGAACAAAGCGTTAGCGAATTCCTTGGAAGTGGAGCCCACGCATCTGCTATGCAATTGTGACATCTAGTACGTGAAGTTTACAAATACCTTATATTTCGGTTGCTTGGTTAGTAGTACTAAGTCACCAACAAGGTGGTATATGTAGTACATATAGCGCGAATGTTATATGTCATGCGTCTACCAAGTTCGTCTCTCATCCACACCAATTCCAATCCTCTACCGATATGACCATAGTCTCAAATGATCCCACTTGGTGGCCGACCATCGATGCATATCGTTTTTCCAGCTATTTTACAGGTTCGTGGACTACAGTCAGATGTTGAAGCTGATGTCTCAATAACTTCGACGGCGGTTTCGTAGCTGCCGCTTTCGTTGGAGTGACATATGATTGGGGTGAGCATGAGAGCGTTACAGGACTGCTGATATCTTACAAGTATTTTCAGCACTTACATTTGGACAAGAGGTATGTCAATACTATAATCGGAGCAGCTATCTCGCTAAGAATGGTTTTATAGGTCGAACTGATCTGGGTAAGTAGGATCTCATGTCAGAAGAACAACCACGAAGATACACTTAATCTTCATTACAGAGTCAACGCTGGTCCCTGATGACAGTTCTGTATCTCAGCGTCTGTGGCTTGCCTGTCACGGTTGTCATGTTGTGCTGACTTGAAAGTATCCTAGGTGCGCTACCTTGGGATCTTATATGCTGCGTAAGTTCGGAAGGTTAAACGATCAGTGTTGTGCTAATCGGCTGTCTCTCATAATCAGCCTGTACATGTTGAGCATGTCTCTTTAGTACATTCAATGTCTCTACTTCTTCTGACCAATGGCATACAGTCAATCTTCAGACCATCTCGCTGACAGATACAGTGAGTATTCTGTACAGATGCCTGCTATTTTCGTCCAATTAACCGTGTTGCCCTGTAGGGGTGAGTGTGGCATTTACTAACTTCTTGGTTCACTATAATGACCACCATGCTATACGGCTACAGATGTGAGTCTGTTTGGAGTGTGTGCCACCCGAAGCCGATCACTCACTAGATTCGTCAGGCTGGACTATGTACGTTGTATGGATTTGGATAAATGTTGTGGTATTTGCAATGTTGTGGGGTGAGCTTAACACTTGCGGCTCAGTGATATTGACGTAACTGAAATATGCTGCAAGTCATCATCATCACTCGATTACATGCCATGTATCAAGGATCCAGAAAGATCCTGATATTTCTCGTTGTCACCTTCCTGGCTTCCAACATTTTCGACGGGGTGGACGCCATCATGATAACGATACATGGCTCAGGAGGTACGTTTAATTGTGGATAAAAACAAACGTGCATGGGGCTCAATGATGAATACCAGAGGAACTCATTCTCTCGGGCACCTATCAGTGCTCGTTTGGCTATGCGGAAGATATCCTACTTCTGAATTCTGTTGCTTGGATACTCTCCATTGTGTGGGAGGTCCTCGCACTGTGTCTCGCAGTCTGGATTGCGGTAAAACACTTCCATGAACTGCGACAACATTCGGCAGGAGGGATTATCAGGGACTGTTTTGTGGTATTGATGAAGACTCACATGGTTTACTTTGCGAGGTAAGCTCGTATTGTCATTATTATTCCTTTTTTTCCACTGAAGGGCCGGACGTGTAGCTTTGTTGTTGTTTCTTGCTTCGAGCTCATTATTGAATTCTCTCCAACGGTAGGTCAACCCTTCACTTACCTCTGCATGCTAACGCAGTTAATCGTTTCTGTAGGCATATTCCCTGGAAGCTCAGCTTTATTATGGGTTTCTTCAGGTTTTCTCAGTCGTGCAGATGTTTGTGCTGGGACCCCGCCTGATCCTCAGTGTTCGAGAATATCTCGTGGCCAATTCCGATACAGAAACTGGCATGGTCTCAATTGCTTTCCAGGAGCGTGTGCATATATCAACTAGCAGTAGTGTGTAATACTCAGTGAAGTTAACAGCTGTCTGTTGCTCTACAAAGAGTTGGGGAATTCACTTTTATGTATTCCTACTTCATTTATGGTATTAATCTGAGTTCCGAAGTAGATTGCAAGTTCTGGGCCAAGTTTTCGTCATGTATTTAGTGAAGTGACTTACTATCATATGTGGTGATAATTTTCTAAACCAATGATCTGAATATGCTTCAGTTCCTCAGTAGTCCGTCCTGGATTTATCTTCTCGCCTCATTCAATGTCCCCGCCTTTCCTCGAAGCACGGAAGCTCGTGCATGCGTAGCTTGATGATGCAATGCATAATTGATCAGTTTTTACAATACATACTACCAAAATTACAATGATTTAACAACCCCTTGAAGGTCAAATTGAACGTGTCTCTGCTAAAAGCTGTCCCAGACTCGTATGAACGGTATAAGAACAATATGAACCAACTACAACGCAGTAGACAGCATAAAAATTGTATGTTTCCGAGTCGTTCAACAACATGACTGGTTGTGTGCACCGTGAATGCATTGCCAGCCTGGCGTGGATATAGCTTCTCTGTTTAGAAAGAGAAGTCAAGAAATTCCCTTTAAAAAGCAAAGCAAGTACCTCTCATGAGAGGGATACCGGAGACTCAGCACCGGAACCAGCATAAACACAGTCCATCTTCACGTCCGGCAGCGGGTGATCGCTCGTCCCTTTTCAAAAGTGTCAATGCAGCATCACCGTGAGTATAATACAAATGCTCTACCAGCATGATAATACGGAATTCCATCCTCCTTGTGTCCCCACCACATCACAGGCGACCACTCATCCACGAGGTTGGCGAGCGTCTGGACATGACCATATGCAGCCGGCTGGGGACCTGTTGAAACGAAGCCGAGACTCTGAGGCTAGCACAGAGCGCAATGAGATGCCGTGCACGAAGCCCATGGACTCGGTACATAATGTGACGATTAAGTTAAGTATCAGGGAAAATATCTTCAATTGCAGCCACGATAGGTTCATGTTAGACTCCTTCAAATCCATCATGTTGAGCGGGGTTACTCCCGCGATTCCGTGATTGGCTAAAGTGACGATGCCTGCAATGATGCATAAGCAGCTGAAGATACTTGAACATGCCACTCCGACAAGGGCATATCTGCGACTCGTCAGACTGCGGTCGTAGAAATCGGTTCTAATATCAGCAGTGGACTTCGCATCAGATATTGGCGAGTCAAACGCTTGGTGAGCCGGGAGTGCGTTATATGCAAGAAGGTTGGATGGATACCAATTTTCTTCTGTCGGTTTGGAAGAAGCTGCCATCGTAATGGGAGGCAGAGATAGCAGGGTCAGGGCATGATAGACACGCAGAATAAATATATTTCGCTTATGATCATAGCCTCTGGAAGAGCAGTTGTGCGCCACAGGCGTGATGTGATGTGTTATGTAGGGTTTGTGCCTGATCAAATTTTACATAATGTATTGTTTGTGTGTGTGGGCGTCTAGTGCAACGTGCGTACTATTACCACATGACAGAATATACTCCCGATTCCTTCAAACTCCTACTAGGAAAGCTCGTCAAGACTCCCGAGCATTTCACTCCGGAAGACCTCAAACTTGCGCTTCATCACCTTTTTACCCCAGATGCTACCCTTCCCGCACAAATAGGTGCATTCCTCGCTGCCCTTCACATAGAAAGAGTGGAAAGACGCCCAGAATGCCTCGCTGCGGCTGCTGAAGTCCTAAGGGCGCGGGCATTACAAGCAGTTATCGAAGACGGAGACACGGATTTCGTTGTCGATATCGTTGGAACCGGAGGTGATGGTCACAACACGTTCAACGTTAGTACCACAGCAGCCGTCGTTGCCGCAGGCGCAGGCGCTCGAGTGATCAAGGTAAGATTGCTTTACACCTGCTGCAGTAATTTATCTGATGAGTCAAACAACAAGCATGGAAGCAGGGCTTCCACGTCCTCATCTGGATCAGCAGATCTTTTGCAATCCCTTGACTGTTCATTTACCGCCCCTTCACCAGGCACTCCCTTTCCTATATCTAAGGTGCCATTCACCTTCATCCTCGGGCCTCATTACCATCCTGCACTCGCTATGATTGCACCATACCGCAAGTCCTTACCCTTCAGAACGCTCTTTAATGTCCTTGGACCCCTCATAAATCCTGCACGTCCACGAGGAATGGTTTTGGGCGTGGCTGAGCGTGAACTCGGTCCCACATTCGCTCAGTCCCTCTGTGACAATGGCGTCGAGCGTGCCCTCGTGGTATGCGGAGCCGAAGGACTTGATGAGATTAGCTGTGCCGGCGACACGTACGCGTGGCAATTGGAAGATGGCAAAATTACGGAAATCAGATTGCATCCAGACCTTTTCGGACTAGGTGTCCATCCACTCTCATCCGTTGCTGGCGGAACACCGACAGAGAATGCAGGGACATTTAAAGCACTGCTTAACTCGGGTAATGATATACCGGTGTCGCTGATACCCGTTTTGCACTTTGTATTGCTGAACGCATCGGCGCTTCTGGTTGTTGCAGGTTTAGCTTCCGATTTCAAGGAAGGAGCTGCGCTAGCGATGAATAGCATAACATCTGGACGTGCATGGGATGCCCTTGTAGCCTTTCGAAATGCGGGTAGGGAGGCACTGAAGGAGACAGGCGGATCTCAAAATGGCAGAGCTTGATGCGATTATCGATGTACTTTATCCGACCGGTTTGCATACCTCAATCTTTTCAGTCATCTATGCTTATGTACAAGTTATTGCTGTCTTTTTTTGATAAGATTCTTCTAGATGTGACAAACTATTTTGAATTGAGCGGATTACGAATGTAATGAAGAGAAGCTAAAGCATGACTCGGAGGTGTCGCCTTCCATTGAATGAGAAAATTGGAGACAATAGAAATACCGAGTTGCAGAACCGTGTCCGCGCGTCGTCGTTCACATACTCAATGCACGTTTTTATCCAATTCTTTAGTTTGGTCCTCGGTGAGATGGATTTGCGTGCAGACTCGCTTGATTATGTACGTATTTAAATAGTTCAAAAGCTGTGATGATACATGATTGGGCAAATAGAATACGCTTACATTTAAGAATTTAAGAGATACTAATCTTCCATACCAGTTTCTGTTTACTTCCTTGGTACCTTCCCAATAGACCAGCCAACTTCCATCAGAGTCTCAGTTCCAAGTTTACCCGGCGTCCGGGGCGAAGAGTTAGCCACAAGATCGGAATCCCACTCGACCATCCCCGGCTCAAGGATAGCAACGACAGTGCTACCTCCGTATGCGAAGTACCCAAGTTCTTCTCCACGCCGAACCTTGGAGCCCGCCTGATGGAAGTGAGTTTGGCATGCTAGACGATCATGTTCCGTATACGTACAGAAACGGTCCACTGGATGCTTCCAACGAGCAAGGCGCCGACTGCAACAAATGCGATCTTCTTATTCGTCGCGTCATGGTTTAGAAGGAGAACAGATCTCTTGTTGGCAGACAGTACATCAAGATTTTTCTCGTTGACTGCCTGTGGGTTGACTGCAGAAGGTAAATTTCCATTCGTTAAGTGCAGGAGGTGGCGCTCCTTACCTGTGAAATACTGTCCAGGAATATCCCTTGGTTCAGCGATGACAGTGACATCCGCAAGCGAGTGGAAGCGGTGATAGTCTGATGGCGCAAGGCGGAATGATGCGAGAGAGCCGCCTTCCAGCGCCCGGCAGAGCGGATCGGATTTGTCTAGCCCTAGGAGGGCAGGAACTGTGAACTGGTCCCCCTTGATCCAAAAAGTCTGCGCATCGTGTATCGCAGGGTATACGACAAGCCGGCAGTCCGCGGCACTGCAGAATTCGTGATCAGGGTTCTGCACAGGGCGGGCTCCAGGCTTGAGTTTCCTGTAGAAGAAGTCATTGAAGTTCTTGTATGCTGGGCTGTCGGGCGGATATAGCAGCTCGTTTATGTCGATGTTGTAGGTCTGTATGAATGATGGGATGTGACTTCTAGACTCGGGTGAGTCGTATATTTGCCCCTCACGCTTGCTCTGCTCCATCAGAAGTGCCTCGATGCGCTTGCTTCCTTCCAAGAGCTTGACCTGCTCCCTCCCATAAAATAAGATATGCATGCCCAAACGTGCATAGATCGGCATGCTTTCAAAAATTCGTCGATTGGTGCCTCTAATTGCGACGTAGTTGCCAACGTGATACTTGGCTGCGAGAGATTGCAGCTGAGGCACGAATTTGTTCAACCAGACGTGATGGCCAGCCGCAAAGTGATGTAGATGGCCATGGATGCCCTGGGTGACATCGTTGCTATTATCAGCATGTTGAGGATTGGAGCGCTCCACGCTCTCTTTGAAAGCCTCGATAATGTTGCCTTCCAACATCTCCATCCCTTGTATCCCTACTTGGCTAGAACCCTCAACACCACCTGGCTTGTTGAGCTCGGATTCTTTCAGCTCTGTCATTGTTGCGATAGAAGAATATTAAGAGAGGTTGAAACGATGTGATCAAAGTCGGGTCAGAGTTAACGTTGATCGATTAGATACCATTAATAAGATGTACAGTATTGTAACCAAGAGGGGTGCAAATGGCAAATCCCGAATATGGGGTAGACGGTGACGGCAAGCCCGGCTATGGGCACTTCATGCATCCTATCAACGTTCCGTCAACGTTCTGTACACTTATCTGGTCCGAAAATAAATATCAGATTGATCTACAAGCAGACAAAGTGAGATATGCATGGGAAGAGAGCTCAGAGCACCAAGGGCATTTTCGGCCAGAAACAACGATCCGAACCTAAGATGTCAAGATGAGCGGTGCGCATGAGGGCCGAAGGGCCACAGCATCTCGCACTCAAGATCGTGATGGACTCTGGGTATTCGGGAGCAGTGCATCGAGTAAAGATCATGATGCTGGTATTATGAATTGTAGTTTAAATCACTTAATTCCGCAGTGTTTAAGTTGATTGCAAGACGTATGCTGGTGAGGTAGGCGGGGGCGAACGAGTACGGAGAGTTTGCAAGTAGTGGTACGAAGCGAAGATGCCCCGAAAGGAAAAGATTCCGCCACAAGTACGTACATAAATAGTGCTAAGTATGTAGCGAAGTACATTTAGTACCGTTGAGTAAGCTTACTAATATTTTTTTTCGGCATTACACACTACTGCCGATTGATATATGCACGCGCTCTTGGAAAGCGATTGAGGTCATGCCAGTTGCTGCGTCGGAACCAGCTACGAGTTTAGCATGATATTCTCGAATACTAAGGATCAGGCGGGGTCCCACTACAAACATCTGTACAACTGTCAAAATTTGAAGAAATCCAGAATAAATCTGAGCGCCCAGGAAATCGTCCTATAAAAAATAAACCGTGGTAGCATGTACGGGTAAGTGAAAGATCAACATACCATTGACAATGGTGATAAATCAAGAATGAGCTGCAAGCAATAAACAACAAAAAAACTGGCACGTCCGACTGTTCAATGGAAACAAAGGAACCCATATTCACAACATAAACTCACCTCGCAAAGTAAACCATGTGAGTTTTTATCAACACCGTAAGACAGTCCTCAATAATACCTCCTGTCGAATGTTGTCGCAGTTCACGGAAGTGTCTTGCAGCAATCCAAACTGCAAGACATAGTGCGAGGACCTCCCACACAATTGCGAGTATCCAAGCAATGGAAAATAGAAGTCGGCTATCTTCCACATAGTTAATCTGGCACTGGTAAATGCCGGAAAGAATGAGTTTCTCTGGTAATCATTATTGAGCCCCATGCACGTTTCTTCCATCCACAATTAAGCGTACCCCCTGAAGAATGCATCGTTGATGTTATGAATACTACTCCGTAGAAAATGTTGACAGCCAGGGAGGTGACAATGAGAAATATCAGGATCTTTCTGGATCCTTGATAGATGGCATGTAACCGAGTGATGATCATGACTTGCAGCATGTTTCAGTTAAGTCAATATCACTGAGGTGTCGCAGGTGCCAAGCTCACCCCACAGCATTGCATATGCCACAATATGCGTCCAATTCAGTACGATGTACATGATAAAGCCTGACGAATCCAGTGAGTGACCAGCCTCGGGTAGCACATAATCCAAACAGACTCACATCTGTGGCAGTATAGTGTGGCAGTCACTAGTGAATCAAGACATTATTAAAGAACTGCACTCACTCCTACAGGGCGCCACAGTCAATCGGAGGGAAATAGCAAGCATCTGAGCAAAAGACTCACTGTATCTATCAGTGAAATGGTCGGAACACTGTCTGTATACCTCTGGTCAGAAGAAGCGAAGACGCTGAATGTATCAAGGAGACATACATAGCATAGTCAGGCTGATTATGAGAGACAGACGATTAGCACAACACCGATTGTTTAGCCTTCCGAACATACACAGCATATGAGATCCCAAGATAGCGCACCTAGATACTTTCAAGTCAGCACGAATGGCAACCGTGACAAACAAGCTCCATACACCGAGATACAGAACTGTCATTAGGGACCAGCGGTGCTTCTGTGATTGAACGTATTTGTATTGTGTTCTTCTGACATGAGACTCTACTTACCCAGATTAGTTCAACCTATAAAACCATTCTTAGCGAAATGCCTGCTCCAATCATAGTATCACCATACCTCTTGTCCGAATGTAAGTGCTGAAAGATACTTGTAAGATATCAGCAGTCCTTTAACATTCTCATGCTCACCCCAATCATACGTCATTCCAACAAAGGCGGCAACTATGAAACCGTGACCAAAGTTAGATTGAGTCAGCTTCATCTGACTGCTCTCCACGAACCTACGAAATAGTTGTAAAAATGATATGCATTGATGGTCGGCCACCAAGTGGGATCATTCAAGACTATGGCCATATTGGTAGAGAATGGGTGTGTGAGAGGCGAACTTAGTGGAGGTATGACGACGGCATTTGTGCTAGTTATACCACTATCCAGTGCTTAGATCACCGAAACGAGATTGAGGAATGATGACCATTCCTGCTTTGATTGGCCGAAGTAGATATTTTCACATGAAGAATGGTGAACTCGATCCAGGCATCAGTTTGCACTGCCCAAGGCATCCTAGTTGAGACTCCATGATTGATATCTACTGAAGATATGAATTAAGACAACGCTGAGAGAAGACACGGAAAAAGAAGACTCGGGCGCGCTGTTATAACCGCACGAAGCCTGACTTGTTGTACTCCAAGCTGTCCTGGTTGATGTCATAAAACTCGATCTGCAAGTCTCAGCAGCGTCTATATCCCAGGGCTCTTAATTGAATTCTCCCATTGCACGTGTGTCCGACGATCTGCACGGTGCTCCTCGTCATAAAGAGCCGTGAATCACTTATTTGCCACTGATATTGAAGATAAATGGCGCATTATTAGTACACCCGAAGAAGTTCATAGTACGAGGGACTAACCTGCTATGCACTCGATCTCAAACAAAACATCTTTCGGAAGCCGAGCAACTTCAATGGCTGAACGTGCAGGCTTGTGTTCCAAACCGCTAAAGAACTCCTCGTAAATCTTGTTGACGGTGGCAAAGTCCTCCATATTTTTCAGGAATACCTATGCGGCAATGCATCATCCGTCAAATTCGACTCGGAGACAGATGACTGTCTCAGTGACATACCGTAGTCTTGACGACCTTGCCAACTGAGCTAGAGCTGGCTTCAAGAACAGCCTTGAGATTTGTGAGGGCCTGCTTGGTCTGTTCCTCAATACCGCCTTCGACTATCTGCATCGTGGAAGGTACGAGGGGGATGCAACCAGACACAAACACGAATTCGCCAGCTTTGATAGCTTGGGAATAGGGCCCAATGGCTGAGGGGGCGTTGTGCGTCGAAACGGATGTGATCGTAGACATTTGTCGTTGTGTTCTGGCAGCGATTGCAAAAGCGGGGTATTGCGGGAGACGAAGAGCGGTTGTCCTACAGCTGGGAGGCCCACCACGGAAAACTAAAGATCTTGACAGGCGAATTACACCCAACATCAACTTGAATCGAATATTATAACCGCACAAGTGACGAATCCGATACACCCGAAAATGATAAGTGCTACGATACCATGAGAATGATAAGCCTAGTATTACGTCTATGACTCATGAGTAGTGACTTGGCTAATGATACAAGTATCCCATATGCAGGCAGTATCCAGATGACCATGTTCATTATCCGCTCCGATACGCCCACCTAACCCAGATGCAAGTACAGTGAATGAGCTAGTCGGATGCTACTTTCACGACCACTTTCTCTCCGTTCACTTGTCCATTTCGTACTACATCAAGAGCATCCTGGCAGCGATCTTGTAGCGATCCTTGGTCAAATAGGCGAACTCGATTGGGTTGAATGATGCCTTCCTCCAACAGTCGAGGGAGAATCTTTGGCATCAGGTTGTCACGAAGGTACTCATTCTACGCCAACTTATCAACATTTTTTGTTCAAAGAATTTCACAGATACTCACCTGCTGGTACAGTCGCGTCCTCACGCCTACCAGTTTCACCGAATCTGGGAAGAGGTTTCTGTCTACCGGTAATTCCATCCACATTTGCGCATCTTTCCCTGCAACATGCCTTGTGCCTTCCTTCACTGGTAATAGCATAGCGACCACACCGTCGGAGCTAACGACATTACATATGCTTTTGAGTGTGCTCTCAGCGCCGATGCAGTCCAAGACAAATTGAAGCTTTTTGCCTGCAGCGAGTAGGATCTTCTCGAGCATGTCGTCAGCGCTGTAGTCTATGACATGGGCGGCACCAAGAGACTTGAGGTAAGAATGATGGCGAGGGGATGCCGTTGCAATGACACGCCTGTACCCAGCAAGGGCCAGCAGCTGAACAGCGTATTGACCAGATGTAGCCCCTGCACCATAAACGAGGATTGGAGTCTCTGCATGGGGAGGTGGTACCGAGACGGGGAATGTTGGCAGAGTAAGTTCCAAACAATCAAACAGCGTGTAAAATGCAGTTATAAAATTGTCGGGAATTGTCGCAGCTGCTTCGAGAGAGTAATCATCGGGGAGCTGCGAGTCCGATTAGCACTCGCATTAAAAACGTGATTTATTCCAAACCTTGGCGCAGGTGGAACTCTGCATAATTGCACGTTCTTGTAAACCCTTCCCCCTTGATCCAGTCGTTGCAAATCCGCAAACCTAGAAAACAACATGGGTATCAGGCTTGTTCGTTCACCTTGTCTCCTGTCTGCAGGCCGCCCACACCAGAGCCAACAGCTTCCACAACTCCACTAAGATTGAGGCCTAACAGAACTGGGTATTCGCCGTTTGTATTCCGACCATAATCCGTTACGTATGTGTCAGAGGGTACGACTGCGCTGAATGCCACTTTTACCATCACCTCACCAGGTCCAGGAGATGGTGTCGGGACCTGAATAACAGATGTTATCCCAACAGCTGTACTCGCGAATGCAAGATGAGTTTGCGACGACATGGCAGTAACTGGGAGGTCGATGGGTCAAAAGTAGTGTTTTCGGTGGTGGATAGTGTCATGTATTTATGGCTCCTAATAAAGGCGATACAGCAATCTCGATGTGCGCTTTGTTGAATTCTGACACAACCAGGCGGCGCTTACGAATCCAACAGCTTGAAAACCGCAGGCTGATCACAAATCTACGCCACTTCTAGCATTAATGTTGTCATTTGAAGATGCGTAGCGGGTGATAATGGTTGTATTTTGAAGTGCTTACAAATATATCATCATTATTCACTAAGGTACCTCCGTGAACAACGGATGTCACAAATCATACTAGGTCATGTCGGGGAACATAAGATTTGAATTCGAGTTTTTATAACTTCACAGCCTGATTAAAGATCCATAGGTGATGCGCGGAGAATATAACACCATTCCTAGATTACAAACAAGAATGAGAGGACACAGGGGGAAAAAGGATCCAGGCATGGCCCTTGCGACCACCGAAAGTTGGCTCGCCTCAATGAGGACGAGAGATGGGCTGAGCTGCGTCCTGCGCATGAACCCAGTGAAAATCGATAGGAAACGTGTCGATATAGATTGAAGAAAATAGAGCCTGTAGATTTTATCATCGTGTTTCGAGTCTTTCGAGGCACTTTTTGAGACGCAAAAAGATAGAGGTCGAGAGGAACTTTTTTTGGCGTATCATATGATCATGGTTCCCGTTCTGTTGCGTGAAGTAACCAAGAGGGGTGCAAATGGCAAATCCCGGATATAGACTGGTGATGGCAAGCCCGTCTATGGGCAGTTGAACCATACTCTATGCAGTTTGTCGACGTTCTACTATCTTATCTGGTCAGAGAAGAAACATCAGATCGATTGTTAGACAAATAAGATCTGATATAGTACGAGCAGAGAAAATGAGATACATGAAGGTATTCGGGCAATGTTTTCGACCAGACCCTGATCGGATATTTCGCACAAACAACGCTCCGAACCTAAGAGGTCAAGATGAGCCATGAGGGCGGGAGGGCCCCAGCTGCGAGTAGTCAAAATCATCGTGGATTTTGAGTGATGCGTCGAGTAAATATGATGCCGGTATTATGAACTGTAGTTTGATTCATAATTTTGACGCAGTGTTTAAGTTGATTGCGAGATGCATGCTGCTGAGGGTGTGGTGGGCAGAAGGAAGGAAGGAGTACCACAGAGAGTTTGCAAGTAGTAGCATGAAGCTCGGGATGGATGATGTCCCAAAAGTACAAAGCAAGGTTTCGCTCCCATGAGTCCCACGCAACAAGTCCTTGCTTCCTCGGCTCGGCTTGTTTGACAGGCAGCATTGATACGTTCCATGTGATGCAGGTTTCAAATTAAGAAAAAAACTTTACGAAAAACTCACTCGGAGTGAGCGCTGTGAACAAAATTCGAGTGTTGATGCCACGGCTGGCGCTGAGCGCTGAGATTTGACGAGTAGTGAACATATTATTTTCGAGCGGGACCACACCTATAATTAAATTAGTGTTGATTTTTCTGAACTTTGAATGATTATGTAATAAGTAGACGTCACACTATGGCACTCACGGAGCAAACTAGTTACTACTCACTTTCATCCCAGCCTCACCGGACCTAGCGATATATCTAACAGGGACTTCAAGTGTTAACGTTAACGTTCAATTCATTGTTCAGCCCTACCACTTGTCCATGTCATGGCTGGTGACGAAACTATTACACCAGTGGCCAGGGTCTCACAACCCTAGTACAGGTACAAACCAAAAAATTGTGTGCGACAGAACTTTCTTAGACTTGTCAGGGAACCTGACAAAAAGGGCGGCCGCCGGGCTACTAACTCGCTCGAGGACTCAGAAGCAGCGGTCGAATACCCGGGCCTACCTCCTGGTCATACTAGTACCTCTTTAAATATCTCGGAAAATGGTATTACAACAGCGAGCGGAACGATACAGCGACGAGGTCGATACCAAGTCTGAGTAGTTCTCCGTGGCATGGACTCGGAGTACGATCTATCCACATAGGAGGTGGTCACTGATTAATGAGCGGCCAGCATCTGTCAACTTGAACTCTAAAGGAGTTTTAGCCGACTTGGACATTGTGCCCTTCTAACGGCGCGATCGCTGCAAACGAGCTATCGGCTGGTCCTTACTGCTTAGCGCAAGTGCTTGTTGATTCGGAAGACCGCCATGACGATCTCCGCAATGATGAAGCTATCGACAATAGTAGAGATGATAGATAAGTGCATGGCCCATAATATTGATATTTTACATTGTCAGGTGCAAGCTTACTTGAACTGAGCGCTGACAAGCGTGCGCGGGGGAATGACCCTTTTCGTGTCCGGTTCTGACTACACATCAAAAATACTATGGTCGGAGGACACGTGGGTTACCGTTGCCATATCATTGTGATGTGGCCCACCGCATCTGGTTAATTCCTCGGTTCACCTGTCTCGTGCGTACCATATCATTTTTTGACTTTACTATGCTGCTTATATAAATTGATTCAATCAATCTGGCCCGGCTCGACCTGGTCCACGGCCTGAAGCCGGGTCGTGCACTTTGCTCGTCCTGTTCCTCCTTGATTTCCGTTCGAGGAAATGGGAACACCTCAAAATCTACACATATGAACATACTACTTTGTAATTGTGCGACCCAAGTACTTAACCGAAGAACTGATCCGGAAGATGATGACTGTTATAGTCCGACCGATGACAACGAGTCACCACCATTTCCCTTGGCGCCGTCGCTTAGAGTTGCGCTTCTAGCGGCCGCCTCAATTCACCAGTAACCGTGCACAATATCATCTTTAATTATGATTTGGTGTCGGTCTCAACTTAAGCTTGACAGGCGAATACCTTTTTGGATAAGACAAGGGAGGGTCAAACGGCGTGTCGTCACGGCGATGAGTCTGAACCAGATCGTTTAAATAAGAATGCCGCGGCGCGGCATGTGTCGGATCTAGCGAGTGCACGGCACAACGTACCTAAGTACTTATAGTTCCGAAGTGGAATTAATTCATGTCATTCTTTTGTTTCTTTGCCAATTGCAACAGAGTTGACAAAGACGAATGTTGGACGAATCAGTGTAAGCCTCGTCAACTATCTACCTCCCAGAATTTCACTTTGGTAACTCAAACTAGATAGGATATTGCTTTTGCTGAACAACTTGAAGAGTCTCGAAGCAACACGGGCTAGATGCACAATATCATATGATACTACTACTTTGTCCGGTAGAAACCTGTGCGTGAGTGCCCAAGGTTGTTGTTCATTGTCTCGGATCAACTGTTGGTAATACTAATGACAGGCTCACCGTCCATAGAAATTCGAGTTTCACAAGTAGCTTTGTGACATTGTCTTCCACGAGTTTGAGTTACACTTTACACACGACAACATGTCATCCACTGATCTTCGCTACCTGATCAAATCAGTCACACCGGGCCTTCATAATGCCATGTCTCAACGGTACTACATAATCTGCAGGAGAAACTCATATAATCTTTCTCCTGGTAACGAGTGCGATCATCGTCCTTCTGTTCTTCTTGGTCACGCCTTCTTCTGCTAGCGTTGCTGGTGGTGATGAGGCGGCAGTTCAATATGTTTATCAAGAATGTGATGCAGGGCTTTCCGACCATCACTGGCATACGATGGTTCAACCTTTCTGTCCTTGTCATCACACCAGCTCTTTCGCTGTATGGCTTGCTTTGTGTTCCCATCCTTCAGAAGACTGTAGTTTGCACTGCCCTCTATTATATTTATTCCATGCTTGGTAGGTGCTCTGCAAAGGCTGATCGCTTCTTCTGATTGTTGATTTTGCTCCACCAGGCATAACTGCTGGTGAGTGGCGGCGATAACCTTTAAGGGATATCATCAGAATGTGCTGCTACAGGATACCACCGGCTTTGGTCACATAGATCGTATAACGCTTCGTTCCCCTTGCAAGTATTCCTTATCCTTGCAGGGGCGAGCGCAGTGCAAGGCTCGTGTTATTGGTGGGCACGCCGCCATCGTTCTCATCATAGGCATACCGACACGGATCTGGACCCGTACAACTCAGAACGAGGCCTCCTCTGGACGCACATAGGATGGATTATTTTTAAGTCAGACTTGAAACCCGGGCCAGCCGATATCTCTGACTTGGGCAAGGACCCTCTCGTACAATGGCAACATCGATGGTACTTTGTCATCCTGACTATTTTCGGGTACTTGCTTCCAATGATCATCCCTGGCTTGTTGTGGGGAGACTGGAAAGGCGGATTCTTCTTCGTTGGTGCACTTCGTATGACCGCGTGTCATCACGTGAGTTCTGTGTTGTTCATCCAAGGCAAAGCTTGACCTGAGTCCAGTGCACTTTTTGCATCAACTCCATTGCTCACTATCTCGGAACTACGCCGTACGATGACAAGCACACACCCCGCGATCATCTTTTGTCCGCTATTCTCACTATGGGAGAAGGATACCATAACTTCCACCATCAATTTCCCATGGACTACAGGTAGCAGTTGACATCCATTGCGCTGTTCTCAACGTCATTTACACAGCTCTTGGCCTTGTCACTAGGAATGCATTCCGATGGTATCAGTACGACCCTACCAAGTGGTTCATCGGTGTCTGTCACTATATCGGTCTTGCCTCCCATCTCCGCGTTTTCCCTAGCAACGAAATTGAAAAGGGCGCACTCACGATGAAGATCAAGGCTCTCAAGGACATCCAGGACTCAATTGAATGGCCCGTACCTCCGCAAGAACTTCCTGTAGTTTCGTGGAAAACATGTGAGTGACTCCACGTTAGCACCCGTTCAATCGTTGCTAATCAATATCTCCATCGGCGTGCTTTGAAAATAGTCCAGGAAGAATCCCAGTCTCGGACCCTTCTCCTCATCTCAGGTTTTATCCACGACGTGTCAATGTTCCTTGATAGCCATCCGGGAGGATCCGTTTTACTCACACGAAACTCTGGGAAAGACATGACAGCGTCATTCTTTGGCGGTGTCTATGCCCACTCTCACGCAGCACATAACGTGCGTACCATGACACTATTTGCTTATTCATTAATACTAATGACTAACTCCGATCCTCCGTTGACTACTGTGAACTTACTTGCATGTTACGTCATGTAGCTCCTTGGGATGATGCGTGTGGGCATTCTAGCAGGTGGTGTGGAAGCGCCAGCAGAGCATGCCATCCCACCCAGTCAGCGACTGGTCATACGCGCTAACACCTCCCATTAATAATACAGCTGCCTGACTCAAATGTCGGAATTTGTGGATCGACAACTATGCCTCCCGTGGCTGGAAATTGGAGACATAGGTGGTGCACGTTTATCAGGAGCAGTTCGATATGACAAAAAGTGAATTTGCAAGTGTTAAAATTCTTGTGGGCATGTACTTTTCCAAAATTTGTTCTTGAATATCTTGAAAGTCTTTGTAGTTTGCGGATCAGTAATTAGATGATAGATGTTTATCAATTCACTACATAGTCTCCAGAACCCGAAAGACTTGAGTCGCATTGGTATCTTCAGTAATTATACTACGTAATGCATGAAGGCAAGTTAGGAATATTCGAAGGCCGAAAAAATGAGCAAAACAAAAGATTTGCCCACTGGCTGGATTGAACAACCGACCTCATCATCTCTCGGATCTCCTGATCCGTTACAAGTGACGCGCTCTACCACTGAGCTAAGCGGGCTTGTATAACGTTCACATGTAGCTATACATAATCCGTTACACCTTAGTCACCGCGCCTCTCGAGGATAGATTATCATAGATAGCTATATACGATGCTGGGTATACGTATATACTATTCAAAATATAACTGAGAACGGTACGTATATTAATTCTTGGCTATATTAATACTGTGCGTGGAGAGAGGACGAATATATGAGAACCAGCGTGTACTAGTAGGATCGAGCGAGTGAGATGGGAAAGAACTACTAGACATGTGGTGTCGGTTTCTTCCGAGCACTCACACACGTAGACAGCAACCCTGTATTGGGGTTAGGGTTTTGGATGGTTTAAGTAGCGCTGGCAGCTGTTACGTGTCAGCGATACACTTCCCAGAGGCAGCTTGAAGCAATGGGCAATGTTCTATCATGGGTCATCGACGCAGCACCCCCAAAGGCCACTTTTTCCGTTGACCAAATTCCAGATCTGACAGGAAAAGTAATCATTGTGACTGGTGCCAATACGGGTATCGGGAAGGAGACTGCGAAAGTGAATCGTTATTTTATGGACGAAGCTGAGGGTTTGTGTTGACGTGGACTCCAAGGTTCTACTCGCACATGGCGCAAAAGTTTACATCGCGGCTCGCAACCAGGCTGCCTCAGAGGAGGCTATTCGTCAACTGAAGCAGGAGACCGGAAACGAGGCAATATTCTTGAAACTTGACCTTGGAGACCTAAAGGCAATCAAGGCGTCTGCTGAAGAGTTCCTGAGGTAAGAGATGCGCCATTTGAGGAATTGTCAGCTTCAAATCAAAATACCCAGCAAAGAAACACGACTACATATCCTTTTAAATAACGCGTGAGATGACTTTTTTGACCTCGACGAGATCCGTGGTACTGAACGTCACTAGTGGTGTTATGGTACCACCCATCGAGCTAGTGACTGCAGATGGCTACGACCTCCAATTTGGAACGAATATCCTTGGTGAGAAACTTAACACCAGCTGACACTGAGATGACCTAGGACTGGTACATTTCAGGCCACTATTACTTCACAAAGCTCCTGCTCCCCATTCTAACCTCGACGGCTAAAGCCACTTCTGAGGGAAAAGTCCGCGTTGTAAACGTCGCTTCCTGCGCGCATTTATTTGGAGGTCTCAATTTTAACACCTTCAAAGATGGCCCGGCTCGAAAGAAATGCTCAGAGGGCAAACTCTACAACCAAAGCAAATTCGTACAGCACTTCCGTTAATGTTGAAGAATAAAGCTGATCATGGTACAGGCAAATGTCGTTTTCGCTCTTGAATTGGCGAAGCGATATGGAGACCAGGGTATTATTTCGACGGCACTGAATCCTGGCAATATCAATTCGGATCTGCTGCGTCACGCTGAGGCTCAACTTCCAAGTATTGTCAAGAAGATTATAGTAATCCACCAAATCCTCAAGGAAATTTTTCAACGCTAATGGGGTTGTCAGATTAGGGTGTTACTGTATGATGTGTCGCAAGGCGCCCTTACGCAGTTGTATGCTGCTACGTCCCCAGAAGCTGCTAGCTTGAATGGCAAGGTGAATCTCGGGATTGAGCTTGTGTAATGTTGTGGTGCTGAAATGTCTCTAGTATCTTGTGCCATGGGCTCGCGTCAGACCGCCTAGGCAGGAAACACAAGACCCTCAACTCGGTAAGGCGCTATGGGATTGGCTGGAGGAGCAAGTCAAATATGTATGATTCGAAGATGAGCATATTTGAATTCTGAGTTTGGTAGCATCAATGGACATCGTCTCGACTTTTTGTGGTGCCTGTTTGTCTACAACTGGTGAAAACGGGGATTAAGGAGCAACAAGAAAAGGAATGTATGCAGTCTTTAGCCTTCTTCATCGGAAGAGGAACCCAGAGGGATAAAGCGCTTTGCGCTGGAAGCAGTACGTCCGAGCTTGAAAGTACATGTTAAGCCAATCGTCCGTGAACATGTACTGGCGCTCACCATAGACATTTGTGCACGTCGATCACGCAAACTCATTGATGCGGACATGGAATCAAGCGTGCGTAACAATGGTACTGAAGGACCAGGACAGGTGGATGAGGTGAATGCCTGATTCGACGTAGCAAATGTGACTTGTCGCCGTGCCATTCCACTCGCAGAATGCTGACCCTGAGTTTTCAAAACAGGCTGGGCTGGAGCCAGTGCTGGAGACGGAGACAAAGACGACAGCGGTGACGATGGAATGGAGACGTAACATTTCAGGGGCGAGCGAAGAACTTCTTCCAACTTGATAGCCTTCGAGATTGGTTGCGGATGGATGGATGGAGCAGCAGGTGCTGATTCTGGCGTCTTCCTATCTTTGTTGGCAGTTGGTGGGACAAAGTTGTCGGGCTTCGTAGCCGTAGCCGAGATATTCGAATTGATTGGTGCAGCGGTTGATGCTGAAGGAGTCGCCTCGTCCACTCGAGCCGATGGAAGTGGATGCTTGCCCGACTGAGAGGAAGCATGCATCCTTTGAACATTCATTGGAAGATTGGCTGCAGGACCAGAAAAAGAAGATTCGGTAGCGGACTTTCGAAACTGTATAGTGGCATGGTTGACTCGAGGCAGTATGTCAGCGAGGGGCGTCCTCGTGGTGTATTTAGGCCTTGGTGCTGCAATGTAGCCGCTGCTAGTGACAGAGCCGCACGCGGGAGAAGCCGACCTGTCGGCAATTAGGGATTCGCGCACATCCACGGCGTGTTTTGCCGGAGAATTCGCCGTATGAGGTCCCACGAGCTCAGGTGAGGTAGTAGGTAATATGCTATCCAATCGCGGCTTCTTATGATGATCTGTGCAAGGGTTACTCGTCGCCGGGTCGACAGAGTGGGGCCGATCGGATTGTGAGCGCCCTGAACGTGCGTCGTCTTGATTTAACCGAGAATTGGTGCGCTTGCGGGTGGGACGATTCTCAGCAAAAGGGGGCAGGACTGCTACAGCTGAATTGGAAACACTTCGCATGCTGTTCAAAGGAACGGATCGATCGGATAAAGTAAACTTCATGTTGTCAATATCGCGGCTCAGACTTGAAATGCTGGACAAGACGTTATCGGTTATAAACGTTTTGACCTGATCCGCATACATAGGGAAGGTTTGTACAAGTGGAAGAAGGGGAAGTACCGCGGTTAGTATTGAATGCTGCTGGTCCTGTATAATTTGCATAGCATGATTCTGAGATTGAACGAGCTGTGCAATCACGGCCTATCAGCTGGGTGTACTAGAGACAAAGCGGAATTAATGGTAAAATCATGAAGTACCATTTGAATCGCATCTATGCGCTTGTTTAGAGCTTGTATGCTATTTTCCGCTGAAGATTGTGATTTTTGGACTAATTCGAGGGATGATGCTTGTGATGGTGCACCGATGCAAGCCTTTAACTCGGTTTGCACTTTCTTTGCTAAAAAGAGTGATGAGAACATAAACCATCTCGTGGTTTGCCATTGAAAGCATATAATCCAAACGCATACTCACAACTATTCGAGATCTCGTCAAGCACGCGTTCACGTTCACTCTCTGATATCCGGTTACAGTTTACCACTTCAGTCTTTGCGTCCTTGACGTTAATGAGTAAAGTGTCCACTCTCGTAGAAAACTTTTCGAGGGTCGTCTGCATATCGTGAATGAGCATTCGCATGGAAGTGTTGGTCCTGTCGACTGGTGCCATTGAAGGAATCATGGGTGTAGCGGCAAAGTCGCTAGACGCCGGAAGATCCTTCTGGAGAAGATATGCCCATAGTGCATTAGGTGCTGGCTTCCGCTCGGTGCTCATGATGTTATAGAAAGAGACAGTCACTGTGAAGATACTAATTTTCCTAAAAGAGATTAAGGATGTCAACGTCTACCGGTTAGTCATCAGCAGCATGACGCAGTGGAAGCGTGCAGGGCTCATAACCCTGAGGTCACTGGATCGAAACCAGTTGCTGCTAAGTTTCTTCCTTTTGCCATTATAGCTGTCCCAAATTTGCTGTCCCATTGTCATAACTTGGGTATTGTTTTTTCCAAATGATTTCAGCAGTCAATGAGGCATTGAAGAGTTTCTGGTGTACAAATTAATAGATTACAATACTCTTGCCAATACACTTAGTCAATAGCAGGAATCATCAACCAAGAAAGCGGACTGCTACTATCTCCCTAAACTCATCGTGGCGCAATCTATGGTGGTTGCGCCAGGCCGACATTCTCTGCTGATTCAAGAGCCCATACTCCTATTTCATCCTGCGGGAGCTGACTCCACTTCGCGTAAACCTAGCATTTGTTAGAATGTTCAAACAATCCCAATGAAAAAATTACGCACATCATCAAGGATATCCAATAATTCCACCGTCTTAGCATCTGCAGCACGTTGTTTGTCGTCATTATCCTTACACCGAGCGTACAGAGCAGCGTTTTCTTCCTCAAGCTGTCATAAAATAAGAAAATGAAAATCTTTCAAATAATAGCATTTGAGAGTTACTTACAGCCTGCAGTTCTGCTCGTATGCGCTCTACTTCAGATTCCATCACCCGGACAGTACGCGCACGAACAGCAGCACGTGGTGCGAGGTTTTCTCTCCATACATCCTTGCCATGTATTTCTCCACGTTGTTTTCGAGCTCTAGCTTCCGAGACGACGGCATGGAGAATGTTGATACTATCCCTTACATTGAACTCCTTAAACAAATTCTCACAGCTTTGCTGAGAGGCCGTCTCAGTAATGGCGCATTCAGTGATGCTTAAACACGAAACTTACGTGTATTTGATCCTCCATATGCCTCGAGACAGTGTTAAAAATGCCCTCTGCACCATGTGGCTCTTCCTTGCACCAGAGCGTGAAGCATTCCTGAAAATCTTCGTATCTACGCGACCATTAGTTCAAATCACGCGTAAATATGAGTAGCTTTGATACTCACGTCCATTTATGTGCTGAGCGCGATATGGCAAGTTGTAGTGCTGAATGAAAATGGGTCCACCGTTTGCTGTCTGGCACTGTCTTCATCGCGGCTTAGGTCAACGGTGTCAGTGCATTTGGCACGTGATCAATAGTGCAGTGGTTTCCAAGTTCCGAAGGAAGTTCCCTGAGTGAGTGCTGTCGTGGAATCTTGGATGTGTACCACCGACACCCATGGACCGCAATGACGAAAACGACGGGTCGGCGAGAATACCACAGCAGAGGAGCTCTGTTCCATCATTTCTGTTCTTAATATTTATGCTCTTCATACTCACAAATCACACTGGGGATGAATTTCTCGCTCGAAATCATTACCAGGATGCCCTCCAATCCCTCAACTACCAGCTGTCAAACTTTACTGCTTGGCTGAATGGGACAGAGTCTAACTTTACGATGGTATGTACCAAGTTGCTTCTGACTGCTGATGAATGCTGACGAAGCGCAGCCAGACAGAAATGCCGCCGCCACCCCTCTTGTAGGGTCATTCATGTCCTTTGGGTCTCGTCTCAACCCGCAATGGGGATCTTATTTTTCGAATGTGACCGGATTTGCGCACGGCGAGATCGACTTCTTCAATATCACCCCTCCCAGCCTTGGATCCGCAACCTATTCCTGGAGAACACACGCTGAGACATTCATGGGTGACACTAACATGACAGATCTCGCCGGTCATTTCGGATCTTGGAATTGGACCGGGTCGGACAAAATTTCATGGAGTATAATGGATCGAGCTCCAATCAGCGTAAAAGGTGTTACCGAAAAGATCGCCATGGTTCACGTGGGTTGCTTTCATTACTTCATTTTATGAAACTTGAATCCCCCACAGGGCAGAATTGATGTCCGTCATCCCGCCACTTCCGATGATATGAAACTGGATTTTGAAGGCGTGCACTTTCTTGCAAATGGGTCAATATATGGTTTTGCTGAACCTACCGGGTGTGTTCTTAGCGATGACGTTCAGACGACTGAAACAGATGTTGTGTTAGTCGACATATAGATATCCGTTATATCCCCGCATTCGTCCCAGAAGCTTTCCAGAATGACACTGCTCGGACAATAGAACCTGAATTGATGTCTAGAATTAACAAGGTGAAAGATATGATTGATGCAGGTGTTATTGACCAGGACTCGACCAGTATGCCAAATATAACTCCTTTGTCTGTCACATTTCTAACTATGCTTGCAGATGGGGAACCGCAAGGAGGTTGTGGATTCAGCGTTTACGCACAAATTGCGCCATCCGAGATACCCGCAAAGTATATGGAGGACCTTGAAGACGAATTACAGAAACCAACGGGAAGATGGACGGTGAAACGTCCGCCTCTCAAGCTCAATGGTGTGCTTTTGAGTAGAGAATGCGGCATTCTATATAACTTGCATGACGCAGAAGGATTAAGGTATGGCTTCAACGTTTCCTGTTTAGGGACCTAACTGAGTGCTTGCCTTAAGGTCTCAGTTGTTCTTTCGGAAGGTTGCCACATGTCAGGACGTTCCGTCTTGACTCAGTCAGCTTATTGATTCGCGGTTTTGGACAGATGCTGGTATCTCAGCTTTGGTGTACCTGGTGCAGTTACTACTACTCTCTCGTCAAGTTGACCGAAGTCGTACTCCTGCTGGATTGTCTCGTGTGTCCCTATGGACGTTCCTTACACAATCTATCGTGGACTCCGTCTCATTTGCTGGGCATATCACTTTTGCCATTATTGCTAATGGGCGTCCTTCCTTATCGCTGGTGGCTCCAGCATTCGTCGCCTGCGTGCTTTTTGCTTTTGAATCTGTCAGTGAGCTTTTACTGCTCGATAGGCTACGCAGACTGAATTGGCTTTCCAGCAACATGCCATCCTCATCAATCAGGTTCAAGCTCCAGAGGATGCAGTGGCGCCACCCCCTCCCCGGCCGGTACAACAGGAACCATCACTGCCTCCTCAAGCTGTGCCCACACCAACGA